CATCTTTGACGGCAGCTGCCTTGTACAGTATGCAAGGAATTTGTGTCGGTGTTGGTTAGCATTTTGACTTGGCAGTCACATCATTGGTCGCAGCAGCCCTAGGTTGGTACATTGGGCGCTTCATTAGGCAATGGTTAGAAAGTGCAGGCCAACGAGCGCAGAGCACCCGTTGTTTTTATTACATTATATTTTTATTTTTTTTGAGGCTCTACAGTACGTTACTTGAAAACATGTGCCCTGATCTGAAGAATGTTGACAGTCAGCAGCTTGCCCGGCTTAGGTCAGCTGGGCAAAGGTGCATTGTGCTGGACTGTGCTGAACATTTGACCGTGGGAGCAGGCACGATGTATCCAAACCGGGGACTCCAGACAATTGAAGAGTGAGTAAAAAGCGGAAGTCAATTGCGCTAGTGATTGTACCGTCTTCCTAATTGACCTACAATAGAGCACTCTTTTGCCGCCCACCGCCTAGCCCACCGCCTAGCACACCGTCTACCTAAATTAGCCACTCAGACTCCTCTTGCTCAACACATCTTTTGTTGTACTCACCACCTTTCACACCACCTACTTAACTTACCTTAGCCATCCTCTTTACTCGGGAAGATGGAATGGAACTTTCCAAGTAACAACGGGGTTCTGGTTGACTCAGATGCCAAATGCGAGGTAGGTATTTCTCAACAAGGACTTTTCAAGCACTACTTCCCAATGTTCTCACCAGCCGGAAGATGGTAACTACTCAATGAATAAACCCTCAAGATTCAAGTCGCTGTAAAAATGAAAGCGGAAGAATCACGCATGGCACAGTACCCTTCGCTGCATTCACAACAGGGGTAGCATTGAAATCCAAGAATCCCGCGCCATCATCGTAATGAAGCACTCGTTCTCCATTTCCTCCGTAATCAGGTGGTGGGTGACCTCTTTTATGAGGATATTGAGGGCGGCTTGGGTGTGTCTGGACAGGATTGTGCTGCTGTACCGGTTGCAAGCTGACATACTCTCTGACTGGAGGTGGCCAGCCTTCAAGTGGTCTGGCATGGTCCAATCGCTGGCGGTGCTCTTGCTGCTTCCGATGTCGCATGGCTTGCTGATGATGGGTTGGAGGCCGTTCAGGCTGTTTACGGGGTTTGTGGGGTTGATGACGGCGTCCATGATCTCGCGATGCTGAAGGAACCCGGGCTGGCGATTGCATGTGGGTTTGCTCCATGTTGGAACTGAACTTGAAGTGATCATCCAGTTGGCCCTCGTTATGACTTCGGGTTTGCCCTGACATCAAACCGTGACTGTTGTCGTTCTGTGTCCCGGGTCCTTCCAGATCGACCGAGTTAGGACTGCTCCCATTGGTAGGATTACCGGCAGGCTTTTGATTCTTCACTTGAGAGACTCCTAGTACATGTCTTGGGCCCTGGGACATGGGTTGACGAATTCCAGCTTGACCATTGCCTGCATCGGTTGGGGTCTCTTCCGGCTCAACCTGTAGTCTCGCCTCGATTTGGGGACTTAGACTGCCCGTTTTCTCCCTTGACGGGCTTTGGAATTCAATGACGGTTTCACTCTCGTCGTCCGACTGGTCTGACTGGCTTGCTTCGTCGGGATAGTCTTCTGGAATTGGAGGGCTTGCTAATGGCGTTTCCAGCTGATGGCTCTCATAGCCATTATCATGGACCCTCTTGGCGACTAAGGGGGGCGATTCGGGCGAAAAGCGATATGAGCCGTCTTCTGGCTGATCTGCTGTCAATTCCGTTTCATTTCGATAGTTAGTTGGTGGTTTGACTGTGCCGGAGTCCGTGTCAATATCGCTTTCAACATCGCTTTCTGGTTCCTCGCTAGACGGAGACGAAGTAGATCCATGATCACTGGGTGTCGGTGGATACGGCACTTCGGGTGGTACCGGGATCGGTCGCCCTTGTGGAGGGGTGTCCATGTCAAAGTCGCCACTCCGATAGAACCCCCGGCGTTGCGGGCCACTATCGTGATCGCCGTCGTAATCAGCTTCATGGTGATGTGATGTGAAATTCTGGCTACGAGTACCCTCGCTGGAGTTGTACCGTGGGCGGTGGTCATGTCCGTGGTTCCGCGGGTGCCATTCCTGGCGAGGATGCATGTGTCCTCTGCCGCCCATCTGTGGGCTGAGATATGCCTCAGGCCTGTAGCCAGGGATGAAGGTCGTCCCAAACGGGGTCGTAAGAAATCCTGCGCTCTCGGTTAACCGTCGTAGGTCGCAACTAACATACCCACGAACCCATTTGGCCAAGCAAGGCTTACCATTAGGCACGAATGGATCGACTGGCTCAAGTCCCATCCTGAGACGCCAGTGTCTCTCCATCTCCTCGAGCTTCTGCACCCTTTTTTGTTCCTCTGCCCGGAAGCGCCGTCTCTCCTCTTCTGCCTCGGACTCCAGCTTTCTCTTGGCTTCCTCGAGAGCTCGCACCCGCGCCTCCTCCTCACGCTGCCGACGTTCATTTTCTGCCTTTCGCTCGGCCTCAATCCTCTCCCTCGCCTCTCGTTCTCCTTGCTTGATGGCCTCATCCACTAGTCGTTTGCGCTCTTCCTCGGCCTTCTTCTCTGACTCGAGCTGCTCCTTTGCTATCTTGATCGCCTCACTCTTGATCTCCTGCATCTTCTCCTGAATAGTTTGCTCTTGCTGCTGCTTTGCAAGCTGGATCTTGATATTCTCAAGCTGGGCTTTCAGGGCCTCCACTTCTGGTTCAGCTTTCTTGTTTACTGTCGGCGTAGGAGGCCGAGGAGCCTCTGATGGTGGGGGTGGTGGGGGATTTTGATATGCATAGTGAGGTAGAGTAGGGGCCTGATTGTGATATGCCCCATATCCTGGTGTGTACGATGGCTGATGATAAGGCATGCTGTTGTAACCCGGACTGAAGCCGGCACCGTACCCTCCGTACTGCGGCCCTCCTCCGTATGCATAGGGGTTCACATCGTAGTGGCTGCTATACGAGGACCCATAGTCGCCAGTCGCACCTCCGGTACCAAATTGACTAGGGCCCCCGGGAAGGAAGGGATTGCGATACGGTCTGTGGTACGGATATTGATGCGGGATAATATTGGCAGCAGGCTCAGGTGGCGGTTGGAAGTAACCACGCTTGTACTCGACGGGATCACGCCCTCGCGGACCGGGAGGTTGATGTTGTGACCGCGGGGGCGGAGGAGGTCCATAACCGTGACGTTCGTTAAGGTGGGAGGCAGAGTCCGAAGGGTCAATTTTATCCGAGTCGTCATATTCCCAATCCTCCTCGTAATATGACGATTCACTACTAGTACTAGGCGGGGCTGGAGGCTTGGGAAACTTTGAACCCTGGGGTTTCGTCCTTGACATGTTCGGTTTTCTGTTTGTAGGTTTGGAACCTCCCACTGTAGCTCTTACTGAAGGTTCTGACATCCCGTGTCGCTCAGGTTGTCGGCTGTAGTTGGATGAATAGGTTGTGCTAGGCGTGTCCGAGCTTTTGGTCGTCGGCGACTGCCGGGGCCGTGTTTGGGCTGGGTTGGCCGATCCTTTTTATGTAGATGCTGGTGGAATTCGGACGTGCTGGACGTTGTAGGACACACTGCTCAAGTGCTTACTTCGACCCGGTTTTCAAGTGAGGTAATATAGGTAGGTACCTTAGGCAACCAGTCTGGCGGTCCCGGTCCTAAACACACCAGCCTCGGAGGAGAGCTCCCTCCTGTAGGTGGGTTACACAATGTTGCATTATGACTGGTGCAGGGGCCAAATTTGTCGAAAGGTCACCCCTAGCCATTCAGAAATGGCGAGGCTCAGGAAGCCGAGCATTACCATTGGCTCTGTAAATGCAAGAGACTGACCTTGCATGGACACAGCCCCCGGTATGCGTGTAGTGCGTGTCCACCGCAATTTGGTTGGGCTTGCTCTTCATGGCGTCTCCAAGCGGGGTCCGGGGGCTGACAGAAGGACGCCTTATCGGCTCCATGTCGCCTAGATTCCGAGGTTCGCCTACAGGAGTAGGCATTGTAGATACACAACTCCTGCGTCCTTGGTTCGGCACTCGCCATTGATTAGAAGCGGTTCATACTGTGCCTGTCGCTGCCTTCGGTTCCTTGTCCGCATTCCATCACAGCCATCAACACAGCGCAAAATCCATGTTGAGCACATAATGGCCACTTCGACAGTTGAGAATCACGGCAGTGGGGCCCAAACACTGCACTCGGGCAGAGGCGACCAGAGTATCAACACAGGCCCCGGTGTTCTCCTCAACGTTGATAAATATGTAGCGAGTAAGCTTTCTTTGGAGACAATCGATAAGGGGCTACCTCAGACTAGTACCTCCCTACGCGAGTTTCGATAGCTGATGTACATTTTTACTATCCCAGTCCATGGGGCCGAAGCTCCCATTGACCTGGTGAGGTCGTTGCTCAGCCAGCAAGAAAGTGAGACTCCTATATCTCCAGCATAAGCAGTTACATCAGTGAACTGCTTAGGGTGATAGCAGGACAACAATATACCTAACAAAGCCACCAGTACATAGCTCAGGTCCAGTACCGGGAAACACTCGCTCTGCTCAGTCTCCTAGTTCGTGGTCATGATCCCCTAACTCAACTATGGGCCCATGCTTACCAGCTATTCACGCCGCAGCTACCCAGATCATCAGTTGGCTGAAATCTCTCTCCCCCATGGATTTCCATGACAGGCTTTCGTTCTTCCTGAAACAGATGACGCCCGGAACAGGTGAATGGCTACTGAAAAACGAAAAGTTTCTGTCTTGGAAAAATGGCAAGGACAGAATCCTGTGGCTCGATGGCATCAGTACGTATTCTCCTTGCTTCAGTGAATTCAAGTCACCCCTAAATGCCCGCACCTACAGGACCACTACGCTAACACAGTCCTTTCAATTCTAACCAAGTTGGGGCCGGTAAAAGCATACTGGCGTAAGTCCATGTCTGGCTTCACCACCTAACCGAACAGAACTAATAAGATGAACTGTTGCTTGCATACAGTTCCTTCATTATAGATAACCTACAACGGGAGTTCATTTCGGTCAAGAACGAATGCGTCTGCGTTTACATATTCTTCGGATTCGGTGACCAACAAGAGAGTCAGCCCAAGACTGAAGTGCTTCTCGCAAGTATTTTGACTCAACTCCTCATGAAACGGCAGATCAAAGAACTACCCACCGAGGCGGTCGAGATTTTCAAAGATATAGTCTCTCGAGAGTCGTCTCCGCTATTTGAGGAGTTGAAGGACCTCATGGAAAGCATTGCACAAACATACCAGTCTGTATACCTCATCGTCGACGCTCTGGATGACTGCTCCAACCATCTTGATCCCGGGATCCAGGAAACCTTCATTAAAACCATCCTTCGACTTCCCGAGAATTGGAAGGTCTTGGTAACATCTCGCTCAGGAGTGTTGATAGGGCACCAATTTAAAGCAGACCTGATGATAAAGCTGGAAGCTGACCCGGTCGACATCAAGCTCTACGTTGAGCACCGTATCAAAACGAACGAGCAAATGCTACGGCTCGTGAGCATGGAGAAAAGTGCAGCATTTCAGGAAGAAATCGTCAAGGCCATCACCGAAAAGACCCAGGGAATGTAGGTTTCCCCCCGTGTCTGGTACCTTTTAGCCCATGACTTGGGTCACTAATGCAGAGTGCCCCAGATTTCTCCTGGCAAAGATGCACATGGACTACCTCGCAGCTCAGGGTACATTGGGGCATTTCAAAACGGCTCTGGGTAGGCTGCCCGAGGGTAGGATCAAGACGTTCGACGCTGCACTCCAACGGATTATGGATCATACGGATTTCGAGATCAAACTTGCCACGCACGTCATCTCGTGGGTGTTATCCGCTGCACGAGACCTCAGAGCCGACGAGGTCCGCCACGCCTTTGCAGTGCAGCCGCAAGAAGGAACTTTCAATGTCGACTACCTGCCGGACGAAGATCGCCTGACGTCTGTTTGCGCAGGCCTCATCGTGGTGGACCAGGACACTAAGGTCATTCGTCCTGTGCACGACTCGGTCCTCCCTCAACTGCGATCATTCACCCTGATACCTGCAGAACCTGAACGCCACCAAGATGTAGCACTCCGTTGTCTCGTCTACCTCGGCCAGGTCCGCTCGTCGACGGGATCCATTTCCGAGCGCATCCGTAACCACCCACTGCTCGAATACGCCGCCATGCACTGGTTCCGCCACGCCATGCGTGCCGCGCAAACTCCCGTGCTAGAGAAACAATTGGTAAAGTTTCTGCGCAACACGTCAAAGTTGTCGGCTTCCTTTCAGGTGCGAGATGACACGTTCCCCAACAGCATCACCGGCCTCCATGCGGCCGCATACTTCGACATGGCTGGGTGGGCAGACCTCCTCCTTCGCAATGGAGCGCAGGCGAACAAATACGTGAACAGTCCGTGTAGCAATGGGCAGACTCCCCTCCACTGGGCCTCGCATTTCAACCGCATTGATCTCGCGAGGAAGCTTATTGTGCGCTATGGGGCTGATATAAACGCCCTCGATGACGAAGGCAATACACCCCTGCATCTCGCCGTTGAAGGCCAGCACGTGGAGATGGTTCGGCTTCTCCTGGAGCACAACGCCATTCCAGACATCGGGAACCGCAAGGGATGGACACCATTCCGCTGGGCAGTGCGGTATGGTTGCCTCAGCGTAGCGCGACCCCTCGCCGAGCGCAAGGTCGAGATTGACGTGCGTAACACGCAACTTGGAACACCCTTTTTCTGGGCAGTCGTCCTCGGGCGCCTTGATCTTGTCGAACTCCTTCTCCAAAACGGCTGGGAAGTTAACTGGATGAACCAGGACGGCTGGACCGCCCTGCGACACGCCGCGCAGTTCGGCAACGAGCGCATGGCCAGACTGTTGCTCGCCTACAAAGCCAATGTCGACATTCGTGATGGCTACGGCAGCTTCACACCGCTGCGATGGGCCGTCAACTACGGAAAGACTGCCGTGGCTCGAATTCTTCTGGAAGCCTGTGCCGATGTCAACGCAACATGCAAGGACGGCTATACCCCGTTGATGGAGGCGAGCAGAAGGGGAGACAAGGGTATCGTATGGCACCTAATAGATCATGGTGCACGACTCGACGAGCAGGGCAAGAACGGAGCCACGGCGCTGCACCTTGCTGTACACAGCAGATCCAAGTCCGTTACGTGGTTGCTGGTCGAGAATGGCGCCAAGATTGATCTACCGGACCAAGACGGTATGACAGCGCTGCACCGAGCCGTGATAGCGGGGGATACCGCTCTGGTATGGTACCTCTTGGAAAAGGGAGCGGATTTAAGTCTTGTGAACAATTACGGCCGCGACTGTCTGCATCTGGCTGCACAGTTGGGCCATGACAGGATCTTGGGTCTCTTTCTTGAGCGCGGCATGGAGACTACACGACAGGACAAGAAGGGGAAGACAGCACTCCATTACGCCACGCAAGGCGGAGCAGACAGAAAGGCTGGTATGGTGGTTGCGATGGTGGAGAGAGGCACGAATGTGAACGTCCAGGACCACCGTGGTCTTACTCCTCTGCACTTGGCAGCCAGTCAGGGTTACGGCGATACTGTCGAGGCTTTAGTGAAGGGGCATGCCGACCCCAATATTCAAGATAAGGAAGGCTTTACAGCCCTTCATCACGCCGTTTGGGGAGGGCCCAATGCCACCAACATCATGGTGAAGCTGCTCAAAGCGAAGGCAAACTTGGATGTGCAGGATCAAGGCGGCAAGACAGCCTTGATGCATGCAGCTCAACGTGGTGATGGCCTTGCAGCCTTGTGTTTAGTAAATAATGGGGCAGATTCAGGCGTCAAAGATAAGGAGCAATGGACTGCTCGAGACTATGCTGTCAAGGGGAAGCATGACTTGATCGAAGCATTGCTGTCTGGGAAGGTTTCTAACCAGGGGCTCGTCACTGGAGGCTGACGGTTCAAGTTGGCAATAAGCTAGGAACAGCAAGGAGAATCTGCCAATTAATTCTAGATTATATAACAGCTCGCATACGAGTTCCTGCTTCTTTTATAGTTCCAACACCAAGGCGGTATATAGTACTAGTGCTTGAGGACACAGCTTATGGACTCGACCGGGGGGTGACAGGCGGGGTGAAGTGAAAGGACCCCGTAAATGTTCCAGAGAATTGAGGTGCCTCTCCTGTATTGATATTCTGATTGCCGTTGCCATGATGGGTGTTTTGTGGACCTTGGCCATAGTTTGCGATAAATAGTTGAGTCAAATGCCTCTGGTGATGTCGTTCAATGCCAGGTTCAGTTGCGGACGAGATTTGCATGTGTTCGACAGCGCTTGCCAAATCCTTAATCTGGTCTCGGGTTGGATCGTTGATGGCATGTTGACTAGCAAGAAGTTGAATGTCCTCCAAGATGCCCTTCATCAGCCCTTCTACCTTTTTTCCCTTGCCCATTGTCCGCATTGCCGTGGCAACCCGCCTCGATGCCGATGCCCCTGAAGCAGATACAACTACTTCTAGGGCTTTGTGGAGTGACTGTACTTTTTTCTCACACCCCTCGAGTACAAGCATCATGGACGCATACGATTCCCGGCTCGGTGCTGTTTCCAAGCCGTATCGGACCGCCTGAAGCATATCGGCAATCAGGGGCAGTCTCTGTTTGGCGGCGCGAAGGCTAGGAAGCCTTGACGCATCTTTGACCGCCCCACACAACTTCACAGCTACATCGAGCAGAGCAACGATGCCCGATATAGCCCCTATTACTTCAGCGCCCGACATAGTGTACCGTAGCTTGAGGGATAGTGTGTATTGATGCCAAGAAAGCCAAAAATGGATGTCGTGCAGGCTAGAGAGACAGCCTTGTGCTCGATATGTTGGCAAGCCACAAGCAGCGGTCACCGAGAATGCATGCTCAGGGGAAAAGAGGGCTACCCTCCTTGTTAAACCGCAACTGCATTTGGCCCGCATAAATGCCTCGTATGGGGGTGGCAAACGTTGGGTCTAGCAGACGGGGGCTGGAATTCTTCGTGGCGATGCATGCATGTGTGTCCAATAAACATGCATGATCCATCATCTTCTTGCATTTTCTCGGTTAAGAATCTGTTCTTACTGCATGTGTTGTACGACACGAAATCCGTCTCTATAGGGCGAAGAAGTAGTCTCCTACTGCAGTACGACATTATAGCTGCAACCTGTGTTTGGCCCCCGACCTAGGTTCCCTCAGGAATCTTATGCACAGGTGAAGGCTGTCACCACTGCTCACAGTTCAGCAAGAGTAAAGGGTTGGGCTGCTCGTGCCATGGATACCTAGGAAAGGACGGAAGTTTGTCTTAGGTACCTTGCTGAGGTGCTGCAGCTTGGAGCGCATCATATAAATTGCAACCCAACTCTAACATTGGCAAGTAGTATCCAGAATGCCCCTCATCTACTGCAAGCTTCGATTGGTTTAAAGGAGAATCTTATCTTTCTCCCTCCAAGATGCATTCCCGAGAGATAAAATTTGAGCAGGACCTTGGGGTAGACACAATACCCAACACTTGTTCGATCAGAATCCACCTATCCTCCAAAATGCCGGGCCCTGGAGCTACCCAAGCCCTCATGGCCATCCGCGGGGCCAAATCCACACTCCAGAACACCAACAACGTGTACGCCGATCTTGACGATGCTAGCAAAGACTTGCCCAACGCATTCCACGAAGTCGCAAAAGTGATTCCCCTCGTCGAGCGTACCCTTGGTACTATCGAGACGTACATTCAGTCGAGGAGCAGGAAGACAAAGGAAGAGACACGCGAGGACCAAGATGCGTACCAACAAATAGCCAAGCTGGCAAAACAATGCGATGAGCGAGCTGCGCGTTTGCAGACAATCTTCGGCAAAGTCATACCACCGGACGGCACCCCCGTACAGGAGCGATACCGATCTGCCGCCGGAAAGGGAGGTCGTGTAGAGCTTCTTATGAAGGGGATCCTCGAGGACGTTATTGCGCTTGCCAAAGAGCCATTTGTCGGGCCTGACGAGGCGGAGTGCCTCCGGGCTGCGTTGAAAGAGATTATGGAGCTCGAGCCTTCGTTGCCCGAGAACACGGGATCTCACGTCTTTAACAATCACGGATCAGGCCCGCAGAGCATTCATCTTGGGACTGGCGACCAAAATATAAACACAGGTCCGGCTCCGCAGTTCAACGGCCAATTCATGGCCCCTTTCCATCTCGGAGGATTTGGTTTTAGCAACCTGGAGATGTAGGTGCTCGAATCGTGCACACCTGCATGTAGGGATGTCTGGTTACATACGGAGGCTTAGGGTTAGTATTGCAGGCATCCCTCCCAACTCTGCCCCTGAACCATTCCACGGAGAGTAAGCTCAGCCTGCCAGAGGTCTAGAAACCGCGACTATAACCATTTTTCACCTATCACAAAGACAACCAGATGAAGAAAACTCGGGGCACCTGACAGATTGCTCGAGGAAAGCCTGAGCAGGAAGCTGAGAGGCCGCCGAGTAAACTGAACCCCTCCTTCTAATAGCTCACTGCATGCGGACGTGGCCGGGAATCGATTATCGTTATCCCCAAAAGTAGATATAGTGCTATAGAGGCAGTAAGACTTTGCGCAAACCAGCTTGGTAGGGTGACAGAATGAGATAAAGTGGCAAGGAAATACAAAGAGTACTACTCCCTCTAGGAGCACACTGCCACTTTGTCCCTCTGCCGCGCGCACTGCCTCTCCCAGGCTGGCATTGCCCATTTCACCATGTACTCAGACTTCAACACCTGCTCGGCCGTTAGTCTCTCGCTGGGCTCAAATACCATCATCCCCCTCAGCAACTCCTCCAAAGCCCGCATCTCACCACCTTCCACGTCCCACTGACACGTCTCTGGCGTTTCACCGCGGCCCATATCCCACATCCTTTGATGCAACCGCCGGAACTTGGGCGTACAGATACGTTTGACGCCATCCTTCCTCCAAGCGCCGTCCTCCTCGAAGAAGTCGCTTCGCGCTTCCCACTTGTCCCACCATCGTTTTGGTAGCATACCAAGTGTGTTAACCACTTCGCCGATGATGTCATCCCGGTCCCCGGCAAAAGTTTCAAACAGGATACGCTCGCCGAGAACTTCGTAGAGGTTGACGCCGAGTGTCCAGATGTCTGCTGCTAATGTGACCGGCTCGTTGAAGAAGGCTTCTGGGGGCAGATAGGGGTCGGGGGTGTGTAATTTCGGGTTTGACTCTTCGGCAACTATGAAGGATGTTCCAAAGTCCGAGATGCGTACGAGAGGATCTGTCAGCTTGTTTGCGGGCGTTGGGATATGTAATGGATACACCGCATAGGGTGGCGCGTGAGGTCCCACGACTGTACCATTAACTCGCCGGATAGGGACCTTGTCCAGACGGTATCGCTTGTAAAGTTCGGGTGGGTCGAGGTAGTCGATGTTGGGGCCACAGATAAGGAAATTTCGAATGTGTAAATCTAGAGAGTCAGGGTCAGAAACATGTCACGATAGGAATTCATTCCAGATTTCGAACTGCACCTACCACCATGGCACACGCCTTGAGAGTGCAAGTATGAGAGGCCCATGATTAGTTGAGCAGCAATGGACCGTGCTGTTTCAACCGGGAACATAAAGTCCGCCGCAGACTCTTTCGATGTAGCGATGCTACACACTGCCGGTTCCTGCACCAGGCAGACGTGATGGCCATTAGGCCCCTCGAAGGAAAAATCGTCGAGCAAGCGGGTGATGAATCTGCGTCCCAGATGACTTGACTCGGGTGTGCAGAGCTGGCGAAGGATCTTCGCCTCGGTACTCTTGGTAAATTCCTCTGCGACGAGGAATTTCAGTGAGACATACCGCTGCGCCTGTTTGTCTTTGGCGAGCCAGATTGTCGAGTAACCGCCAAAACCGAGTTTATGGACGACTTCGTAGCGGCCATCGCAAAAGGCGTCACCGATCACAACGGGATGATACCCGCCGGCAGAGTATCCCTCGAAATCCTCCAAGTCGGCTTCCTGAACATATACCTCGTCCTCGAACTGGGGCTCGTCGATGCTGGCCATTGAGAACAATCGAGGTCCGGAGGTCCGTGATGAGGAGTTGCAAACAGGTTGAACGAGGATTGGTGGCGTGTAAACAAGAGATTGGAGGTATCTTGTGCCTGCAAGCAGGAGAGCCAGTGTTGGACGGCTGTGAAAAAAGGGGAGTGTGAGAACATGAATGCGAGAACGCTTCCAAATGGCACTCATGTTGAAGCTTTGGGCCTCAATTGAAATTCTGACTTGTTCTGTGCGGCCACCACACACGCGCCTCCACGGAAGACTGGCGCTTCCTCCACGAACCATTTCACGCGTTGTTCGAACACGAGATTACACATCGGATTTGGCCTCGAAAACAAAACAGAGGGTGACATTCGATAATTTGGTGGTACTCTAGTCTAGTACTGTACTAGTACTAGTACTAGTACTCAGGTATATACTAGTACTAGAGTACTAATTCCAAAGTCTGCTTACCGTCGATAGGGTGGTGATACTTTCCTTCGTGGAGTGCCCCCGTTACCAGACCCCCTGAGCCAGGGCACCTCATACAGGGTTAGGGTCTTTGGGTTAGGGTCTTCTCCCGGTATGCGAAGACAATGGAAGGAAAACAGGAGTTAACAAGGGTCCGGGTCGGAATAACCGTATCCGGGGGCCTTGGCAAGCCCTTGCAAGCCAAGCCAAGCTAATCCAAGCTCTGATTTTTTCAGGCAAGCTAATTCAAGCCGAACGTCTTGGACTGAAAAGCACGGCAGAGAATTGGGTGAATTGTATTGATTGTAGCTAGAGGTGGTTGTTAGAGGGTTGCTAGAGGAAAAAGAGCCTAGCCCTAGTGCCTACAGTGGCTCCAATGAATACAAGTTATTCCCTAGTTCCTCCTTCCCACTTAACAATACTACCAGGGACCTAAAAAGTGCTTCGACCCCGAAGTACAACTCTCCACAACACCGAAAACCACTACAATTCTTGTCCATTTTCGTGGAGCTTCTGAGTGCCGAACTGAGTTGCTGTAAAGTTGTGTCGAGGCTGCTAAAACTTGCGTAGTGATGATGTTTGATGATGTTTGCCCTCCGAGAGTTTCTTAGGGGAAGATGTATATTCTTAGCCGATTAGTGCCCTGGGTGAGACCCTTCCTATAGCACGGTGTATAAAGATAATCGAAATCAATCGAAAACCGAAATAGAGAGATTATATAGCCAGCGCAGCAACAGGTAGAACAAACATTGCAATCAGGCATACAACAACGGTAGATGAAAAACAACCCAAAATAGTGAGAATGAATCTTGATCTTTCAAGCGACCGGCGATGGGTTGGAACCATGCTACCTAGATGGAATCACTATGAAAAGCATGGTAGAGAATTGGGTAAATTGTATTGATTGTAGCCGGAGGTGGTTGTAGGAGGGTTGCCGGAGGAAAAAGAGCCCAGCCTCAGTGCCTGCAGTAGCTCCAATAAATTGAGGTTATTCCCTGGTTCCTCCTTCCCACTCAACAGGATTATTGGCAGCGCTGCCGAGAAGTGTTGGAAATACTACCCCTGGGCATAGTTCGTGGCCTGTAACGTCGGAAATTACTGCTCCTACGCGCCCACCAGGATAAATTGGCTCTAGAGAGCTCCTGAGATTCAGGATAACTTTGAACAACAATTGATCAATCAATCCACCAAGAATTCCATCACCACTGGGCAATTCGCCCAGTATTCGTGCCTCACTGCTGTATTTCCAACAAGAAGGCAAGGCTCCTGTCTATCCTGACTAAGGTACCGAGTCGGGTGCCGCTGTACCCCGTGGTGTCTGGTGACAGCGTGTTCTCCTTTCACGACAGTTCCAGATAGTTTCCCTCAGATGGCCTACCCTTCATCAACTCGCCGTGCATGATGCCATCAATGTAGCACGGCCCGATCAGCTGGTACCGTGAACTGCTGCCCCCACTGAACCTCTTACTGGAAACCGGTATCGCTGTACTGCCGGTACCTGCTTCTTCCTCCACATGCTCATTTCCTTTCTTTGACAACGGCCGCAGGACTACCGGTAGTTTGACGCCGTCCAACACGCAAATGACGTCCCCTGCCCTAGCACTGACGGGAACCCATCCAAGTCTGTTCTGGGAAGTGGCGCAGAAGCGCCGACTGAAAACACTGCCAAAGATGCTATGCATAGTTCGCCTCAGGTGCAGTTCATTATCATCGGGCAATGGGCTTGAAGAGCGTCTATCCATGCCCGGTAGCCTGGGTAGTTGTCTACGCCACTGTGTCTTCGCTAGATGCCGTATGTCCCGCGGTTCGGCGGCGCGAGCACGGTTCCGTGGCAGTTCAAACGAGGTGCCCTGCAGGCTCTCGGTCTTCCTTCTCCCCTGTCCAATATCATCGAGAAGAGCAAGGTATGAAACAAAGTTACGCTTTGGCAGGCTAGGAGATGAGTACGTCATGGTCCTCCACAGCGCGTCGAGTCGGTCAGGCGTCATGTGTCCGCCAGTACACTTGGCAGCAATATACTTGCAGTCTTCCATCCACACTAGGTTCGTCATCTCGTGGGCGGGAAGTTTTTCTGTCCCGAATCGCTGCCGCGCCTCGTGCGCTTCGCGTAGGGAACTGATTTCGAACGTCTTTGTTGACCCTTGGCGATCCCTGGTCACAAGGTATTTAGACATTATATCGTCTAACGCTTGGTCCCTCTTGTCCCTCTTGAACCATTTGAGGAATGAGAACCGCTGGCGCCTTTTCACAAGCTTGCTCACGGCCGCCGGATCAAACTTTGTTCCTGAGGCGAACTCAAAATGGTCGAGGCCAGTCAGATGCATCCGCGAGATGGACACTTCGTCGACTGTGTCCACGATGCGCCCCATTATCCGCAAGAGGGTTGGCTGGTCGGGTCTCCACGAAACGTGAAGCTCAGAAGTCCCTGAGGCGTTGTAGTGCCCAGGAAATGGATTCAGTATCTCGAGGCGGTTCTGGCGCCAGTCGGGAACCAGGACGGCAGTGCCACCCCGCCCGTCTCTGCCTGAGGTATAGCCCCTACTAGTAGAGGTTCCGGACCTTGTTTTCCAGCGTATTGGAGAAGATCTGGATTTCTCCCTCGCAAGAGACACCAGCGGGCAAAGCGCAGGTACACATGCTCTACCGTGGCGGTATAGTCAGGAATGACTTCCCAGTCGGTCTCGTCAACATCATTAGCGACATCGCAAAATGCAAATATCCGGTCCCGGTCGTTCGTTACGTCACGAAATGACTCCCGGGCAACGAAATCGAGCAGTGGGCGCCGCGACTCCACTAAGTTGCGGGCTTCGGGCCCGTCTTCGGTCACAATGCGAAGAATGGTCACCAAAGACCTGTAGGCGTCGGCGCTCAGGTGCGGTCCTATGATCTCCATGCCGAGGGGGTGCATGAATAACTCAGCGATAGGCCGGATAAAGTCGTTGAGTGGCATCTGCTCATTGCCAAGGGCCACAACTGCGCTAGTAGCCTTCCTGAGTTCCTGATATACCCACACCCGCAGAAACCACGGGTTCTTCATGACATCAGCCACAGCGGTCCAGTTGAAGCCTGCTAGCGTCGTCTTGTGCCTGTGCCAGTCCCCAGCCGCCATGGAAGGGAACTTGCGGTATATCATCTGGCGAGCCCATACGGACCAGCTGGATTCGTTGTAAAAGAACAGAGATGCGGTAAAGTGTTCGTTCAGCTTCCGCAGGGTCGAGATTGCCTCGCTGGAGGACTTCGTGGGCTCGCCGAGCCAAATGATGACCGACTCAGCCTTTTCGTAAATGCTGCCCATACGAGGTAACTGTTGGGCCTTCTCCAGCGGGTCGTTCTGGTTGATACAAAGCGCATCCACCCAGAGGATACGCTCGCTGTCGGGGCGCCGCAAATTCCGCGAGGCATCGTACAAGTTCTGGCCGACCACAACCCGTTTCCCGCTGCATATGATTTGCGGGGGCTTGTCATTGCTGTTGTAACATCATACATACGACAGGGCTTCGAACCGAGGGCTGGTTGCGAGAGAGACATGCTCCAGACGGCAACTAACTTGGGCAGAGCCATCTCCCCGATCCAGAACCAAGAGGCGAATCTGATTCTGGGCATCATCTAGGGGACTATAATCCGGTGTCGGCGTTGACGTCGCCACTCGTGACCCATGTATCGAGTACTGACGGAGGACTGAGGAGGATAGCGTCCAAGTACCGTATAGAGCCGCGAGGACGCCGCCCAACGTCAGCACAAGGTATCGGCCACTTCGTCCGCCGTTTGAAGTGTGCTGACTCGCTTCATTGTGCCTGGTTTGAGTCTGGCTATTGCGAGGAGGTCTGTAAGTAGGTCGAATCGCCCACCTATGTTGTGTCTGGGCAAACGATCTTGTACCACTGAACCTTGGGCGTAAAATGCGCTTTGCAGAGTAGGAAAACATACCTACTGTCGAGAAGTTTGAGATGCTGCTTTTGCAAGTGAGAAAGCGCACTGCGAATCGGGATGTCCCTGCTTTTTTGAACCCCGCCCCTGCTTAGACTCGGGCAGCAAGTTGCGCGCTTAACGCGACTGACACTGGCAAGGCTCAGCCTCCCAATACCATCGTAAGTAGGAGTTTGACACTCGTCAGAACCTGACAGTGGAATCTCTGACGGGCCGACTCAGAACATCGCCAGATCTTGCCAGCCCTTGGCAGCCCCCAATAGTGGGGCATTGCCAGGGGTCTGACGAGTGTCAACTCACTACTTACGATGGTACCCTCGTACCTTGGCCAATCTTTTGCAAGGGAAGCGCCGAACTCTGGCCAACCTGGGTAAACCGACCCTCCGACTCGCCTCGATGTCTCCCACCTCGCCATCTACGCCCACGCCTGCGGACATGCCAGTCAATGCCACCCTCTTTGGTATGAATGCTAGTGTTGGAAATCACAGGGTGGACTTACCGGGCCAAAATGGCCACTGGTGATGGTTTCTTTTGGTGGTTGTCTTCTAGATTAATTGATCAAATTGAAGGTTCTAAGGAATAGAGGCCACAATAGCTCTCTAGAGCCAATTTTATATAGGTGGGAGCGCAGGACAGTAATTTCCCCCTATAGTGGGCCACTCCCTAGCTTACGCCAAGAGGGCTCATTTCCAATAGCTAGGAGCTCAACAAGCCGGGGGCACTACTATAACTGTATAAACAACAAGCCAAACCTGCGCTGCCCCCTGATTATCACTCTTAGGACCATGCCGATACTTTATGCTAGCCTGCTAGGTCCCATTATGACATTTATGTACGTGCATGGACTAGAACGGTTGAGGATGACTTAACGGATCACTCGGGACAGATGCATAATGATGGCGGATACCTAAAACGCAGTCACATGTAGGTATATGTAAATACCTTAGTAAACTAAGTTTACATAGCAAATCGGAGTTACCAATAGGCAGGATACCTACCTACCTGTCTTTGACACGAAATGCTCTAGGTGCATCCATCTCATACACCAGAGTCTTCTTGTTCAATTGAATAATCCCCTTGAAACTCCTCCCACTTAGTGCAAATGTCTTCCAGAGTTGACGTACTGACGATCGACGCGATCTCGCTCTTCCGCTCAATGAACTGGAGGGCGAAGCCCTCTGAGGTATGCCAACCGATGTGACAGTGCATCAGCCATACACCAGGGTTGTCCGTCTCCCAGGCCATGACCAAATATCCCTGCGATGGCAGCATGGCCGTATCGCGTCTGGGTGGGTTATCGGTCTCCAGTGTTACTGTCGACGAGTCGTATGTCCCTGAACCTTGGGCGAGAATGAAGAAATCGTGACCGTGCAGATGGATTGGGTGCGGAACCTGCAGCGTTGTTTGAACCACCATGTACACCCACTGGTTGGCTTCATTCAGCTCAATGATGGCGTCATCCGACTCGTATTCGGTGATGTTATCCGTCACCATTTCCAGAGTGGGTTTGGCCCAGTCAACTAGCATGGTCGTGCTGTTGAGATACCATTTGAAGAGGCCAGCCGAGTTCCTAGAGACTGAGGCGGTTTCCAAGTCATTCCACTGTGCCGAAGAAACCGTCTTGGAAATGTAAGGGGTGATGTTGGCCGTCTCATCGTCGCAGGCGTCCTTGAAGTCGTAACCAGTTGTCGAAGGGGTGCCGGGACTATCACCGTAGTAGACGATCCCTTTGATATTTTCGGTGCTGTCGTTGTCAGAGCATGCTGACTGTGGAATAGCCCTCATCCAGAAGTTATCCGCGACATCAGCTTGATCTGCCGTGACGACTATGTCGTATCTTTGTCCTATGTGGCAGTCAGTCTCGGCTTTCCTAAGAAAACAAAATACGCAGGTGGTCTGATGATGTACTTACCCATCCCAATTGTGATAACCGTCGTTTCATATGGCACAATTGGAACGAGATCAGCTGCCATTACAGTCATAGTGTGGTTGTCGATGGAGAATCTCCAATGCGTGTCGACGGCGGCATTCACCAGCCGCATGCGGTATGAGGTGCCAGACGTGAATGAGACAGCCAATCTTGTTCCGGTCTGGGATGAATCACCATCTTCCCCGTACACGTTGGTACCGTTAATGAGACCGTTGGCCAAGGTGGGTGGCCCAGACGTTTCAGCACTGGAATAGAGCTCATCGACAGTTTGGTGATCCCAATCGTTGAGGAAAAGCATGCCAAGATCCTCGTCGTAGTTAGCGGTAGAAGGGCCATTGATGATGATCCCACCAAAGACGCCTTCCCACGCTTGAAGGCTGAAGTGAGAATGGTACCAAGACGAGCCATATTGTGTTGCTTTCCAGGTGTAGGTGGTTGATTCGCCAACCACCAGAGGACACTGCGTAATGGAGGCAACACCGTCATTCTGGTTGGTGTAATTTTGGCGGATTCCATGCCAGTGGATGCTTGTGCCGTTCAGAGAAGTGGATAACGAGTTGGTGACGTGAACGACGACGGTATCACCCCAGTCAGCGAAGATGGTTGGACCGGGGATGGAGCCATTGACAGCCATTGCTGACCGCGACACCCCGTCCGGTGACACGGTTACGTCCGTTAACTCAAGCCAGTACTCTCGAGTGACGCCCGTGTCAACGGGCTCTGTCGTATAGTCGGTGTCGATGGAGTAGTCGCACCATTGGGACCGGGTTGACGCCGTATTGCCGCTACAGGAGGAACGAGCCAGCAGTGCGCTTGAATGAGGGGCGTGTACTAGTCCCGGCAGAGCAGAAGCCAGTGTAGCAGTAAAACTGCTTGTGGCAAGAAGACGCGAAATCATTGTCATGTAAGAGCCAGGTCTCAACTTTCAAGGGCCGACGAGGGAGAAACGAGGTCGAAAAAGCATGTAAATTGAAATGGTTAACTTGAGGGGTCCCGAACATGTGCTGAGATATGTGTGATTGCTTTCTCAGAGAGGTGCCATAGCATTCAGCTTATGTAGTAGATGTAGGTCCCTGGCTCTAAACCACATCTTCGCTTCCTTGTAAGTTGTATCCAAGTACATCGTCAGCCCGCCTTCCTGGCGCCTCCCCGCACAGAAACCCTGGAGGAAAGCGGTTAGTAGTTTCGCTCTCGCCATTGCCAAACTCCCTCAAAGTGTCCAAATCCAGCGTCCTGCAAAGTCGTTGCCAATCACTGCCGTCGTCAAATCCGAACATCACGCAAGCCACCCTCCGATCCAGATAACACCATCCCGTGCCAACACGGCGAGCTCATAGTGTGGACATCTTCTCAGTCACCTGAATCAAGAAGTTACGCGTCCCTCTTGCGTGTCACGATCCATGATAGCGGTGCTCGCGCTTCACGAATGCAGCCGCCGGCGGACATCTATGAGTTTTGGAGGATGGGTAGGACTCAAACAGTTGCGTAACGTCAAGGGGGAGAAATCAATAGTGTCAACATGAGTGCATTAACGCTATCTCAATTCGTATACCCTTGTCATGGAAAGGGGCATTGCTCGTGCAAACGGAGCTTCCCGAGCTCGAGCAGTTGTAAAAATAACGACAAGTTATTTCCAGTCATAGTCGGGAAAAAGGATACAAAGTACGAATGTTGAGATGCTATATACTACTAAGTCCATACAGAAACTAGGCAACTACTGGTCAGGACTAATTGGACCTACTAAGTCGCTCCGAGATCAGACGCGCCTTAGGTAGTATGGTCGGTAATGTTGAGAGACTCAGGGGCAGAGACCACAAGCCATCACTGTGACAGGGGATGTACAGTACCAGAGTTTATCTTACTTGTATCTGCGTATCTAAGCTGCTCCCCGAGTCCATGAGGTAACTTCTCAAGGCCAAATACAACTACCTATCTTCGTAGCCAATAACCGTGTATTTCAACAAGTAACTAGGTGTAGCACAGTCTCACATACCACTACCATATGCAGCTAGCTACAGACGTACACGTATAAGGTATGCAGTGATGGAGCCCAGCCACAAGCGGCCCGGGCCGGGGATCTGTCCTTATCCGGACGATCCGGACAAGCCATGCCTGCCATGCTGGGGACAGGACCCTCGATTCCTGGGAGCTAAGTAGGTATTGTCTCGGGTGCTGTTTTCCGGCTTGGACACCAATCATGCTAAAGAACCCGGCCTTTGAGCCTTGCTATCTAAGTCGAAGAGCAGAAAGAAACGTCCGGTTTAGTTTCATAGCCCTGGTCATTCCCAACTTTATTCCGTTTACATAGAGAACATCTCCCGTTACCAGCAAGGAGAGCTTAAAGTGAGAGCTTCCATGTCGAGATCCTGTAGCTTAACGACTTATCGCCGATGCTAACATAGGAGCTAGAGTGCTACACGCCAACAAAATGCCAATCGTTAACTAGCTTTGCTCCAGAACCCATCACCAGCTGAGCAATCGGATATGTGGCGGCACATCCCGTGGGATTATTGTGCACGCATACGTAACCTAGACCTTGACTCCTACTCCTGGCCCCCTGCCCCTGACCCCGCCCTTGTCCCCCAGCCCAGGTCACGCAGCTGCCCGGAGCACAGAAAACATGACTTTCGATAATGAGTTTCTTTTCAAAACTACACCGCCCTTAGATGCCGCGTACTACCAGTAGAGCAGCGGAGGCGCTGACGGCAGTGGGAGGGGGTCGGATCACAGCCTCAGGGGTGTGTGGACTGGAGCTGGGGGCTGTTCCGATAAGGACGTGGGTATCGTGTTCGTGCTGCGGGCTACACCCCGCCGTGGTCAAGACCATTGGCATTGCGAGGCTACGGTGATATCTTCGTCAGTGGATGAGTAAGGTACCTACCTACCTAGTACCCTGTTCGTGCTCGGAGAATGGGTACTTTGAAGGAAAAACTGCCGACCACCAACCTAATTCCCACGACTTATTCCCGATGTTTTCCATTCAAGCTTAGGCGGGCCTTACGTGGCCGCAATGGATGATTTACCCCCTTTGTTTCGTACCTCCCTCTGCTGGCTATGTAGATGGTCGATATCCGGGAACTGAACCCTCCTGCCCCAAAGCCATAAATCCAACGTGCCTGTCGCCGAACTTCAACCCACCAGTCAGCTTGAACCTTGAAGTTTCAAGTCACCCTCGCCCATCCTATACTTCATGTCCAAAATGCTCCAAGTACTTCGCTGTGCTACTATGCCTTTCTCCTCTGCATTTCTTCATTGCTGCGCAGCCTTGTTGTTGCCAGCCTTGGCCGCTGCTGCCAGCTCATCTGATGGATTTCAGCTTTATGGATATGGAGAGGGTATCGGCGGACTGCCGGTGTTATCCGATGGAGGTTTGTCCTAGTCCCGTACACTCACGAGTCACAACGGTGTCTATTAAGAAGACGAAGCTGAACGAAGCCCATTAGAAAACGTGTATCTGGGAGACTACTCTTCGGCCACGGATATTGAACTCGCTCCAGTCATTTGTAAATCCCCTCGTTTTCGACATAGTCTCGCTAATGCGCGGACATCTTACACAATCACGAACGCTCGATAGTTACCACAACCAGCACCGGCTGGCTCGGCTCTCCCAATACAACGGTCTTCACCAACCCTTCTGATATTTCAAGCTGGAGCAATAAAACGTTCGGGGTTCCGTCGGCATCCTCTTCGTCCAAGAACGTCTTGTTTGTCAATGGCACGATGGACTCGACCAGCGATGTGGTAACGGACTTGTTGACTTATGGCTCTTATGTGTTCGTTTGGGGTGAAAGAGGGGATATGGAGTCACTCTGGTATGCCTTGCCATCGGACTTAGACGGAATCTTTGCTCTGAAGTGGAACTCTACGGGTGATGAGTCTGACGGCAAGATCCCGATTACGCTGAAGAAGACGCCGCCGTCTACTAGCACCTGACTTGGTATTCAATCTCGTACCACCATTTTTTGACTAGGATAGTTGGGTCTGGTAGTTGCCCTAGACCTCGACAATAAAGTTGAGGCCCCAGGAGAGGCGGTGAAGTTACTGTTCGCCGTGTTGGGCAAAACAATTGAGCATTCTCTCCATTGAAGATCCCTCGAGAGTCGGGAAACTTCTTTGCCTGAAACACACCTGTACTGTGTGGTGCGCCCTGAGCCCCTATAGCCCTCCTATAGCCCTTGCCTTGATCCCGAAACACATGCCGATTGGACACCCGTCGTTTACCTAAAGTGCGACCCCGCAAGAGTATATTTAGTTCCAATCCCCTTATTGACAGGCATAATGAAAACAGACTCTCGGCTCAGGATAGTACAAGCCATGATTTCCAGGTTAGTAGTGCCTCTCTCATTTGTAGTCTCCGTCGTCGCAGCGGGAGATGCCTATTTCGTATCGGACGGAACATCTCTAGAATGTATCCTGTATATACACAGGCCACAACACAAGCCGACACCAGATACCGAGGGTGCGTTCAAACTTGAAGGGGCTCTTCAATGACAGCCTTCCTAACAGACCGGCATAAGTACGGTCAGGACGTCGCAATACCAGACAGAATGCTGGATCTCACAGCTGCCCTTACTCCCATCCACATCTTCCCTCCCTCCATCCTACCTTCACCCTCACCATGCTGTCCAACTTCCTGGGCATGAGCGTCGCCCTCCTGCTCCTTGGAGCGTCGCAGCCCCTTCTGGCCGCAAAGCCCTCTCCCGGTTGCGGCAAAGCCCCCAAGATCATTACCCCTGCCGCCGGTTCCAGCCCCGGGCTGAGCATCACCTCCGGGGGCGTCAAACGCCAGTACTTTGTCAAGCTGCCCGCCAACTATGACAACACGCACCCCTACCGCCTTATCTTTGCCATGCACCCCGTCGGCGGTTCCGGCGAGCAAACCTCGCGCGGCACGGGCGGGTACTACAACCTCCCCAACCTCATCAACGACACCATCGGCGCCATCTACGTCGCGCCCACGGGCACGTCGGGCCCCCTGGGTGTCGGCTGGTGGAACAACGGCGGGTCGGACGTTACCTTTGTCAAGGACCTCATCAACGAGATCGAGAACGACGTGTGTATCGACCAGAACCTGCGCTTCTCGACAGGCTTCAGCCACGGCGGCGCGATGTCCTTCATTCTTGCCTGCGCGTTGGGCAAGGAGCTGCGCGCGGTTGCCGTCCTATCGGGAAGCCCCCAGATCAGCGGGCAGTGCCCGGGCGGAACGGAGCCTGTGGCGTGGTACTCGCAGCATGGAACAAGGGATCAGGTGCTGCCAATCGCGGGCGGGCGACAGATGCGCGATCGGTTCTTGAAGAATAATGGATGTGCGGCGAAGGAGGCGAAGGAGCCGGCCAGGGGTGAGAAGCACATCAAGACGGTGTATGAGTGCGCGAAGGAGTATCCGACGACGTTTGTGGCGTTTGATGGGTAGGTCTAACTGCTATGGACTGTCCATGAGGAAGGGGAAGATAAGAGTGGGAAAGGACATCTGCAATGATTGGCTGACTGACTGATTGGGATAGGGACCATACGCCTTCCCCGAGAGACCCGGGTGCGACGAGCACGTTCTCGGATAAGTATACGTGGGAGTTCTTCTCGCAGTTTACATGAGAACCCAATAGTTGGAAGGGAGTGGACGGTGACATACGTCGTAGCGTCGGGTTTGATGGCAATAGTTCGGGTTTGAAAGGTCCAGAGCAGAAGGCACGTAACGCCTCGACCGAGGCTGTAGGGAGTCAGAGGCTTGATACCTACCTTAGGACTTAGATACAATGCGCAGTTAGGTACATGTAGCGGGAAAATCCAAGGCCTCTGAGCTTCGCTGAACAATCAGGTGTCCATAGCCCCTGCAGCAAAGACGTCTCAGGCCTTAAGTTGTAAGAGCATATATTTGTCTCGTGCGTGGGGGAGAATTTCCTGTCCCCCACGGACGACAAAATTAATTCCCAATCGGGCATTTTTGTAGAAACCTCTTTATCGAACGCTAGGCACAACATCACAGACCGCCCTGACCCTTTAACCATCGAGCCAACTTCCAAGATGGCAGCCCTTTCTCACAACCATGCCAAGTACCAGGAACGTCTCGACTACATTCAAGGTCTTCTGGTCAGTCGGCTAGGACTTTTGAAAACAGTAAGCAAACAAGCCAAGTTGAATCGTGATATTCATTTTGCCTGCGGCAGGTCCATGTTCGCGTCTGGATGAAGGGTTAAGAACATCTGCACACTCGGCTGGCTCCGCATTACACTTACCCATATGTCCTCCACTTTCTTCGGCCAAGGTTGCTAACAGCGATGGCTCGAAACAGGACGTGGAGGGAACGAAGATCACGCCGGTCCAGTACGATCCTGATTTTCCTTTCAAGTATAATAACTTTGTCTACCGCCTCATTCTTCCCGCCGGGACCCCGGACTGCCTTGGAAGCGAGGGGTGCAAGCTCGAGCATCTATCCGGCTGCGTCCCCATTCCGGCTGGCACCAAGGAATTTATACTTCGGCTCAGTAACCCAGATGCCGAGGGCATGCACCAAGAAACCCGCGTGCAGAACGAAGTTGCCATTCTCACTCTCGCCACGGCTGCCCTGCGCCCTGTCAAGCCCGCCGTAGTCCCTCGTGTATTCGGCTGGGGCGCTGCCGGTTCTGGCCGTACCGGGTGGATCCTGCAGGAACTGATGCCTGGAATGCCGCTCGCCGAAGAGTTTAGCAAGAACATGTCCATGGACCAGAAACGGGGGATACTGGCGCAGATGGCAAGGTTGGTGAAAGCGCTGCAAGACTACCAGCTTCCTGAGAGCATCAAGGGCTGGGGGGGACTGACGTTTGATGATGCCGGTGCAATTGTCAGCGCACCCATGCCAACTGTTGGGGCTGGACCTTGGTCTTCGCTGGAGGACTCCTATAAGGACCGCCTGAAAGTAGCACTTGCAAGGGCGGATGCGAATCCACATCTTCAAGGTTGGCGTGTCAATGGGGTCAGGAAGCGGGTGGATGCTTTCATCGAGCACGGGCTTCCAGCTTATTTTGCCCACCTGACTTCAAAGCACGATAGGGTGATTGTGCATGGAGATTTTGGTAAGTACAAGATGGCTATTCCAGAGTGACTGATTGCTGAAATAGAGGCGCACTGCAGTTCCCGAAAATCTGCTCTACGACCCGCCAACCGGCCGTATCACAGCACTGCTCGACTACGATTTCGCCAGCATCCAGCATCCTGGCTACGAGTTTCTCCGCTCCTTCAACACCAACGGTGGCTCATTTCTCGGTTGGTCCGGTGGGACAAGCCCAGAGGAGCAGGAAGCTGAAGCACTTCGGAATGCCAAGCTTACCAGCCGATTTCCTTCACCTCTTCCGGCCCCGGTAGTGTCTGACAACGGTGCGCCAGCGGTCGACTGGGAGCTCGCACAGGCATGGGAGGTCGAGCTACAGAAGCTAGACGTGAAACGTCCGAGCACAATTCAGGGGATCGATAAACTTGCGGATGTCGACGAGCTCTTAGGCTCCTTGTTGCCATTTATATTGACCAACGAGGATTTCCTGAAAATGAATACGGACCCGGACCAGAGGAAGGGGATGAAAGCCATGAGCGAGAGGAAGCTTGTCGGGTTGCTAGAGCACTTGGGATTCTAGGTTGGCAACTTTAAAGGAGACACAGCTCAAGCTGAGAGCGTGGCAAGAACTTCATAAAAGAATGCAGTTTAGGTACTCCGACGTGAGCATGATACTACATGACAGTTAAGGGGCGACTCTAGTCGAAACCAACGCATCTGTGCCTCTGTATATGATCATACCATCACTATCGCGAAGTATTTCGCCCCATCTTCATGTCTTCCATCAATAACGGTCAAATATATATTGACACCTAGGGCACAAATCAAAAAGGAGGATGTCAGTGTATAACGTTCCCCATAGCATCTCCCTTGCCTCGCGTAGCCAACACCTCTACATCGCCTAACAAACTTGATCTCGGCTATGTGGCCGCAGCTGAAAAGGTACCTCTGGTAGTAACACATGCTGATGTGCAAGTCTGGGTATCAAGAAAATGGATTGTAAACGTAGGTTCACCGAGGCTGAGCTGTCTTTGAGGTGGTCGCTTCGAGTTGGTAGGTAGCCTTTAGAGTTGAGCTGTGTATGTGTTTAGAGGTCTCAGGTAGGTATTACGTGCTTGGGCTGATGTCTGGTGTTGCAACTGGTTGTTTGGCTCTCCTCATGTAAGTGAACACCCCAAGGGCGCTCAATCGCTTTAAATATTACAAACTTAGAAAGCTTACCTGGCTTTTTGTCTATTTTGCTGTCAGACTTGCTGATTACGTGGTTATAGAATACTTGTCCACTAAGCCTGAAAGCTGAGATGGCTTGTCAGGCCAGATGTCGATGTTCCCAGCTTGAATCATCTCTCGTCTTTGTGTTGGACGTACCTGCTATGGCCTAGACACCGTGAGAACAAGGTCATGTGTGTTATCCTTGACTGGACATAACAGCACAAAGGCAGGCAACAACAGGAGGGCTAGAACTGATAATTTCTGGGTCCCCAGTCACCACTAAAAGTATGACTTCTCCTCCCCAATTACACATTAAGGCGAGAACTTGCTGTTTTGACCGCCGAATTTAGCTGGGCAGTGCCGCCATTTTCGGGTGCCTCGACAGTACGGGGCGCTTGTCACTGCCAAGTACTTTGTACCTCACCACCCCTCCAATCAATTCATCGTCAGATCCACGACCCCGCTTCCTCCACCCAATGAGCGTTCCAGTCCTGGGCAACAGTTGGTTTGGGAAAGCAGTCGAGTCGGCAGCTGCTATGGTGGAATACCTGTTTTGAACTGTGATAGAAACAAAGGGAGTAAGCAACGTATGACGAATCTTCCAACCCACTACTCTGCCACCCCCTTACGGTGGGAAGACTTTCCCTATATGTAAGACAGTCCCAGAAGCTCTTTGCGCTCTCTGTACAGAGGCATAGACACGATCCGGTCAACGCTCGACCCAGAACTCCCTAGAGGCGTATACATCAGCAAAGAAAGATCTCTTCCTCTTCTAGCCTCCAGTCTAACCAATCCGTGCCATTCTTGCTTCGTCCAGTGTGATCGGGTACCCATTGTGATCGAGCTCCTTGCTGAGGATCAGCGCCGATCCCACGAGCTTGTAAAATCCGGCCTGGTCGGTCCTCCGTAGGATACACGGTGACCTCGTTCCGAAATATGATGGCGCAGACGTCTCCTTCACGCAGTCCGAGGCGCTAGACCGTAATACTCACGACCTGACACAATGAATTTCTTGTGGTGCACGTTCTCCATGCCCATTTCGTGGAAGAGGATGGCATCGGCATATGGGGCGTCTGCCTGGGCCAACTCGCGTTGCAGGAGTCGCATATAGGCCGACGTGCGCATCTCCCACTCCGCTAGTCGTCCCCGGTACACTCCACAGCGAAACAAAGTGATAAAGGCGAGAAGGGGAGAGCAGGGGTAAGGCGACGGCTCTAACTTGGTCGACAAAGATGCCCAGAACGAAGCAACATCGCTGGGCGTCGTGCAACTCTTGTCAAAACCTTGAGCCGCGAACTTGGCAGTGTCTACCATGACCGCTCGAACTTTCACAGTCGTCTGGTCCGACCCCACGGTGACGCTCGAAGGGCAAAATGGCGAAACAATTCGGCGAGTGAACCTGCTGTAGTTGTTGAGCGTACCGGTATAGCTCGAATAGAGATGCCTATCCCAGCGTGGCACCCAAGACGGCACGTTGTCCTCGAGGGTTCTCTCGTCATTGTGGACAAAATGCAGAAGATCTAAATCCCCGCTCGTCCTCAAGTGGCCGCAAGCGAAATCACGGTAAAGCTGTTGATGGCCCACCTCGTAGTTGGGGAGTATTGTTGGAAGCATTTTGCTAGAGCACGGAAAGCTCAAAAAAGCGTAGAGCTTGTCTCTGGGGCCGGCAAAGCCCAGGAACTTGGCGTGCTCCAGGACCTCGAGAAAAGACAAGGGGCTAGTGTAACCCTCAGGTCGGAAGGTGATGGCTTCACGACGTCGTTGGGTGTGGAACGCTTGCAGGTGAAGGTCTGAGAGCCAAACCTGTTGCATATTCGGAAGCTTCAGTGCCCTCCGAATATACCAAATGTAGGCCCGCACCAGGTTTAGCTAGCCAACATTGGCGTCTGCCCAGAGAAGGCGGATATCCCGACCGAGTGCCGCTTCTTAGACCACCCAGCCTCGTCTGAACCAGGGCTGTTGCAGCAGGACGCCGAACGATGTCCATCCGCGATGCAAAATAAGCGGGTCCTCCTTGTCGGGGAACGGAAAGCTGTTCGGTTCCCAAATAAATTCCTCTCGCCCAAAGACGAGCTGCATCATGCTGTTGACTTCTGCCACGAGATCTGCCACGACGGACGCATGGACGTGGTCGGATCTGCCAAGGTAGATGAGCCCCATCAAGGATACCTGACGCCCTTGTTCTTGGGGATTCGCCTGGTTGATGCAGATGGAGTCGACCCAGAGTCTCCGAGGCCTGTCAGGCAGCCGAACCTGGCGCAGGGCATCACGCAAGTTGGGCATGATGTAAGCGACGCCGCCATTGCAATTGATACGATGGTCTTTGACTGGCACGCCCTAAACATACAAGATGGCTTCAAAGGGAGGGGTCTTGTCGAAATTGGCAGTGCGGATGGTGCAGGCGAGGGGGTCGGTGTCTGCCCGGCCGGATGAAGTATCAGGTATCGAATAAAGGGCCCATCTGGTAGCGATTCGTACTCGTAGTAGCGCTCTGGCTGGTTATCTTGTGACCTGGCTGTTTGAACAGAGAGGAATACATCCCTATGGCGTGCATCTGTCTGTGAGATGAACGGCGTAGACAGCCGGAGAGATGCGGGAAAGTCGCAGATGTTGCTGTCTGCCTGAAGCCTTGGCGAGCGCTGTTACGTGCAAATCACTCCAACGCGGTCAGGCAACACCCCATGTACAGCCTGTTCGAGCACTTCAAATTTGGAGAGCGGGCGATTTCGTATATCTTCCCTCGCGATAAGCGAGGCCACTAGCGCTCGCTTCACACCTCCGACGCGGGACCTGGAACGTCTTCCTGTAGGCACTGAGGGTTTGGGGCGTACCACTGAAGCTGGGAGAACCCGATCTGTCCCCTTCTTGCCTGCTATTCTGGACACTGCCACCTAGGCAGTTACGCCTGTCGGTATTGGGTCCATCATATCGAGCGGAGCGATGTCGACTCTCAAGAGAATCACAGTATCGCGTAGTGTTTTGAAGCTCGATTCCTCTTCTGTCTGGAGAGTCTCGTCTTGATCGATCGACTAGCTGATGGAATTGCTACTCTCCAGTTTCTAGAAACGAGATTACATATAGGTATGCCGGACTATTCTGTCCCACAACCGACAGGAGGAAGAAGAGCACCTAGATAACCTTATATGCTCCTTCTCTCGTAACAATGGCCACTATAGCGCGTCCCGGTTGCGGCTCGCCTCTCTAGCCATGTGCCTCTCGTCGCTGACTACTAGCCCAGCATCAATTCAACCTCCTCTCTGGTTTGCTTCTCCCAGACTGGTTTACAGACCCGGCCAAGTCCCTTACGATACGCTATACTGTGTGTCCTTTCCACCCACATCACCCAATAGTACTCATACCAATCGCCACTTTTCGGCTTCTCTGGATGGTCAACCTCCTGGAGCCCGGGATGTGGAGAGGTCGTGTCCCGGCAGAACCCCTTTGCAATCTCGACTAGCACAATAGCCTCAGACGGCTCCCGCGCAGCGTCGTCGGGCTCATCAATACCATCGTCTGGTTGGAGGGCTCCAACCCAAATCCCAGCCTGGTCTCGGAGGGAAAGGAGTGGGGGCCCGTAGATTCGTTGGATTTTCTCGGCAGGAAACAGCGAGGCTCGCCGCGTTCTGCATGACAGGTACGGCGCCTGAACATCGTTGAAAGTATCTCCGTGCCCCGGAAGCGGAATTGGATACCAGAAATCGAAACCTGGGTGCATGGGATGCCTAAAGAAAACCGGAGATGGAGAGCTGGGATCTGACATTTCGTATTTCGCCTGTGGATTTTTTGAAACGGGATGCATGGTCCAGCCAGGGGCGTTTCCCCCCCGACCTTCTAGCCACTCTTCTCGGCACTTCAGGATGCTGGGTTGAATGGGGATTCCGGGTGACTCAGGTGTCAAGTGGTATTTCCACGATACGAGCCTCGTTACTCGTACCGAGCGTGACCCCCAAGCCATGACTCTGGGACAATTTCTGATAAAATCCGAGGCGGATGCCACGTCCATCTTGACGGAGCCGGACCACCCCGCCCAACTCCAGCTAGGAAGGCAATATTTCTTCTCTGGCTCTCGGGCGGCTCTGCGCACCATCCTTGTCTCGGGTTGCCACACCAAGAATGTGTCGAACGACGCGATGGGGAGGCCCGCGACGAGGTTCCCGCCAACGGACCAGCCCATGACAGACGAGATCCCTGCAAAGGCCTCGAGTGCATCTTCCGGGTAGGTGAAGTTTCTTATGTTGTAGTTTCGCAGGATCTCTTGAAATGCGTTAAAATCGGGAACCAGAGATCCAAATATGGACTGGCAACTGGTTATGTTATTGTGAATCGGATGAAGATCGGTGGAAAACTCTACGTGTTCACGCCATATGGCTGCCGAGCACTCCCAGCGCAGCGAATCGCCATCGAAGATCAGCTTTCTCCTCGAAAACAGATGCTCCTGATACGTCCATCCTCTGGTCGCGTAAGGGGAACACTCGCATGCAAGCTCGTAGTTCTCTGCCTCCACCGGGCACTGAAGTGCTCTTAGTCCGTCCGCCATAGGATGGATGACTTGGCGTGATCGTCTAGGCTCGGATATGCCGCGAAACCCTCTCAAGCCATAATTGGCGTGTTCGCCCTGGACAGCCATGATGGTGACCGAAGCGTTAGCGTAGATGGCACCCATTTTGGCCAACTCCCTATGCTTCTGAGATTCATCATCTTGGACAATACACAGGGTATCAACCCAAAGATACCTCTCCGCCAAGAGGTTGACGACGCCCATCGCATTGCGTGTGGTGGTTGAGATAGGGGGTTCCCATGTCGAGAGGGAGAGTGATCCGGGTTGTTGAAGCTGGTCTTGGTTGCTCCGTAGGGTCTGTAAAGTTCGCTGGTTTCCCCAGACGTAGCTGAGGGCAACGTAGGAGCATCCATCAGGAGCGCGGACGAGACATTGACTGCGGACATCTATGAGCCAGGCCGGCGTTATGGAAGCCAGGGTATGAAACGGATGACTCTTGCATAAGCCGTCGTGGAGACGAGCGCAAGCGTCTTTCCACATCACCGGGAGGCGGAGATCGATCCACTCAGGATGGAGAATCCGGCCTCCAATCACGCCTTTGGGGTTCGATGGGTCTTCGGGGATGTATAAGGCCGAAAGGGGCAGTTTCGGGACGGGGGATGAGGATAACATGTCCGCCACAACGATGGCGCCTGGCTTCGATGGCAACTTGACGATGCGTATTTGTCTTATGAAATTGATAGCCTCGGAGAGCGCGAAACTAGACTCTTGGGCATCTAAAGCCAACGCCGAAGCCACCAGTCTCTGGTGACTATCACACCTCTCGGAAGCCTTGAGAACCTCATTGCCTCTCCCAAGGCTAATCATGTCTAGGCGGTGGGCGCTAATGTGCGGAGCACGCAAAAGGAGAATGATCTTCTCGCAGATGTCGCATGCCGCCTATATTTAGTATCATTCGTCGTTAGCTAACGTAAGTTTTCCACAGAATCCAGATAGCTATATTATTGATAGATCTGAAGAAGAACTGATACACAAACCGTTGTCATTGTATTGCTGCGAGAGGCGGGTGGTTAGCAATTCGCAATTCGCGAGACACGAATACCGACGCAAAAATCGATGCGCTCCGCGATGTCCGAGGCACGGCTTCAGAATTATGGCGTGCGCAGTGGAGACTGTGTTGACTCTTAAAGGGTTATGTGGTGGTGGGCTTGCAAATGCGGAGGCGTGCTGAGTTCCGTGGTGGATGGCTGTTTTTACTGTCCTTCAAAGGCGTTTATCCGGTAGGTAACAAGAAAACTCAACTGACCCGGCCAACCAATTGACGCTCAGCAATCCGTTCTTTAGCTTAGCGCATCTGACTATTCAGTGCCGTCGAATCCGGCGGCGACGCTGACGTGTCGACGGCGACCAACGGCCGCATTCCCAGTGCCAGTCATTTCCCCTGCTGCCTTGGGGCTGCGCCCGATGTCAGTGCTCCATTGGCCGCTGTGCCGAAACCTGAACGGTTCTGCTGCGCAGCCAGGCTCACCGTTGTCTTAAAACGGACAGCACTAACAGAGGCAAAGAGGGACCATTTTTGGGTTCCGGAAACTCATGTTTTTCGAGTCCCCTTCCTCAGAGATAAGGTCTTAAGGGCCAAACTAGTGGTGGGGTCAAGGAAGGGACCGAGCGACAGCGTTGAGGAAGTCGAGTATAAGAAAGGGACGTCGCTGTGGAGGCGGCGCCATTCCCGGCGGGTATAACAGCGTGTTCTGCATTACAAACTCAACCGGGTGTCCTCGATCCCCTAACAAGAATCAACAAATCAACAACACTCGCCACCCTCTCGCGGCTAGGATCTTCCCTAGCCTGCTTCGTCGTGCCCAGTTCAACCTTACCAGCAGGCCTGTTCATTATGATCGACATCCCGGGACGGTGACAGACGGGAGTCTGTGAAGCCGCTGCCGCTGTGTTGGAGGGTTAGTAACGGAATAACCACCCTACATATTCCAGAGGCATTCACCGCGGAGCAGCGACCATGAAATTTAATCTACGTTCTGGCCGGGGTAGAACGACAAGACCTCCAACTCAGATCTCGCCACTCGGGAAGCGGTATCGACAGTCCACTCATCCCCCTCAAAAGGGCGCCGCTGGTCCGAGTCCAGGTGCTTATCAAAGTCCCCGACCGCAGCAACAGCCTGCTCAAGATGATCCCAACCCAGGCTAGTCTTCTCAAACATGGCCAGCTGGCGGGCCGTCGTGACAGCATTGCGTATCTGCCGCCCGTTCATCTCCTGCCCAGCCAGCTCGTCCATGTGCGTGGCAATTCCCTCAAAGTCGGCATCCACGCTGTCGGCCCGGAGCATGTCAAGGAAGTTCTCCCAGATTTGGTATCGGCTGGCTTGGTCGAGGGTCGGGTAGTGCAGGGCGACTTGGATGCGGGATTTGAAGGCTGTGTCGAAAGTCTTAACGCGGTTGCTGGTCAGGATCATGACACCGGAGTAGTATTCGAGCGTTCGGAGGAAGACTGGGACAGCATTAGAGGTGCGGCGGTAAAGTTGGGATAGGAGATGGGGGGGCAAGGTGAGATGCAGTACTGGAGACTAGGCTATTGCGTTTGAGGCCGGAGAGGGTTCTCTGTTCTAGGAATACATCTGCCTCGTCAAGGAGGAGCACTGTGGCACCATGTAAGCAGTCTAGTTTGCGGTCTGGTCACGTCCCAACGGAGGTTACGGATGATGGTAATGCGTACCGCAGTTCCATCTTTTTCCTAAATGGAAGACAGAATCGAGATACTGCTCAACAACATCTGGTTTAGTGCCAATGTCGCCGCATGTCACGTTGTACAGGGGCATTTCAGCAAGTTCTGCCACACTTTCTGGAAGTTAGCTTGGAATGGGTCGCATATCGAGTAAGGGAACCGCGTGAGTTTGGCCGTGTACCTTTCTGCAAGGAAGTTAGATGAGAATCCAAGAGCGAATGAGAGATCAGCGACTCGTCAGGAGTCATACCTGCTGTGAGTGTCTTTCCTGTTCCCGGACCGCCATGGAGGAGCATGATGAGGCCGTCTCCTTTTCCCCTTATTAGATCTGAGCGCATTCCCTTTATGCCTAAGCTATCCGAAGAATCTGCTAATCCTGCTTTCCGGGTCAATACAAGGGCCTTGACCATGTGCTTGGTGCGACGAGGTAGCACCAGTTTCTCAAAAGCTTCCTTGTTCCAATCCACCGGCCTAATGTTGTCAACAAGAAGATGAACTTAGTTAGGTGGACTTGAGTCAGCATTTGATATAACTAGAGATCATTTTATACCACGGGTTCAGGCCATGCGCACCCCATTTCTTGTCCTTGAGAAAAAAGCCATGGATCCCCGGAGGAAGCAGCATTGTCTCCTCAGGACTAAGTGTTGTGGTAACGCTGATCTTCTTCGGCCAGTTATCGAACGGAACAATCCGGTAGTTCGAAAACTTGAACGCGTCTGCGTATTCGTGAAATTTGTGGTATGTCTCGTAGTCGATCATGCATCTGGAGTCAGAAGGCTAGTAATAGTGTGCTTGTGTTAGCTTCGCCATGTTCTCCCTTGGTTGTCCCGGTGTACATCATAGCAGATTAGCACGACAGGTTCAACAAGGAGCATGGACTTACAAAGACTCGCTCGCCTTGATAGTCGGGCCCTTCATAAGCAACGTGGGTCTGGTATCTCAACTTCCAGAAGTGGCTGCCCGTCCTGTGTAACTGCTGTCTGGTTTGCTCCTCGGCATAGCGCAAAGGGTACACCGACAACTCGGTAATGTAGATCGCGCTGTACGACAGACATGTCACGGTGAGGATCTTGTCCTTTCTCTGAAACCATTTCCCGTCGTAGCCCCAGGTCCAACAGTCCAGCTCGACTGTGTTGGGACCGCTCCACATGGGTACAGCACGCAAGACGTAGGCAGTCAGGAGCTTGCCTTCTCTGTGCACTATGATCTCGTTCGGGCGAAACAACCAGGCCAGCGTCTCAGATGTGACAAGACCCCGGCTGAAGAGATCGTTGCACTTGGTATGCATGGGGTCTGGATGCTGTTGCAAATATGCCAAGAGATGGTTCAAGTGCTCTCCGCAAGCAGCCTCGGCCGCAGCTTGCTCTATGTCAGCTCGGTGATGGTAGAAAAAGTATTGCGTGTATTCCGAGGTCGACAGAGTCAGAAGAGGAGATGGGGGTTTCAGCATGCAAGGGGACTCGAAGGAAGAATCCGGCTTGGGCTCGTAAGCACCATCATTTGGTGCGAATTTGCAAATCTTCTGGAGTGCTGTGTGAAGTTCTGTGGAGAGGACTGAAACTACACCGTAACCGGCAGAATGGGCCTCGGAAGAAGCGGCGGAATGTTGAGTGGAGTACAGCTCTCGATTGTCGCAATAGAATGTACGGTATACAATGAATGGTCGGTTGCTTAGACTGGTGATGAGACGGCCAACGTCGATAAAGTGGTCGCCGGCAAGATGCAGCTGCCCATCGATGAGCACGCGGCGAGGCTCGTCTCCAAACATGCGGCGGTCGCATTTGTAGTGATGTTCCAGGCAGTAGACCCGGTAGAGTAGGGGAAAGTCCTCGTGGTTATCAACGTTGGAGCATTCCTCCGAGTCTGAAGCCATGTTATCGGCGTTTGGACTGGTTCTCGTCGCTACATTGGTGTTTGCAATTTCATGTTGGTTGGCGTCAAGGTGTTCCTTCGTCTGAATAATACTCTACATTAGCACAGCGTCAGTGTTTTGACTTCGTTGCGAATACAATGTGGGCATCTGATTACCTCTCTGGGGTCGACAATGGAGTGTTGGCTGGGATGGTTTCGTTCCCAATGCTTTGCCGCCATCATCCTCCGCCTACTTTGATGCTCGAGCAGCTTCAGTTGCATCTCGCGATCCGCGAGATCGAACTTTGCCTGGGTGGCCGGCAATGCCTGTGAAGTGGCCGAAGACGACGAGGCAAGCAATTCGAACCCAGATTCGGCGTGCAATGCATCACCAGCAGCACGGTCCTCGGATATTGTGTATTCCACATCCTCCGACGGCTGCAGTCCAATTGGGTTCATTGGTATCTGCCTGGTTGGAAGAGGTGGGATGGCGGTATTGACAAGTTCCAAGTTGTGACACTTGAGTGTGCGCTCGACTGGGTCTCAGGCAAGGACGGAGGCTAAGGTCTGGAGTGTGTTTGGAACCTCTGGAAGAAGCCGATTTTGCCTTCGCGTCTATGTACCAGTCCAAGCATTAATACTTCCAGCTACCTCAATAGGTTACCCATGACAGACAACTCACCGCTGCTTGCCCTCCTCTGGCAGCGAAGGACTCAGAAGGAGGCGGTTGCCTGAACTGGCCGCCAATCATCGCAGCGCCATGTATATGTATGATGTACCTAAGGTACTGAGCGTGATGCATGTGCACACTGCAAAGACAGGGCAGCATGTCGCCAGGCTTCCATCGCCAGGCGGCCGCTACCCTGCATGCGTCTAAGCAAAGGACCCAGCCTAGAGACGCAGTGAAGGATTCTTACCTATGCATTTGTAGCTGAGCTGCCGGAACTCGGAGAACCGAGAACCTCATATTCTGCGATTGTCCGCCAGGAGTCTGGCACATTTGGTGTCCTTTACGGGCTATTAAGTGATAGAAACAGGGGCCCCAAGTGCTTGGCGCAACCGAGGCATGGCCATTAGCCTCATATTCTGAATCCCAAGAATATAAACAACTACCTACTGGGTATCTATAGACCAACTTTCCACGTACATAAGAACCAGGGCGGAACATAGCGAGGTGTGCCACAAGAGAACGAGGAAGACAGGATAGAGTGAGGGCCGAGGACAAGCAAAGGGGAGGAAGCAAGAGGTAAAAACAAGAAAATGTAGCCAGATTCCCCTAGTAACCCAGACTCTAGAAGATCATACAGTCTCTATACCTCTGCATCTGCCCGGGAGGATGATGACGGTTTCCTCTTCTTAGTCCCGCTTCCGGAGGAGCTGTCAGAAGGAGCGGGCCGGTTCTTAACCTCGGCCGCCCTCTTCCTGCTCTCCTCGAGCAGTATGTCTAAGGAGTCTCGGATCTCCTTCAGCCGCTTGTCCTTGCCCCAGTCGATGATGTTCCGCACGTACTTGCGGAATTCGAGGTAGTGTTCCGGCCTCTGTAGTACAAAGCTTTCAACTTGCTGCATGTAATATTCGAGGTCGTCATGCTTCTAGGATACGTAGAGCCTAGCTTCTGTACCACTTATGGCATTGCTGAACGCTGCTGTTGTGATTGGGCGAACCTGATCATTCCGACACTTCCTGAGTTGGGAGTTTAGGCGTTCGGCGACATTAACGTAGGACGCCGAACCCCCCAGGCATTGGTTTGTAGCCACCTAAAGACTGCCATTGCTTGAGGGTCCATTGCCCTTGAATTCGATGACGAAAAAGAGATAGAGAAGGTCCTGACTGTTTGCTACCATTTTGTTGTCCATGGATATGAGCTGCCCTTGTTGCTGGGTAAAAGCTACGGAGCGGTTATAGCCATAGAGCACATTAGGAACTGGTGTACTGACTTTGTGCTTCGATCCCGTGCTGGGAACAGTGTGTTTGGCTATCAACTGTCTGGCGCTGCGTTTAAGAGGATCGGACGCTTCCGGGTTTGGGAAGAGGTGAGTATTGAAATACTCCTCTACATTAGGTTCTGCTCCTTCCATGCCAAAGTCCCGCAATCTCTTATTTTGCCTGATTTCCTCAAAGGATGGACCCGGGGAATCGCGCTCCTGACCGACGTAGTTGACGAGGCCTGCAACCTCGGCGGGGAACTCGTCGTATGCATGGCGGAAGTGTATGTTGTTCGCAGCCAGGTTTGTCACCCTATAAAGCGGTTCCTCGATTAGACTCTTTCCTGACGATCGACCGGAGGTGGAATTGGAACCGGAAACGCCCGACGACGCCACCGATGCAGTATACGATGCAGTCCAATCCTGGTCCCCTGCACGGGAGGGTCGGGACGAACTCGACGCAGGTGTCTGGGGGACCGCAAAGCCATCGGCATCCCGTGTGTAGCCCATCTCTGGCGTTGATTTTGCGGGTTGTCTGGCTATTGGGCGCCTGCTGCGATAAAGGTAGCTGTCCGACCGGCAACGTTGTGCCTCGCCGGAGTCCACAGACTCCAACCACTCTGATATGACTGTGCGGAACGACGGGCCAGGAGGGGTCGGCTGAACTGGGTCGACGAAGTCCTTGAGAAAAGCGGCTTGCGCCTGTTTCGGCTTTGGCTGTTGCAAAACTGGCTATAGAGACTCATCAGTTAGGTTGGTTCGTTCCTGCAAGCCACGGGCAATTGAAAACTCTTTACCTTGTCCAGCTGCTCCGTTGTGGCGTCAAGCGTTGAAAGCTGGTCTTGAGGCGGCGCCAGTCGGGCTCTCTTCGCAGGCGACGCGTCGGAATCAGACGCCGGGTCAATATCCGCTCCGCTGCACTGTCTTTTTGTAGATCGCGCAGGAGAGGTATCGCCAGCAAGATGGGTTGTCACCGTGGTATCCGCGACTTCAGCAGCGTCGAGCAACCGCTTATCGCAAGATTTGGATGACTTCGAGCGAGACCGAGAGGAGGGAGGTCGCGGCTTCGAAACTCTGCTATTCAAGACAGCCATCGTGAAGGCAGGCAGCCAACAAGCTTATCTACGGTCGCTGGCAATGATGGCTGTCGAACGAAATGGGCGTGTCTGTCTAGGAACTGCAGGGCTTGCGAGGGGTTGTTGCTTTGGGCCGAGGCCAACGCGCGCCTAATCTCGCCAGTGACGACTGCCGGCAGCCTCGGTACTGTAAGTCACCTTGACATATCGCACAGCAGCTTTGCTTGTCGCCAATCATTCCTTAACGAGGCTGCGGGTTGTTGTTCAAGCGGCCGTCTCGTCGAGAGTTGAAGCAAGCGGTTAACCGTCTGGCGTCAGATAAGGAGCCGCTGCTTAGCGCTACGCAATGCCAATGATAGGTACCTCTTTGAAGTGGGGTAGCTTAGGTGTGGAGCAGGCCGAAGGTCCACCCCGAGCTCCGCCTGCCTTCGACTCCGAGTCACCGAAAATACAGTATAATCGGATGCCAAGGTTAGCAATCTACACTGTTCTCAATTGTGTATCGGCGACGTCAAATTCGCAATCGGACCATCCGTTGAGCAGGACTGCGGAGCTGAAGGAAGAGAGGTTGACTGAGGATACCTTGCTTAATAATTGGAACTCTATCTCCTTCTACAGCATTCCTCTCTTTAGCCATCACGAAGACATATCTGCTAGCAAATGCAGTCTACTCTGACGCGTGTGCTTTAGACTTCAATTATAACAACTGATACTTCGTACTTCGCTGTCTATAAGGTAATAACCTTGAACTTCCCGTTGTTCCAATTTCCAGTTAACACCTCCCCCTTACCAAGGTACACAACGAACCCTTCGGGGACAACAACTTATAAGCTCTGGTACATACAAGCGAACTTACCGTCAGTCGCTATCAGCATGACCAACTTTGCTATCAAAGTGGTTTCAGACAATGTCTGCCCCTGGGTACGTTAGCCAATCACTCCACCGATGGTGTATACGCCCTATGCAGACCACGCGACCTAACGACCCCAACTACATACAGTGCTACGTTGGAAAGAGGAGGCTAGACAAGGCTATTGAACTTTACAAGAAGACGTATCCAACTGGGAAAGACGATACTTTTACCATTTCATGGTCCCCCTTCTACCTAGATGAGACGGCGCCGAAGCACGGTGTCCCCGTCCTGGAACGCCTGGCACAGCGTTTTGGACAGGAGCGTGTCAGAGCAATGTCGGACCGCTTGCGGACCATTGGGGCGCAGGAGGGCATCCACTTCAGCTTCGCGGGAAAGCTTGGAAACACCCGCGACTCTCACCGGCTGATCCAGCTCGGCAAGTTGAAAGGGAATGAAGTCGAGAACCGTATTGTGATGGAGCTGTTCCGCAGCTACTTTGAAGGCACGGCTGACATCACTAGCCATGAGACCCTCATTGAAGCAGGTGCTAAAGCCGGTATCGACCGCGAGGAGGTGAAGGAGTGGTTGGAAACGGGAAAAGGCGGGGAAGAAGTCGACGCTGAAGTGCGGGAAGCGAAGCGGAATGGAATCAGTGGCGTCCCTCACTATGTTATTCAGGGTAAATGGGAGATCGGGGGTGCTCAGGATCCCGAAACATTCGTTGAGGTCTTTGCGAAAGTGAAGGAGGATGAGAAGGTGTGAGAACAAGGTGAGGCCTTCTTCGCTGCAAGACATGCGGCTTATTACAGCATGAAGCCTCTAAAGCCTCCTAGTACTGAATCCTAACGTGAAGTTGATTGATCGTATCAGCATTGGGTCCCATCTCTTTCCTGCCTTGCGTCATGTTATGCCCCCTTTTAGAGTGCTCTGCCGCCCACTCCTGATCGCCAGGGGGCGGGCACTCTTGATACCTAAGGTAAGCTTTCGAGCCCTGCTATGACTCCTGACTCTTCCAAACGCTCACTCAGCTGCTCAAACTCTTGGTGTCACTCGACATGGACTCTTCTTCGCCGCATCCACAGCACGCTGATTACCAATGGAAACGTTGCTCAATAACTTGAAAGCGTCAAGATCCCGGATGAACCAATTCAACTGCAACTACCTTGCAACCGAGAGATAAGAGTAGCAGTCTAGCGAGCGCTAAAGCAGAATCTGAACAGCCTGTAGTATCTTTAGACGTGGCTTTCCCGGGCCGACTTGCTCATTTGGAGGGGTGGGTTAGAACCGTTGAGGTAGGTACCTAATACAATGTGTTACAGGCGCGAGCATCGGCGATCCGGGCTCATCAGGTTGTATAAGAGGTGCTGAAACGTTTGGGAAAACACGGAGAATGGAGTCATCCAGTCGTTGTCTACTTTGTTTCGAGCACGGGATTCAAGGCCGACATTCCAGTCCATCCATGTCGTCGATCCCGTTGGAAACAGGATCGGCCACATCAAGACGCGATCCGAACTAGCCACGGAGGCTCTTGCTGCGACGGCTGTGTTTAGTTTCGATGCCCGAGATGTATGCCTTGTATGGTAGTCATCCCCGGATCAATCACCTTGCTAGATCGTGTGCGTGCCTCAGAGAGATGAGATGGTGAACGTTATCGCCATATTCGCTCGAGGCCGGCCGGTTGTATAAGCTTCGCATATTAGCTACCTAGATGAGGTTTGTATAAGGCTTCGGAGCATCGCTACGCAACAAGGAAACGGCGTCTTCATGTTACACCTACCTTTCTGCCCGTCAGTCTGAGGGGCCATTCTTTGCTGTCTGGTATCATGCAGGGCCAACGGTTGGCCGGCATAACAGGTGTGCCCATGCCCCTATGGCCATCCCAGGACGATCGGCCCAGCCAGTCACGGTGATCCGGGCAGCTACCCCGAGGCCACTCCCCGCACATGGGGTACCCGGGATGTGGGCGGCATGATATGCGCTGCTTGCCTTGGTGCTCTCCAAAATGCAATGCCTCCATCTATCTCCGGTATTTAACCTTGTGAAGAAGTGTCTAGATTAATCCTCCCGCTATTCGCTAAGCTATCTGCGTCAACTCAATATCAGAAACATCATTAACATGCTACTACTATTCCTAGACGCTTTGTAAGATACCTACCTATCCTATAGGTAAGCTAAGGTTACCAAGGTACCCACCTTACGTTTTCTTATGGCTAGAAATCGTAGCGTCATCCCCATTCATCGCTATGGTTTACGGTGCTTATAAGTCTTGCAAGAACGGCAGCTACTACTAGTAGTGGTATGTCAGTATTGACATTATATGCGTGCTTGGTATTGTCTGGTGTACATTATGTACGTCTATATGGGGGGGGTAAAATCAGGAGGATACAAGCCGCATGTCTTAGCTACCGTTGGATGCTACCCTGACCGTCGTTTCCAAGAGTTCGATGGCAATAATAATGGGCCCTACCTCCCAAGCTGCCCACAGGTCGTTATAGGCTCACAGTCACCTTCAGGACTCAGGAGTGCTACTCGAGACTGCCTGGTAGCGGTATGTGGGCGCTACCCGCCATCGACAACCACTTCGCTTAATACGTGTAATATATCTTGCATTTAAGCTTACGTCGACCTCATCTCCTGCGGTTGCGACAGCTCCACACACCCAGCAACGGTCTAGACTTCCCCGGACCCAAACTGGGCAAGGTCCCCACCATCTCCGATCTTCTGGCGGCATTCGCGAGGTTAAGTGGGGGCCAAACCTCTCGGGGAGGACGGGCCGCGGCCATCCCAAACCGGTACCGCCCCACAAACTAACACCGGAAGGTAGCGGCGTCTAGGGAGGGTGTACAAACGGTTTTAGAATACATACATTCCGGAGCAAATGATGTATTCCTGGTGAGCTCTCTACAGGTATGTACCCGGTTGGTTGACCGGTTCCCTGGATTCATAAAAAGGTCACGAGAAGCCAGGAGAGCGAACCGGTTATTTGCGGGTGGTGATGCGCTCCGTGGGAAACTCCATGATCGCCATCCAACTTGGGCGATCTGTGGCACCTCGTTGGATGGAAAAATTATCGACGGTTTTGGGACTTGAACATACCATACCGGGAACAACGCTACCGATCCTCGATCGCTATATTGAAAGGTCAAACTCCAACCGAGCTTGTTTATACTCGTCGGTTGCGTCTAAATTGCAGTGCGTTTCCTTCACCTGTGCGTCTCAATGTTCCTGGCGAGACCCCTGATGCCATCACCGTGGCCGATGACGTTCACCAATTTATCACGCCAGGGAGGCCAGTGAGCTGACTGAGGTGATTGGCGACGGCTTCATCAAATGCCTAGGTCAAAATCTAACCGGCGATTCTTCGCTTGCGCACTCGCATATGCGTCAATATACGCGGTGACAATGGTTACTGCGCTGCATGAGATCTTGAAGGATCCGAGAATCAAAACATTACAAGTTAGCAGTGGAAGATTAGGACTTGTCTAGGTATATAAAGAGCCAGCCGCCGCAGCAGGAATCTCAACCACGATGTCTGCCCATCAGTTCTAAACTCGCCAGCGTAGTTGACAGTTGCCCCTGAGCCCTTGAGCCCCTGACTTGATCCCGTCCATCCAGTCAACAAACCGCACGCACCACCACCACATACACCAAGATGACTCGCATCCTCTTCACTCTCCTCGCCGCGGCCGCCGCCATTCAGCAGGCAATTGCCATACCCCTCGCCCAGGGCGATGGCGGCGAGGTTGCTCCTCCCACGGCCACCCGCACCCGCGGACCTCGCCCAACCGGCACTTGGGGGCCTCCTACCGGCACCGGCGGGGGCGCTCCCCGTCCCACCGGCTCGCGCCGCCCACACCCGACGGGCGGCAAGGGCGAGGGAACTCGTGCCCCCAGACCCACGGGAGGTGCTGGCGGTGGTGGCACCCGTCCCCCTCGGCCGACCCAGACGAGGGAGCCCCCAATGGCTCCGAGACAAGCTGAGGAGCCGGAGGAGCCTACCCGTGCTCCTCGACCAACTGGAGGCCCGGGCGGCGGTGGCACCCGTGCTCCGAGGCCCACGGGCGGCCCCGGTGGTGGTGGTACCCGTGCTCCTCGACCCACCGGAGGCCCTGGTGGTGGTGGTACACGTGCTCCGCGACCTACAGGGGGTGCCGGCGGCGGTACCCGTGCTCCCCGACCTACCGGAGGCCCTAGCGGTGGTGGCACCCGTGCTCCGAGGCCGACTCCCACGTTCACCCGGGGCCCTGAGCCGACTGATGACTAAATGAGTCGACCAAACCGGCTTCCGGTCCACTTCCATACGCCCGACCGACAGCAATGTCTCTGAGTTATGAACTTGACCTCGACTCGGACCAGGCCGGCGGACAGATGGGGATTTGGCAAGAAACTTAAAGAATAAAAGGAATGGAAGCTGGATTTGTTGGCTGGAAAATCAGTGATTCGTTTCGCGCCTCGTACATTGAACTGGATTCGTTTCACTTTCACCGGGCCCTGCCCTGACTGGACGATATTTGTTGTTGACTTGTTGGCTGATCTTTTGGTGCGCACTTCTGTTCATGGTAGTCCCAATAGGGAAAAGAAAAAGAGAAAAATATAACACAGGCCTGTCTTCTTTTATGTCCCTAGCTCAGAGCTGGACTGGAGAAAGGGGGCTGTTGGTGGTGAGAGACTTCTATTCGTGTCACTGTTGTTTGTCCGGTGCGCAGGCGAGCCGAGTCCGAAGAGCCCGGCTTGAAAGCCGTGTACCTTAGGTAGATAGCTGACTTGGTTCCCCCGGTAACCGATACTTGTTTCGGCAGACAGTGCCATGAGAAGATTTTCCCCGTCATGCAGTGCTATGCTGGAGAAGCTGCACAGTGACCAGGCATCGTGACTGGACTCGTTCAATTCTTCACCACCGCACCACGGTCGTTGTAGTACCTTAGTATGTGTCATGGTTGTGTTACCCGTTGGCACTTCCTTCATAAGGTAAGCTATGCATGTAAGGGGCTATCTACGAGATGGAGCCGTTTGTCCAACAAGAGTCCGGAAAGATTAGGTAAGTTAGGTAGTCAACTAACATTACAAAGTTGCACTGAGTCTGAGATAAAACGTTACTGGTGTGGAGGATGAGTAGGTGTACTCTTAAGGGTACCCAACTGTCAGGGGTTGGGCACTCAGGGGCTAGGACCCAGGGGCTGTTGTCCAAGGGTTAGGGTTGTATGTGTGGTCGATATTGTCCCTTCAACTGGGTCAGCGGTTGTGGCTATAGCTCCGTAGACTGATTGGGTTCTGTCTCTCACCTACAGTTGAGGGGAAAGGTTCGGAGTTCAAACTACACTCTGATTGCAGTAACGTTAGTTGCTCCTCCAAATTATGTAGGCAACTTCTAATCCATGGGCACGTACAGACTCTTACGTGCCTTATCCACCTTAACCAATGCTACCGTTGGCAACGATTAGCACAGTGGAGCCTGGGGACGGTTTCAGTTAGCGTAAAATGTGCATGGACTCGACCATTGTGAGGAGAGGAGTTTGAGGCGTGGAGTTGGCAGCGGTGTGCAACTGGCCGCACACCGCCACTCCATGTCCCCCACGAAAACGAATTTTGCCCTCGTGCTGCAGGTGGTCAATTGGGGGGCCCGATTATTATGTCACGCACGCCCCGAGGGGTGTCCCCCCTAGTATTGATCTCAAATCTGCGGAACAAGCAGATCGGGCCCCTTCAGGTGATTGGCCATCTCGGAGACACAACATTGACGGCAGCCATGACTTTGTTTCCGGATCTCGGGACATGGCTTCTTCGTTCAGTTGGGGGCTCCGACTTGGCCAATAGCCCTCTGCTCGCTGTCGAAAGGCTGAGCTCACAACCCCGACCGATCCAGGATGGCGACAAGGATACACTGGTCGGCGCCATCCTCGCCATGGGCTCCAGCCTTCACCACGCCCTCCATATGCTGCTTGAAGTCTTGCCAGAAGACTCGTCTCGGGAGCGGCTGAGCGAGGTCTTGTGCCCGACCCTGGGCCATCTCCTAGCCTCATTACAAAACACCTTGTCATCTCTGGAGCAAAGGCCGACTGTTCCTGCAGCTGGTGCTTCATCACCGATATCAACCAAGAAGTCACATAGCCCCGTCTCCAACGGTAAAGGGAGCCAACCTTCTCCTGAACGGCTGCAGACGGTTGCTGCGGGGGTAAGAAGGGATGAAGCGGAAGCAACGCCACCTCGCTCCTCCCACTCTGATTCCGCTATACGCACACCAACGGCGAAAGCACTGCAAAACGGGAACCGCATCGAGAGATTCCCACTAGAGAGTGGAACTGCAACGCATCATCCGCGGACTTGTGTCGCCGAGTCTCCGGATATGGCGCTGGTTGGCGCTCTGCGGGCTGAGATGCGGGTTCAAGCCGCCCTTCGCGTTGCCGTAGACTCTCTGGAATTCGCTGAAGACCAGTTAAAGCTGGTCAAGGAAGTTAATCAGTTACACGGTGGCAGTGAGTGGCAACGTCTTACATTACCCATCACCACTCAACAACGCGCGCGAGCGTTCTCAACAGACCATTAATCTTCCTGTCACCACAGGCTTTGATATTCTCCAAAGACAGTTCTACAACGGTTACAACCGCCTGCTATTCCGCGCTCTCGAGCTAGAGAGGAGAGAGTTTGGCTTGTCAGATAGAAACAGCCTGAACTCGCTGGCATATGCACAGAAACCACAAGGACATCAGCACGCGGATCCGCCCCGAAAACCTGAAAGTCCTGTCGGTCTGAAACAGAGCCAGACCATCTCCTTCGAGGACAATATGCCCACTCCAAAGGCTTCTCCAAGACTTGCTTTGGAGCGAACGACAAACGCTGGACGGCGACCCCTTGCAAGGAGAAATACAATTCTAGGAATCAAACAAGAAGGTAGAGCGGCATGTCCTAGGCTAGCTTTTGGTCCATGGATCTCTGCTAATGCCCGATGACAGGCACCAGAGCATCGCAGACAAGGGCACCACTCAAGCGTCGGCTGTCACTCGCTGAGGAGTTGGCCATGGTCCATGAGGACACGGAAGACTCGGAGAGTGGTCCCCAGGAGTCATCCGAGGCCGAGGGTCCCAGTTCAGAGAGCGGGGATTCCCATTTAGAGTCTGAGGATGAGTCGCGAAACGCAATGGCCCGGGGTGACGAGAGTGAGGAATACAGCACCACTGAAGAGAGTACAGGAGAATTGAGTGACAGCGACGGTGGGGGGGAGAGTGAGGACGGCGGGGATGGAGATAAGACGATCGATGCTCTCGAGTCTTGGACTTTCCGGGCAGAACAGTGATGCTTATGAAGTGGTGTCACGTCCTACTGCCTGAGGTCGCCGGCTTTGGCTGGCGCATGACTCAAGTCGCATGAGCAGATTAGCACAGCACACTGCACGGAGGCAAACCCGACTTACTGGGATACCGTAGAAGATACATGCGCAGACGCGTGTGACAAGGCTGGAGTACATAAGATATCTTGGCAACCCTCAAGCAGAGCCCGGGTCTCAAGCTTGAAGGTTATATATGGAAGACCCGAGCAACTATACCTAACGTTAATGTCCGCGCTGGACTTACTGGCTTCTTTTTCGTGAAGCCGATGCAGCGGACGGGCCAACGCATGGATTTGCATGTGGTGTATCACGTACTCAGCACGCAATCTTGCGCCGCTTACACGCGAGGGGCAGGATGCTAGGCCCCAGTTAAATGCGATACAGATTCCCGATTCAGGCATTATTCCAGTCCATTACCCTGAGCTCGACGCTCATATGACAAATCCAACCAGGCGTACTGAATCTAATGATATTTGGTTGATAGGGGGCGATGGCACACCATCTTCCACCCATGTCGATGTTCAAGTCCATGGTGGACATCCACCGCCGGACACTCCAGTAGCATTTGCCTGTGCTACCTTACACAGCTTGCCTGCCTTACGTGTAGCCGAACTTAAACCTTACCTACCTAGTACCTCATCAGTCCTACTCTTAATGCACGTACAGTAAGAGCCCTAATACTCAACCATCACCCTCTCCTCACTTACCCCGGGAACCGGTGTAACAACCGGATCAAAGCCATCATGATGGACCTAGACGCCGGACCAGAACCCGAAACGCCGCTTCTCCTGAGCACGTCCAGCATAGGGCGAGACCATTCCACTTATTACGCTTACGGCACTGCGAACTTGAAGTCCGCTTCCCCTTCCCCATCCCCAGCCCACAGCATCCGATCTGGAAGTGTTTCGAGTCATGTTGACCACCTGGAGGACAATGCATTACTACCAGAGACGGTCACGGCAGCACCTCAGACTAGGCGCCTCTTGGGCTGGGGCAGCGCATACATTCTCATCATCTCCCGCGTCATTGGGAGCGGCATCTTTGCAACACCAGGCGTTATTATCAGCTCAGTGGGGAGCATTGGGTTGAGTCTTTTGCTGTGGTTTGCCGGGGCGCTGGTTAGTTGGTGTGGGCTGGCTGTGGCGCTTGAGTACGGGTGTATGCTGCCGCGGTCTGGAGGTTAGTTTCGTCCTGTCACTGCTTGCTAAGTAAAACTGAGGCGAGAATGGCTGCTCAGCCGGCTGCGAGGCGCTAGTATGAAAGTTGAAGGGAAGTTTGCTGATACTGATACTGATGTCTCGACACGCGCAGGCGACAAGGTCTATCTCGAGTTCACCTATCCGCGGCCGCGATTCCTTGCATCGGTTCTCGTAGCCGTGCAGGCAGTTCTACTCGGCTTCACGGCAAGCAACTGCATCATGTTTGGAGAGTATATGCTCTTTGCACTTGGGCGAGCCCCTGCAGAACATGCCGTGGAGGTCAGGACGCTGGCAGTGGGCCTGATGACTGCCATCACTGTTATGCATGGCTGTTTTCTGAGGACTGGCATACTGGTGCAGAATATTCTCGGTTGGGTCAAAATCGCCCTTATTATCGTCATGACCGTTGCGTCGGGGGCAGTGGTCGTTACGGCGAGATTCAGGCCGGATATGATGGACGGGTTCGGCCTCTTGACGCGCACCAGTCAGTTCCCACTGCTAACCTGGGATGGTATCTGGGAAGGTTCCGTCTGGCATTGGGGAACCGTTAGTACAGCCTTTTTCAAGGTCTTCTACTCATATGCGGGTCTGCAGAATGTCAACAATGTTCTGAACGAGGTTCGGGACCCGGTGCGGACACTCCGGTCAGCAGCCACGACGGCCCTCGCCACGGCATGTCTGCTTTACTTCCTGGTAAACATGGCGTACTTTCTTGTCATACCGCTAGATGACATCAAGAAAGGGGGTGAGTTGGTGGCAGCGATGTTCTTTGAGAGAGTCTTTGGACCCAATCTAGGCAACATTCTCCTCCCCCTTGCCGTCGCCAGCTCAGCAGCAGGAAACGTGATGGTTGTCACTTTTGCAATGGTACAGTACCCAAACATTCCTGTTTTCTGTGGGAATACTGTCCTTCTCGGGGAACAAACTGACTCGTCCTCACCATCTAGGCACGGCTCAACCAAGAAATCGCACGCCAAGGCATTCTCCCATTCAGCGAAGCTCTGTCGTCTTCACGGCCGTTCGGCACTCCCCTTGGAGGCTTGATTCTGCATTATATTCCATCGATAGCAGTCATCAGCATTCCTGCAAAGAACATCTACTCTTTCATCCTCGACGTGGAGGGTTATCCAGCACAGTTCTTCGTGCTTGCCACTTCACTTGGTCTAATCTGGCTGCGTCGCACACACCCGGATCTAAAACGGCCTTACAAAGCACTCCTGCCTGCCGTATGGCTCAGGGTTGTTCTTTCTCTGGCTCTGCTGTGCGCTCCTTTCGTCCCTCGCCAAGGGGAAGACGCGGGTTCTCACTTATTCAGGGTGAGCTACGCGTTAGTGGGCGTCTCCGTGTAAGTATCCATCAAAATTGCCCCTCCCCGAGCTTTCTGGAAGGCTTTTCCTTACTGATTATGCGTCGCTGTAATTACAGGTTGTTGTTTGCTGTGTTGTACTGGGCGGTCCTGGCTGTTCTGCTGCCGAGATTGGGAGGATATCAGCTGGAAGAGGAAACCGATGTGCTTCAAGATGGTTCTGTCGTTACCAAGTTAGTCCGTGTGCGAAAAGAGGATCAAGCTGTGAGGATCTTGGACTAAGGTGACGGCAACATTGTTAGTTCTATGGTAGGCAGTGTTGCTAGGGCCATATCCGCTGCCAATTCTAAACATGACCAACATGCATATAGAACTGTGGAGCCTCGCCTTGTCCTGTTTCCTTGGAATCGGCGTCTCAACATGCCCGTCCACCGGGCCGCGTCCGCGTGGTGCTCTGGTGCGGAGCTACACTGATGGTATGCCGTCATCTGACAGACGTAAACATGGTGTTGTGCTGGTGCATTTTTCCCCCGACTCTAGTCGATAAGTTCAACGAGTTTCGCCAGCTCTTTCCTCCGTTACAGCCCAGTCTTCCGGAATTTATAAGCAAGTCTTACCTGGGTTAACGCCGACTATGTGCCAGTTTTTGTTTGCAGTGCTACTCTTGAGCAGATTATGATAGATCCTCAGTTGGAAAAATACGTCGTGATCTGGCATCATTGATGGCGTGATTGCATGTCACCCCCCTATAACGCTGATGATTGTGTTGACACACGCAAGACCACAGGACACCCCGCAACTTCGGCGTGCCCGGAGCTGAGAGAGCCATTACTTGCTTTGTAATGTACTCTGATGGATACCACGGTATCACGGTATAAGAATTGCCTGCACAGTCAACCTGAAAACAGCTCTACATAAGGTACCTTAGATACTGACCATTGCCATTGCTTCCTTGACTTAAAGTCTTGACTCCAAGCCTCAGACCCACGTATTGTACAATTAAACACTTCATTACACAGCTCTCCTTCTCATCATGGCCGCTGCAGATGTTGCCAGTTTACCTGTCTTGCCCCAGGAACACGCTGTGGTGGTTCCGGGAACTCAGCAACTCAAAGAGACTCAGAAACACAATGTCCACACTGTCATGAACTACTACAAAGACCCGGAGGACGGGTCTCCGCCTGCTCCGTTCTATATTAGGTACGTTAAAGGACCGACCTTACCCTTAACCACCAAACAGCATGCGTACGATGCTGACCCAGTCGGCTTGTGCCTAGTCCACGTGAAGGCCAACAGAATGAGCCCAGACCCAGCGTGTCCGTGGACGTTTTGGTGACAGACATTAGCGGAGACGAAGACAAATACACACTAGACAGCCATGGCTTCCAACTCGTCAAGCGCGAGAGCAGCGAGAAGGATTTTCTTGATGATGACAAGATCAGGAGGGAGTACTACCCAGAGACGGAGCAGTTGCTTAAGGATGTGTAAGTTTCTCTGCCTAGAGATATATGTCCCGACGAGGAGGCTCCCGTATTCAGCTTCGGCGAATGTGCTGACCTCGGTCGTCGGCGACAAGAACCGGAGCCACTCGAGTGTTCATTTTCGATCACACCATCCGCCGCCAGAACGATTCAAACATTGCAAATAAGGGCCTACGAGGTCCTGTCCGGGCTGTGCACATTGACCAGTCTTACACCGCATCCGTCAACAGAGTGAAGTACCACCTTCCGGACGAAGCCGATGTGCTACTGCAAAAGCGGTTCCAGATCATCAACGTCTGTTTATCCCCCCCTCTATCATGAGCCTCATGGCACCTAACAAACCCCAGGTCTGGCGTCCCATCAAGACCATCCTCAAAGACCCCCTAGCCATTGCAGACGCAAATTCAGTCGCAGAGACCGATCTTGTAGGTGCCGCGCTCATCTACCCGGACCGCAAGGGCGAAACGTTTGCGGTCAAACCGAATTCTGCACACCGCTGGTACTTCAAGTACGCCCAGCGGCCGGACGAGGTGACGCTCATCAAGTGTTTTGACTCGGTTACCGCGCCGGGAATTGCACGTCGTGTGCCGCACTCGGCTTTTGTTGACCCGGCTGAGGAGGATAAGGAGACGAGAGAGAGTATTGAGGTGCGGTGTTTGGTGTTTTATGACTACTGAGGTGGGTAGGATTTTCAGGGTTATGAACCTTCACGGATTAGTGCTTGTCCAAGTCAGGGGAAGATGTCAGAAAGAAGTGCAGCCACGGTTTGAAGTACTGTACCCTATTCTGAGGTGAGGCAGCAGGGATCAGTCCAACTGTATCTACCATACCAGACGTTGGTATAAAATCCGTCTCCTAGATCTTCAAGGATGAGCCCACTCAATTCGAGTCATATCATGATATGCCTCTCGTTCACCTGGACATACTGGTATCAGTGCAAGGACTACACTGAGCGCAGCCAGGGCACTGTCACTAGCAAGTCAATCTGCCATGGATTTATAAGGGTTCAAACTGGCCTAGCTTGCCACCTACATCATGATGTAAACATGCAGTTTCATTACTGGTACTGACAATCTCGGTACCTTTACTTACAGTACCTTGGCATTAGAGATGGCGGAAGTAATTTGATAAGCCGGGGAACTGGTTCTTTCTTGAGTCGCTCCCCAAGGCGTCCCGTTGGACGAGTCACGGAGGCAATGTACGGATGTGTCAGTCATCCCCAAACCACTTACACAAGAAAGTAATTGCCAAGGGAGGATTGCAATGACCCAGCAGACTTTGTTTCAATCTTTGGGGAGCTTAATAGTCTTTGCCAGAGCACGAGGCATAATCAATAGGTCCCTAGTTAACCGTTCAGCTTCGGGCCAAGAATAGGGCTGAAAGTCCAAGACTGCCTTCTACACTAGCGATTGGGTTTGCAACTGGAAATGAAGTCCAACCTCGAGACCAGCGTAGCCAATCAAAACATCGGTGTTGTTACTCAAGTTGAGGCTGGTGACAGACACATGATAGATGGATGGGACATTGCAACACCAAAGCCTGGCTTCAGGGGAAGATGAGGGCCAAATTGGAGCCAGAGTAGTTAAGGGGCTTCACAGCCAGCATCCCACTAATGTCGGATTTTTCTTGACAAAAACCCTTCAAACTTGTACATGTAAACATTCATCACATTCAGTCGGTCGTTGTACCCAGCATACCTCCCGTTTACATACCTCACCTACCTCAGAGGCTCAGGCTGGAAGGAAGCCTTTCGTTTTCCGATTAAACGCTGTAACGTTTCGTCGCCTCAGTCTCGATCAAAGGAACGCCCGACACCGTTTTCACTCGACCAACTGCATCAGCCATGGCCCGCACAACTTTGACACTGCTAGCGAGCCTTGCAGCCCTAGCTGTCCCATCCTTTTCGACTCCTATCGAGCTACCACCTATCGACTTCAACCTTGCCGAGTGGTGGACAAAGCAGCTCTTCCCGTGCCCGGTATGGGGAGGAACCTTGCCGAACGGCTACCAAGACCTCGCCGGGAAGTACTGCAGTAACGTCTGGACAAAGACATGGACCCAGGGCTCGACCACTGCCCGCCTGTATCAGGTTCCCGGAGACTGGCAGTCCAAGCCCCGTTACAACGAGTTTGTCAACGGCTTCGGGGACGCCATCCAAAAGGGGCTTGGCAGCTTCGGGTCCCTGGCGGGGCCGCTGACCATCAACGTCGGCATTGCCCACGGCGGTGTTGGCGAGTATGTCAAGATGGACGACGACAACTCGGGCACCAAAACCCCATGCTACATCCTGGTCGAGTTCCCAGCCGACTGGGAGAACATACCCCTTACCGCCCTCCAAAAGGACATCATCCAGGCCATGTACCGATGCGTCGAGCACTTCCACCACCCGACCGTGACGGCCTGGACAGATGGCAACGAGTGGTGGCGCCGCGGGATTGCACGGTACTTCGACGGCCTGTCCTACCCCGCCCAATCTGCCTTCCTCAACCGCGGATTATACCCAGAAGAATACCACTACGGCGTGACACTCTACCAAAACGAAGACGCCGCGGCCCTCTTCTTCCACTACGCCGACCAGCACCGCGGCTGGACCCCAACCGACGTGCACAACTGGATGAAAGGCCACGCCAACAAGGCCAGCTACGACGAAGAGCGCACCTCACTGGCAGCAGACCCCAAAATCACGCCCGGACTCTGGCACGGTTTCATCCTCGCCTCCATCGACGGCACGATTGCATACCCCGGCGGCCAGAAGATCACAAACGTCCACGGTGGCCCGCCGAAGCGTGTCTACAACAGTGCAAACGACGTGGTAGCCCCCGCCGCGGTGGGGCAGGAATATTCTAAGCTGGTTAGCATTTCGTCGTTCAAGGGGGGTATACACGTGTTTTCTGTGAAACCGGGCCAGACGTTGCGCGTGTCGGTGCAGACCGAGCCCGGGGTCGAATGGAGCCTTCGCAAGGTCGGGACGACGGCGTGGAATAGCGGAGCACGGGACCGGACGGTGGAGTTGGTGGTTTCCGCGGGGCAGGGGAATGTCAACTATGAGATTGCTATCAGCTCTACTATGGCTGCTGCTGCGGGGTATCATGCTAGGGTTAGGATGGTGAGGAGTGCGTGATTCGAGTGGCCGAGGGGTGGGCTTATAGCCCGGGGTTGTCCTGAGAGGTGAAGTATGCCTAAGGTACCCTTTCGTTTCATACCTCTAAAACTAGAACCCATCAGCGACACAGCGCACGTCCATAACAGGGTCGGGACTTAGGGCTGGTCATTCCAGGTGTCAGACTGTTGGTACGATCCATGGATGCCAGCCCGCTTGGTCCAAGACAAGGATTCAATTACCCTTTAAGTAGGAGTTTGGTTCTCTAGAGTGTTTAGTGTTTACTAGTCGTTTTTCGGGCATCGCAGATTTCTCACTATATACCTAGGTACGTAATCTAGGTACCTATCTTGACGACACGGACACAAACGTCTTATTGGAGATAATACGAGGGCACACCGCTCCAGCCTGGGTCTCGCTTCTACCCGGCCTGGCCTCATTCACGCTTTTCAAGCCTTGTAGTATGCCCGGAAACCACTTTAGTGTATGTACATTAGTGCTGAGCAGGTAACGCTACGTTGGGTTAAAGGTTTATGCAAGACTGTCGTGTCTGGTAACAGCCTGAGGTGGACTAAATCACGTCAATACCTGACTACTTTGGTGTAGTCTACACAGACTACCTAGGCAGGTACCTAGGTAAAGGACCTATGCAAGGTTATAGGCGGGGAGATGCCAGAAATGTCACTAAATACAGTAAGGGACCGTGGGGGTTTGTACCTATTGCACGCTGCTCTAGTACTGGATCCTACAGGATCAATGATGGCATTGCACTGCATGTCGTCCGGCCCGGGGCGGCTCCTTTCCGGGGCGGGTGACGGGTCGCATCAAGTGTAGACCACCTCGGTTCCGGTGGCTTTCATATCTCGTGCTGCGGGTGGGGGCCGCGGGGTGACTGTTGCATCTAACTATTGAATCGGTCACCACGATCGGGGCTTACATTGGGCGTTACTACCTAATAATTCGGCCCTACGAGATGTGAATAGTGATACCTGCCTATCGTAATAGGGGTAGGCTAGGGTAAGCCCATACCACAGATGCGATCATGGATGCCTCGGACTTGTATACACCAGTATACATGTACCAGGAGCTACTGTAGTCTTGGGTCTGCTCAGGGTGGTCAGATCTTTGTTGAGGTCTGGTAGTGCTGCCGGCTACAACTTGTGTAATGGCGAAATGATTGACGCATATTACCACTGAAGGTAGTACTATGAAGATACTACCACCATTCAATTCCAGTGTTCCACCATAAGTGGTACTGCCCGTACCTGTATCACTTTGGTATTATGCACCTGCTTCAATACACTTATGCTGTGCAGGCTGAGGTGAAATGGGCGTGGTTAATGCAAAGACGATGAAGCTACCCGTCATGTTGGACCCGTAAACTTCATCTGTTTCAACACATCTCATGATCTATCAGTCTCAGGAGAGCACCCCGGGCACACGGTGACGACGCTATCATGATGCTTCACATTTGGCCGCCAAAATCAACCATTCTCACCATCGTGATATGCATTTCTCTGTCTGTTCCAATCCTACATATCTATTATCATGTATTTGCCGACACGTTTAGAGTTGAACCCTTTTCTCTCACCTCCCAACATGGATCCAACAAACCAGAACCCCCCAACACCCAGGCTGTGACCTTCAGCTTCATTTCCCGCACTTCACACGGCATCCCAATCTACAACTCCTCCGCTTCCACTTCCCCCCCGCGATTCCTATCATCATCATCACCACAAACACGTCCCGATCCAGCCCCTTACCATGCTAGCACTCACAGTAACAATCCTAACATGAACCAGCACCTACACCTGAACATCACCACCCACCACCCTCGTTTATTCTCCTCCCCCTTAGGCGCCTCCTCCTCCTCCAACAAATGGGCCTCCCTGCCACATCTCATCGCAACCGACCCGTACCTTTACAGCTGGAATCAGACCATCTTTGCGCTGGCAGCTGAGTGTCTTATCCTGCCGCCACCGCGGTACGTCGTGGACGGGACGAGCGGGGTGCTGGACGTGGCACGCGAGGTGCAGCGGCGGATCAAGCTGTGGGCGTATGCGTTTCGCATGTCGGCGGAGGGTGGCAAAGGAAAGATGAAATGGAAGAGGAGGATCTGGGAGGAGCTTGTTGTGGCTGCGGGGAATGGGACAGGGACAGGGACAGGGACAGGTACCGGCCAGGGGTTTGACTTTGGGGTGCAAGGGGATAATTGGAATTCCGGGTTCGTTTTTTCCTTAGTAGTGATCTTTGGGAGTTGAGGATGATATGGAGAAGGAAAGGGAAGGATGGGTGACGGCTAATGCTATAGTGGACAGACACTGGCTTGATGTTGCAGAGTTTTTGCTTGCGTTTTCGATCGCCTACGACTGGCTTTACGACGCGTGGGATTCGGCCGAGAGGGAGGCGATTCGGTGGTCAATCGTTGACCTGGGACTGCGGAAGGGTCTTGAGGCGTACCAGAACGATGCATGGTTTCTCTCGGTTAAGGGGAATTGGAATTGTGAGTTCTGTCTTGGATTCTTTCTTTCCCACATGGCAGTTGCTCACATGTCAATGCCGTCTAGGCGTCACGAACGGGGCAATGGTGATCGGGTCGCTGGCCGTCTACCACGAGGACCCAACCAATGTCTCGGGACAGCTTCTCCCTCAGGCGATCGAGAATGCCGCAAAATTCTGTGCCCAGTCTGTGGAATCAGACGGGACGTGGGTCGAAACCCCTGACTACTGGTAGCGGATATTATTGACCCCTTCTTCTGCCTGAGTGTTACCCCTTGCAATTGAGGAGGTGAGACTAACATTTGATTGACACCTGATTAGGTACTTTGGCACCCAGGCACATGCCCAGCTAGCCTCGGCGCTGCTGTCAGCAACCGGCAGCACGCATGGCATGTTGACGGCGAACCCGGCATTCCGGGAAACGGGTATGTTCCACATATACAACTACGGCATGACCGACAAGTTCAACTACGGCGACTGCGGCCCCGTAAAACTCACGGCGACCGCCAACGCGCTACTGTTCTACGGCAACGAGTTCAACATGCCCCTGTACGCGCTCTACCAACGAGACCGGCCCGATGCAAGCGACCCGCTCGCCATGTTGTGGTACAACCCGCATGTTACGGGCTCATGGTACCATGATCTACCGCTTGACAAAGTCTTTGCCGATTCTCAGGGTGCTTGGGTGTCGATGAGATCGTCCTGGACGGATCCGTTGGGAATTTTCGCTGCCATGAAGGCAGGACGGATGGTTGGTCATGCAACACGTATGTACTGTACATGTACTCATGCTGCTAACGTTGTCTGCTTGGTGGATATGCTCAACTGATACTACCACGCCATTAGACGGCAATCTCGACGCGGGTGACTTTGTCCTCGACGCCATGGGCGTGCGGTGGGCGGGCGAGCTCTGCCAGGACGACTACTCGGCGCCGGGCTACTTCTCAAGCGAGGACCAGGACAGCCTGCGCTGGACCTACTATCGTTGCCGGACAGAAGGGCAGAACACGATAGTATACGATGGGCGTAATCAGAGGGCCAATGCCACAGCCCGAACCCGGTTCGAGAGCAGCCGGGCTGATGACCAGATTCTTGAATCGCTGGACGACGGGGCGTTTTGGATTGCCAATCTCACCGAGGCCTATAATGGGACACACATCTGGCGCGGCTTGCGGCTTCTCCGAGGACGGAAGCGGCTTCTGTTGCAAGATGAGATCCTCGAGGCGGAGAGGGGGAGTCAATGGAGGATGCATACCAATGCGTCGATTGTATACAGCAACAACGGGAGATTGGCTCGTAAGCCTTTTGCAGCATACCCTTGATCTTCGTCTTCCTCCCTTTGTCTGATGGCTAATAAGTGGTATTGTACCAGATCTAGCACTCGACGGCAAGACGCTAGATGTTCTGCTCGCATCCCCTTCAACCGCCTCCTTTTACACGGCCCCCGCTGTCCGGCTAGTCACTGACCCCCGATTGCCAAATGACGTCCAAGACATGGCAAACGAGGGCATCAGCGTGCTCTGCATTGACATACCTGCCGGTAACTCCACCGTGGCCGTTGTCTTCTGTCCCCGCTGGGAGCCGGCCTCGACATGTATTAGCACTTCCATTCAAGTTGTCCCTCTACAAGATTGGAAACTGGAGATTCCCATAGGCTAGGTAGCACGAACTATTTCTAACCCAAAACTCTCTCAACAAGAATGGTTTCCGCAACAGACGGCACCCCTTTTGCCGAAATAGCAAACAACATCCAATACCCCGGTATCATAATCCCCGGGTCCTCGGGTATCCTGACCACATATTTTCCCCTCGCCACTCTCACCCCTTCTAGGCCTACCCTCCTCTGATCGGTATTCACCGCATGTGTCGCGGACCCATACCTCACCATTGCAAACTCGATCCTTTCCTCCCCTTTTACATGCGCAACCTCAACCTCCAACCTCTCCCCCGGCCTCACCCTCGTATTCCCCACCCCGCTAATCCTCACCCTCCTTTCCCCCTTCCCATCCCTGAACAAATACCCCGGCCTATAAACCTGCACATCCAAATGATTCACCTCCTTCTCCCTCCCTCGACACGTCTCCCAGCACAGCCCGCCTCCTCCCACCAACACACTCGCATCCGGCAACAAAACGGCAACACTATGATACGTCCTGGCCACATCCATCCTTGCCATCTCCGTAAACTCTCTCGTCTTGTGGTCCCACAGCTCCGGAACCATGCTGGCGTTCACATCCGTCCATTGCATGGCGTACGACGCGCCCCCTACGACCAACACATCTCCCGTCGGCAAGACCACCGAGTTGGCGTATGCGCGGGCGTGCCGCATGGGTGGTATTTCCTCCACCTCTGGACTCAGGAACGGCACGGAGGGCAACGTGATGACATGCGCTGCGTTGGTGCTTATTGCACCCGAGTAGCTCGTGGCACCGCCGAGCGTGAGGATTTTGCCCTGCGCCGCGTCGTAGAGAACAAAATTGCCGTTCATCTGGGCGTCGTTCATGTTGGCAGTCCCGCGCAGGCCGGCAGGGGCGTGGTCGCCTTGACCAATCGTGCCGTACCAGTTCATCGACGGCGACGGACCGGCCTGGAAGACGGAGGCATTCTTCCACGCGACGAGCCACGCGTGGTTGTCGGATGCAAAGATGCCCAGCGTGTCGTTGGTGAGCATGGGTGCGACGACGGAGCCAGGGAGAGGGGACCACTGCCAGGGGTTGAGATCATGATTGAGATTGAGATTGAGATTGAGAACCTCGCCGTTTTTCTGGCCAATGGAGCCCGACCAGGAGCCGCCGATCGTAAAGATGCGTCCGTCGGACAGAGTGGCTTGCGCGTGGTAGCCGCGGCCGATTTGCAGTGGTGGGCCGGTGAGCCACGTGTCTTGCTGGGGGGAGTAGATGCTGGTTTGGTTCGGGGAGGACCCGCCTGTGATGATGGGGCGGCCGAGCCCGTCGAGGGATACACCGGGGCAGAACATGTTGTGGTTGGTCATGGACATGTTTCGTGGCGAGATGTGGCCGGTCAAAGGGTCGTAGATGGCCATGACGGTAAGGGAGGTGCCGTTGGAGAAGACTGTGGGCTTGTCGGCGGACCAGAGGAGGACCTTGCCGGATTGCGGGAGGACTGCCGCAGCAACGGGGACGAGGGGAAGGGGTATGGGTGTTGACCAGCGGCCTTTGGAGGAGGCATCGTTGGTGGTGAGGAGGTGGAGAGGGAAGGGGGTGTTGGAATGGTGCCGATAGAGGAGGGACAAGACGAGGAGTGAGAATATTGCCGTGGTGATGATGGTGCGCGTCTTTCTAACCGCCGTGTAAGGGAGTATACAGGACATCGCTGGTGGTTTGGAAAGCCTCATGATTCATCTCCCGTCAAGTGTGAGGTTGAATATCCCGAAAGAGACGCATCCAGCAACCATCTGTACGTTCACTCGGGCTCTACCCTCTAGCCATCACTACTAGTACTAATTTACTAGCTTACAACGCATCATATCGCAGATGACGTAGCAGATACCGCTTCCTCTTTCTGTTCGGCGGCCGCTTCCGGAGCCCAAGGTAAAGTACCTACTCATATGTATCCCGCAGTGAGTAAGTACATGTAGGCACTCACCTGGATCTCGGACTCACATGAAGTAATACACAAGGCGTATACGACGCATAGACGGCTTGGAGAATGCGAGAGTCGCCGACGTGACACTGCAGGAGGCGCAGAAGCCTGGACTGCATGCCCAGGTGATAGTGCAACTACTAGTAGTACTGTGTGAGCGCAGTGTCAGGGGTCGGAACTGCAGTGGGAAGGTTAAGGCTGGTGCAGACCGAGGTCACTGCATGGTTTTTTTCATGTTTGTTGTTGTTTGCCCTCAACGTTTGGGCCCTATACGACGATACTAAACCATGGCGGACGTGCTGTCAATGCTAGTAGGTCCTATATACAAAATCGTCAGGTATTACCATACACCAACTCGAGTCCAAAGGACCTGTCCGGCGGTGTACCGACCACCTGCAACGCCGCCACCCTCAACTCGATTCATATAGACCTGTCTTCACTGATTTCTAGGCTTATACCCTTCTGAGAAAGGATATCTAGCCTATACCAGGTAAGATTTTTTAATGCTAAGAATGGCACAGGTCCAGTAATTCTACTGTAGTTACTAGCGGCGTTGCCTCCCGACAGTAGCAACAGGGGAAAATAAGTGAGCAAGAAGACGGAAACCAAGGCTCTGACCGTCGGTAAACTACAAATAGATAGGACCGTTTGAACCATATCTTAGCCCCCAACGCCCAACTACTACTGCTTTTACCCTTTTCGTGAAGGCCAAGACCCTACCCTGCTTGTACCCCCCACCCTGCGAAGAAGAAGAAGTAATTACACCCCCCAACGAAGCCCTCAACCCTCCTATCGAGGAAGACTGGGAAGCCGATGCCAAGAGAGCAGTGTATGTAGTCAAGAGAGCCCTCAGCCCCCTCAGCCCCAGTAAGATCCCCCAGAACCCCTCACCACCACAAGACGCGGCAATGATGATACCGGATTCTCCTACCGGACAGGAGGGGTCGGGGGTCGCGGTGTGTCAGTCACGCTCCTGCATGGTCTAGACCGAACCGAGTGACAAGGCCCAGGTGCGATGACTAGGTACCTAGGTATTGTACCTCCTCCGTATAGCAGATAAGAAGAATAAAAGACCGGAAAGGCAAAAAGGAGAATAAAAGGGGGGGGAAATCGATAAATAAATGAATAAAGAAACAAAATTTCAGATACGGCAACGGAAGTGAGCACACTACGTCCGGCCATGGCACTTATAAAGTTATAAGTTGAAGTCCTCCACTTACCTAGTTGCTGTTGAATTCCACCATAAACACGGGAGTTGAGCAGCTGGTATACCCATCTCATATTCACCACTCTTTCACAATGCCCTCCATGCTAGAAGACAGCCAAATCAGCAGCAAGGCAAGCAGACCTCGCGTCTACCTTGGCCACCGCTCCTCCCCTCCTCCCAGTAGCGGTAGTGGCTCTTCTAGTCCTCCCAGCAGCAGCGCCTCCAGTTCGTCTCATGGCTCCTCCTCCTCCTACTTTCCCAACGAGAAGACCTCCTTCCTATCACCCACCGCACCGCCGTTCATAGACGACGACTGCCTGGTCATCACGCGCGACCCGGAGCCCGACGCGATCCACCACTTGCCCTGGCAGCGCTTCGTCGCACGCCTCTTCTTCGTCACCGGCGCCGTCCCCTGCTTCCTGGCCATTTGGGCCTCGTACATCCAAGCCCAGACCCTCGCCTTCTCCCCCATAGCCGAGAGCCTGCCGTTGCTCCACCGCTGGTTGGCGTGGCTCATGCTTGCGCTGGATTTCGTCACCAACAGTGAGCTCATCATCATATCATCATACACACCTCCTCAATAGTACTACTACTAGCGGGTAAGGTACTGACCGTGTCTTGTGTCTGTCTAGTCGACTCCCTCCTAGCGGTCCTCGTCAAAGCCAGCACGTCGCTAGCCCGATGGCGTCCCCGCCTCCTTCTCCTCGGCGACAACGGGGCCGGCGCCGTGCCCTTTGTCGACGTGCTCATCCCCGTCTGCAACGAGCGGCTCGACATAATCCAGGACACGGTCCGCGCCGCGCTCCGCGTGGATTACCCGCCGCGCCGGTTCCGTGTGGTCGTGTCGGACGACGGTGCCTCGGCCGAGTTGAGGGCTTGGGTCGAGTCGCTGTCGCAGGGGCAGGGGCAGCCTGAGAACATGAATTATCCGAAGTTGTATTATACATCCCGCGTGAAGCAGGGGACCCGGACCGCGGGGTATAAAGCGGGCAATCTGAACCATGCTTTGGAGGTTGTCAGGCGGCTGCCTGGGGGCGCAGCGGATTATGTCGCGGGCTTGGATGCGGATATGGTGCCCGAGAGGAAATGGCTACGGTCGGTGGCGGCGCATATCGTCAGGGATGATATGCTGGGCTTGGTGTGTCCGGCGCAGTTGATGTACAACACGCCGCACAACGATCCGTTGTATCAGACGAGCGCGATGAACTGGTATTGTATGGACATTGTGAGGGATTTGGGCGGGTGTGGGTGGAATCTGGGGTCGGGCTGGATTGTGAGGAGGGAGGCGGTCGAGGATATTGGCGGGTTCCCGACAGATTGTTTGATCGAGGATGTGTGCAGCTCCATGATGATGCAGGCCTGTGGTTGGAGGACCATGTATATCCCGCAGGGGTTGCAGTATGGGTTGGTGCCCGAGACGTATTTGGGGCATGTTAAGCAGTTTACGAGATGGGTGAGTACCTACCTACTACTTATACCCCTTACCCCGTTTCCTGGAACAAGTTGACTGACAGCACGTCGCAGTACATCGGCGGCTGCCAAATGGCCCTCCGCTTCCGAGGGTACATATCCCAAACCTGGACCCGCCGCATGCCCCTGATCACCAGACTGGTCGGCTTCTCCTCGTCCGTGAGCGTGCACATCAAGCCCCACGCGGCCACGCTGGGAATGGTGATGACGCCCCTTTTGTTTCTGACCAACACCCGGCTGGTGTACTGGCAAGACGCCGACCAGATGCGTCTGCTCCTGCGCATCCACTGCGCCCTTGTCCTCACCAAGTGGCTGCACAGCTGCCATTTGGCCGTGTTGGCTGGCTATCGCACCGTCATGATGGATACGTGTCTGAGCATGTACATGGCTCCCTGTTAGTTCACATCCCCCATCTTTCCCTACTATCTTCAACATCCCGCTGACTGACTGACTGACTTTGTTCACTCCCAGACTTCACCACGGCCTGGTTCCGCAGCTTCATTCTCCCCTCCTCCCTCGGCGGGCGCGTAACCACCTTCACAGCCACCGGGTCTTTGCGCAGCAGCGTGCACGAACGCTCCCGCCTTCTCCGCGCCCCTCTCTATCCCCGGTTACGCCACATACTTTTCGACTGTGGTGCCTGGGTGCAGCTGCTTGTCATCTTCGTATCTCTCCTCACTGCAGGCCTGCGAGTCCGGCACATCATGATATCTCAGACACACTCTAACCCCCTGCTGGGGCAGGAGGTCTATCCCATCGGTATCCAGCTCCTGCAAAGCGTAGCCTGGCCGTCGCACATCTGGATCCCCGCCACCCTATCCTGTCTCACGCCGCTGCGCTATGCGCTGTCTCCGCCTGATGTGGCTGACAGGGATGAGTTGATGGGGAAAAGGGAGCAGGGTGGGAAAGGGGCCAGGTATGCGAGACCCGAGGCCAAAGCTGGGAGCTGGAGCGGGTGGGAGTGTGGCTTTGTGCAGCTGTATACCGTGTTTATCGTGTTTGTTGGCGGGCTCTTTGTTGTTAGCTGGAGTATGTGAAACGGCCATGGGTCCAGGGAGGTGGATGTACGGTGACGGTGGAAAGAAAAGAAGGGAGTGAGCGAACCAAGGGGTTAGATTAGACTACCTAGACTTGTCTCACCAGCTGTTGGGATGCTATGAGGCTCCGGTCGAGAATCATGTAATACTCCGTTGCCCCAATGCCAGGGGGAACACAATATGAATTCGAGAAGTCCAATTCCCAGATGACGAATACATATGTGTGCTCGAGCACACCACTAATATGGTACTAGTATCTGAATGCATTACTCCCGTCCTATTCTATTCCCCTTTCCCAGATAGACATACCATGCCGCGCCCAATTCCCTTAATAGCCCCTATATCATGCACCGTTAGCCCTAACCCTGACTCTCTCGGGACGACGGCGTTAGAGCAGCGGTGCCCGGGGCCCGGGACCGGACGGTGGAGTTGGTGGTTCGGCCGAACCACCGGCAATGTCAACTATGAGATTGTTATGGCCGCTGCCGTTTTTTCCTTGCTAAGGTGAGAATGGGAGAAGTGCGTAATCAGCCAGCTGAGAGCTCCGGAAGGCGGAGTTACAGCAACATTGAAGAGCTTTTTGGGCAAACACACCTTCTAGAAAGCGAATGGTGTATAGTGTGAATCTGATTGCTATAGGTAGCCAGTGATTGGTTGATATCTTCAAGTTGAAGTGGTTGAGTCGCAGTTGTTGGGTCGACATGGCATGGACCGGCCATCTATAGACTATAGGTGGAATGGAACCTGACATGAGCACGCAATCAGTCACCAGCAGGGTTCTAGGCACGTCCCGTCAGCTCCACCACTCGGCAATGTGGGGTTAGCTAACACGGCACCTGGAGCATTTGCCGGGGCTCTAAACTGAGGTAGGCAGATGGTGGTGTGCCTACGTACTAGTAGGTGGTCAAGGTAGGTAGTAGTAGGATGGCAAATGCCGGTCGTTTGTTTGACTTACAAGATTCGAGTTTCTTATAACTTTGTTTGAGGATGAATGCTCGGTGTTTGTCAGCTCCAATCCTCCGCAGCTCCGACCGCTTTAACGCTAATGTTAAGCGTAAGACTTGGCACCGATGTGTCATGCAGTCACTACAACCCAAGATCCCGAGGTTCAAAGATAGCGCCGTGGTCGAGCCCAACTCGCTGGCAGATAAAGACTTTCCTGAACAGGCAGGAGACTCTTTTCGCAAGGAAACCCACGACGTGGGCGCGAAAGGCCTCCACTCTTCAACTTCTATGGTACGGCCAACATTGCCCGAAGGCTGACAACATTCATGTCCGCCACATCGCCATTTCGTACCTGCTTGTTTCGATCCGGGTATTGGGCTTGGCATACAAGGGCGGTAGGATTTCGAGGACCTTGGCAACGTAGCCTCACATAAGATGCAAGCATCTAGTAGGTAGGTGGCCATTGAGGTCCAGGGCACAGGCAGAAGATAAAGAGAGGGCCATCCGTCATGAAGGAAGTAATAGGCCTTCGCATCAGGTAGTCCGCCCGTGGCATACCAAGACAATCATCGACACGACTTGTGCGCCCCGTCGAAGACTTCATCCAAGATGAGGACTCCCCAACTCGTATCCTTTGTCGCCGCGGCACTGCTCGGCCATGGCGTCACCGCCAGGGAGCTGCAGCCGAATGCACTGACGGCGCAGATCTACGAAAGCGGTTCTGTCCATGAGGGGCTCATGGCCAAAAAGATGGTACGTATTCTCACTCTGTGATTACGAGTTACCAGTACAGTCTGGTGGCCAAGAGAGGACATGATAATAGCTGACATTGAAGCAACGAACCACCAGGCCACATGGGAACAACAAAGAAAGAACGGAGCCATGAACCCCCGCAAGTACAGGAGCCGCGGTGGGAACGGCGCAATCAAATGCAAGAACGGGGTTGTCGAACTCGTCCCTGGCGACCCCCTGAACACATTCCGGTGCAACAATGTACGGCCTCAACCTTCTCATCTGCCACCAAGGCACCTACTATAGACACTGACTTTGGACCTAGATCGACTTCTACGACTTTGTGAGCCACGCCGATCTTGGCAGTCAAACCGGCGAGGGCGCGTCGTCCTGGGGCTGGACCAGCCGCAACGGCCGCGAGTTCGTCGCCATTGCCCAAGCAGACGGCGCCGCCTTTGCCGAGATCACGCCCAAGGGCAAGCTTGTTTACCTGGGCCGTTTGCCGCAGTCTAGCGCTGCCCAGCCATCCATCTGGCGAGAGATCCGCGGGTACAAGAACTACATTGTCATTGGCAGTGAGGCTGTCAATCACGGTATCCAGGTGTTTGACATGTCAAAGGTTAGCATTTCACTCTCCCCTCAAAAACTGGCTGGGTTCAGGAGCAGTGGGCTGACCTGACGGATGCACGTGCAGTTGCTCAGCATCGACCCCAAGAAACCCAAAGTCTTCAACCCTGACACCGATGTCACAAGCCTGTGGAACGGGCTGCCCATTGGCCGCACGCACAATGTGGTAGTCAACGAGGAAAAGGAGTACGCTGTTGCTGTTGGTGCCGCGCCGCGCAACGATACCTGCCGTTCCGGCCTCATCTTCATCGACCTGAAGGATCCCAGCAACCCCAAGGGACTGGGCTGCGCCTCAGGCGATGGATATGTGCATGATGCTCAGTGCCTGGTGTACCGTGGCCCGGATAAGAAGTACTTTGGCAGGGATATCTGCTATGGGTATAATGAGGATACTTTGACCATGTAAGTGGCGCTGTGCTTGGAACATCGACAACATGAAGGCCCAACAACTTGGAAAAGCACTAACAGCATCGGATCATTAGCTACGATGTTACGGACAAGAACGCTACGAACATCATCTCAAGGACCTCTTACGAAGGTGCCAGCTGTAAGTCCCCTCATGCATCCCGCACCGCTCCGTCCTCTTACTCCTCGTCCCAATCTGGTAGCTAATCACCATAATCAAACTAGACACGCACCAAGGTTGGGTGACCAACCCCAACTGGCAAGAATTCCTCGTCCTCGACGACGAGTACGACGAGTACGACGGCGCCGGGCCGGCCGCCAGCGGGTACCCCATCACCTACTTCTGGGACATCCGCTCGCTCGAGAACCCCAAGCAGACGGGCGTCTTCCGCAGCCCGGCCTATGGCATCGACCACAACCAGTTTGTCATTGACGGATTTGCCTACCAGAGCAACTACGGCTCTGGCTTGCGCATCCTGGATATCTCCAGCCTGCCCCGTGATCCTACGGGTGCGAGAGTCAAGGAGGTCGGGTATTTTGATATCTATCCAGAGGATGATAATCTGCCGAATGGGGGGGTGGTGGATTTTGTTGGGACGTGGTCTCATTATCCGTTCTTTAAGAGTGGGTATATTCTGGTGAACACGATTGAGAGGGGTGCGTTTGTGCTTAAGAGGTCGCGTCGTTAGAGGGCGGGCGGACGAGGAGGTTTGGAGGGGGTAATGATACTGTTCGTGGTACGGTAGAAGGACATGGCACGGTAGATTACATCTCTGCTCAGGGTGGATTCTATCCGGATCTCTTCAAGAAGTTCAACTTGGCGTATCGAAATCCACCTGATAAGTACAACTTGGACTCGCGAGAATGGTCTGTCTCTGCGAGTCTTCATGTCAGCTAAGTGTGATAATAGTCACCACTAGTTATGCAGCACTCGATAAGCCTACCAGTGTTATTTTCCCTTCCTCCTCTTTCCTCCTGCCCGTTCCCCCTTTTCTCATACCAGCCAGACCCTAACCCGCACGTCGAACGAATTGTATCCTAGGGTTAGGGTGTGAGGAACTTTCCAAGTTCATGCAGCAAAAAATTTTGGGTTTCTTGCTCTCTCAGGACTGGCTGCAGCATCGTACCTTTTCACGATGGACGTCGACATGGAAACAAATTCTGACTTCAACGAGAGCTCTCAAAGGTTCGTCGATTGGTTTCAATCGCTACCTGGCGCAACATTTCACAACGACATCGAAATCAGGGACTTGCGGCAACAGAATGCAGGTCGAGGCATCGGTAAGTGAATCATAAAGACCTTCAAGTGAGAGCCATGTCTAACCTGATCATCAGTTGCCAAAGCCGACATCCCACCAGACACCGTTCTGTTCACCATCCCCCGCAATGCCATCATCTGCGCCTCAACCTCCGCCCTGAAATCCCAGCTTCCCCATCTCTTCGACCTCGAAAACGACGATGCAGAGTCCTGTGACGGCGACGAGGCATCCTCAAAATCCCAGGACTCATGGACTCTGCTCATCCTAATCATGATCTACGAGTTCCTCCAAGGCCCAGCCTCCCGCTGGAAACCCTACCTAGACATCCTCCCCTCAACCTTCGACACGCCCATGTTCTGGTCCGACACCGAACTCTCCGAACTCCAAGCCAGCGCTCTCATCCACCGCATCGGCAAGGACTCAGCCGACCAAATGATCCGGTCCAAAATCCTCCCCATCATCCACGACCACCCACACATCTTCTTCCCCGCCAACAGCCCAAGCCCCAAACTCGACGATACCCAACTGCTCGCCCTCGCCCACCGCATGGGCAGCACCATCATGGCATACGCCTTTGACCTTGAGCCCGAGACAGACGACTCCGCCTCAGGACTCGGAGCAGACGGTGAGGAGGGGGACGGCTGGGTCGAAGATAGAGAAGGCAAGACGATGCTGGGCATGGTGCCCATGGCGGACATGCTCAACGCCGACGCCGAGTTCAACGCACACATCGCTCACCACGAGGATTGTCTAACAGCCACCGCGCTGCGTACCATTCATGCTGGGGAAGAGATTCTGAATTATTACGGGAGCCTTTCTAGTGCTGAGCTGTTGAGGAGATATGGGTATGTCACGGCCAAGCATGCGAGGTATGATGCTGTTGAATTGGCGTGGGAGTTGGTTGAGAAGAGGTTGAAAGAGAGAGTAGGGGGTGGGATGCGCCGGGAGGAGTGGGAAAGGGTGACGCAGCTTGTTGAATCTCTCTCGGATGAGGACGAGGGGTTTGAGAAGAGCTTCGTGCTAGAACGTTCGAGCCCGGACCCAGACTCCACCGGGCGGTTGGTTGGGGAAGCGGTTTTTGACGGGCTGCCGGATGAGCTGGAGAAGCAGTTCAAGACTTTTCTCAAGGCGGTTAAGAATATCAAGCCTGATGTTGAAGTCGTCGTCAGGGCACTTTCGGACCGCGATATACGCAAGGAGCTGTACTTGGAGTGCGTTCGCGGGGCGCTACAGGATCAAGAGGGTCAGTATCAGACTTCTTTGGAGGAGGATGAACGGTTGCTGGGAGAAAGGCAGGTGACTGGGCGCAAGAGGATGGCAGTCTGGGTCAGGAGGGGGGAGAAACAGCTTCTGCGTGAGGCGAAGGCATGGGTTGATCGAGAGCTGGCTGAGGTGAGGAACAGGAGGCCGGGGGGAGATGACGGCCCAGCCGCAAAGAGACGGCGGGTTTGAGGGATTCGGTTGTATTGGCAGGGCTGGTATGATGGGTCAGTTCCAATGCTTTCCAACCTAGAAGTCTACCTAGTATCCACTTGAAAATACCATGTGCTCGACATCTTGTCGATCCAACCTGCGCCGCGCCATGCCCGTGACAGCTCAGCTAGTAGATTTCCCATCTGGTGCAGGCTAGTAGGTACGGCTACGACCAAAGGCAGCCCTCTCGAGGGACCCATGGTGGGGCGTAACAACGCGCAACCGGTTCACTGATGCCTTTCGATATGCCTCGATAAATCTGAACCTCGACTCTCGTCCACCGATGCTGATATTTGAAACTCACTGGCCATCGGATCCCTTTTTCTTCTTCCTCACCAGATTCGCGCCAAGCAGGTTCACCCCTTCTGTCACTGCCCCCGCCGTAGCACCTCCCGAAATCCTCTCTGCAACTTCCAACTGCTCGCCCCCCGACACTTCGCTCCCCTTCTTCCTCCTAACCAACCCAGTCCCCGTCAGATTAGCCACCTTCCCATCACCATCACCTCCACCACCGACCCCAGCAGAAGCCACATTACTACCGCCCGTCAGATTCGGCACATGCAACGGTGCCGTACCCACAACCTCCCCATCCCACGAAGCGCCAGCATCCACCTCGCCAATCCAACGCTGCGAGCTCCCTATGGCCTTGTCAAGCGTAGAAAAGTCGAGATGCAGCAACAGTTCGACGATGCGTTTGTATTCTGACTCGTTTACGATCTTCGCGCCACGACCCTCAACAGGCCAGGAATAGTAGGCTGTCGTGGTCCGACCAGCGAAACGATAGTTGCGGGAATGAGTCTTGATCCTGGGCGCGCGAGTGGCGATCGGGCCTTTTCGTTTCGGTTTGCCTTTTCTTTTAGCAGCGCTGGAACGTGATGAGTTGGGTCCGGCGGGCGAGGCGGCCGATTTGGATGAGCTTGCGGCTGCATCCCTTAGGACGGACGCTTGGGGGTGAGTTTCCTTTAGCTGATCCGAGTCAAAGACCAACCATATGAACCCCGTGAGACGCCCGCTTGAACACTCCTGGCGGAAGGCCATCATCTCCCAGAACTGGTCTAGAGTCTTGACGCTTTTCCAGGCCGAAACACTCTGTCTCCTCTTGGAGACTTCCTCGTCCAACTCATCACGGAACCGCGATTTGGGATCGTCGGGGTACCCCGGTATCAGACATCGCGGCGGCACTGAGCCGACGTCACGGGTGTAGTGTGATATCCTCTCGAGCGGATGGCCAACAACCCAGTTCTTGGGGCTCCCCGTTGTCCGCGGAATGAGGCTCCTGGCTTCCTGCTCCTCGAGTCCAGGCACAAGGAGATACCCTCTGGCGCATTGCCATGAGTCCGCGGGTGAACCTTCCAGGAGCGGATTCAAGGTCTTGCACCACCACCTCACGAGACCCCAGTCATCCAGGACGTGTTTGCCGCTGTTGCGCACACTCCCAGGAAAGAGGTACTGAGCCTGTGCGCGCGCAAAGAGGTTCACAACGGACTGTACATGGTTGCGTCTTCGGTGGTTGAGGAGGTATGTGAGGAAGGTGGCGCAGACTTGGCGGATTGGGGAGGCGGCGCCTTTTGGCAGGTTGAGCAGATGGAGGTAGCCAGTGGAGTCGACTTTGGATACAAAGAAGGTGGTCTGGTACGCGGTTGTAAAGATGAAGACCTCAATGGAAAAGACGAGTAAGGGCTTCCGGGCTCCGTCCGAGTCTTTGAGGTGATCAGCGCCCGGCGATGCGCGCTTCAAGGGAGCAGCCGTAGAACTCTGAGGATAGATGGAGATGGCAAGAAAGTGTTGTTCTCGATAGGTTTTGTCTGGCCGTTCTCCTGGTGGGGCAGGACAGAGCGATTCTGTTTTAGTTGGTGGTGTCGACACATGATGAATGCCGAATCTGTGACCCTGGGGTAAGATGGCTGCGAGTTTGTCTCGAAGGCTGCTTGAACTCGCTGCAGGGCCGTCCCTTGCACGCTTGGGGGCAGTTGGCGTGGAGGAAGACATGGAGCACTCAAGTCAACAGAAACTGGAGGCGAGCACTTCAGAGCCAATTGGGTTCCCCAGGTTAGGTATCTTTGGCAGTTTGGCTAACGTTGCCGTTCAGGTCTCTGAGTCTGGGGAAGATCGGCGATCGGGTACGGTACACCTTGATGAACCGTCTGTGAGTGAGTTTAGCGGAGCGTCAGGAGCCTCCACCGACTGCACACCTGCCGTGGTTGGTGGGGTTCACGCGCTTGTGGGGCTACGCGGACCCAGCCGGGCCCGAAGTTTCCCCGTGTGGAAACAAAGCTGCGCGGCGTCAGGAACTGTCGAATCGCAAAAAAAAAAGCGTCTCTCGTATGCGAAACAGACACAACGAGCTTCCTTCAACCCAAGAATATCGCCTCAATGTCTCTCAACGCCCCTCGCAGTGCACTCTCTTCCGCCTGCAAAGCCCTCCAAAGATGCAGCAGCGGGCCGGCGCACTCAATCACACGCCAACTCGGGCACCAAATCCGTCAACTTTCCGCCTCCCCATCGCGCAATACCGAGGCTGTCGAAGCTAGCGAACAACAAGACCGACCACGATGGTCGTACACACCCGAGCGGATGAAAGGCCCAGGTTTCTCCATAAACATCCCCAAGGACCCGCGGCGGACTGTATGGCACTGCAACGAGGACCCCGCCAAGCTCGATGCCATGTATAACCGCCTGCTGGGAACGAACGGGAGCAACATGCTCCCAGCCGAGATCAAATGGCTGGCCATCACCCACAAGAGCTTTGACCACGGACGGAGAGGGTTCAACACGAGGCTGGCATATTTCGGTGGGTTCCTTGCTTAAGGATCCTTTGTACGAGATCCGGATTAGGAGTGCTGACTTGGGTCGGGATAACAGGACGGCAAATCCTCGCCCTCGAAACCATGCGCAGCATCCTTGTCTCGCCGGCTACGGCAGCAGAGCACTCCATTGAGGATCCCTTCGGGCGCGAACCGTTCCAGCACCCTGCCCTAGCGAACATTGACAAGCTCAACATCAGACAGCCACAGGATATTGCGCAAAAAGAGAAATTGGCAAAGCTGGCGATTGACATTGGGTTACCGGAGGTCATCAGGTGGAAGCCCAGGCTGGTATGTGTGCTGTCTTTACCTTACTCGGAGCACAAAGAAAGATGTACAACTAACAAACGCCCGCTCCCAGCCTGAAAACCTCGACGCCTCTGGGTTGACGGTAGTCCTCAACACGACCCTCTTCGCGATCATTGGCGCTATCTCTTTACAGCATGGAGCCGAAGTCGCTCACCGCGTGGTTAGGGATAGAATCCTCAGGAGGCTAGGGGCATAGATACCATGGTTCGCGACCTCATTGCAGCCGTGTATAAATAATCCTTGTACCATACAATGTATCGATGCCTCAGAGCGAGGCTGGCCTGGTTCTGAGCCACACTGCGCTGGGAATTCCAACCCGAGCGGGCGTGTAATTGAGGACAGGATGGGTTACCGTCATCAGCAATGCACTCGCCAGGGCTGAAGCATTCGGCGACGGGCGGCCAGCGCCGTATGAACCGAAGGAGGTGTGGAATCGAGTGGCTCAGATCTCTCTTGACTGGGCGGATGGACTGGCGAGGTGAGCAACAGCTGGTGCATGATCAAGGTAGCCGGGCGGCGCTGGCAAGCCTTACAAGGGATGAGATAGAGGTTTGAGCTTGTGAATAGAGACGGGAACCGGCCGTCAATTGCCGTCCCCTAGACAGAGAGCGTTTTGGGACACTGACAACTGAAATCTCAAATTCCTCAAGTACAGTACTTTATCCTTTTCGCACCTCATGCTCCTATCTCCTTGGCTAAGGGGTGCCAATTCAAACTGACCCCGGGCGTGCCTGCCTGGGCTCCTTCCATTTCAACACCCCGTACCTGCCTCCTCCCTCCTTCCATCCCATCCCAACACCCCAACACCCCGCCACAGCTCCAAGTTTATATAGCGCCACCCAGCAACCACCCAGCAACCACCCAGCACCACCCGAGAACAGAAAGTTGTTGCCATGGCCTATTGGCATTGACTCCCACTCACCTACCACGAGGTTATGGGTTCAATTCCTATGACGGCGTGCGTTTCTCTTGCGACCTACAGCTACCAGGCAATTTGTCGACCCACAGGCACTCTGGTACAGCGTCTGGGTAGTCCTTGCCAACGGTTACGGTTAACTGCTCTGTTCAATTTTTTGTACTTTTTCGTTTTGTCTTCGTTGACAATCAGGCAGCCCGATGAAGGTAGACGACAATTGACGTTAAGAATTGGGCGTTTGAAGTTGACAGCCTTGCAAATCTCCTCCAACTTACTCTACCTCCATGTCCTGTATAGTGTAGCATCATGATCCATGTCACTGGATACGATATTTACGCGGGCAAAAGCATAAGTTAAGCCAGAAAACCTCCCATGCTCGTGTTATTATCCACAACTACCATCACCTGTCTCTCCACTCTGATCTCCTACTACATATGCAATTTAACCCAACCTAGAACCTAGGAAACCCCCCGGCCTTGCTCCCAAGCCCAAACCTCCATGGCCTGGTAGCGATTGACGATCTCCCCGACTTCCAGTTCCCAATCCAGTTCCATGCTCTTTGCTGCCAGTTCAAGTTCCAATCCCAACCCAATGTTTTGACCCAGCCTCCATATATGTTGCTAATCATTCGCCAATACCCGCCCATGATCCCATGCCGCACGATACTCCAGAGGAAGAAAAGTTGAAACAACAGTGACCCAAGAAAGATCCAGTCTAGATCATCCATGTCGTCCTCCCTGGATGATGGTGGCGGAAAGAAATATGTCAGTGCCAGCCCCGACCAGAGGAAGGTGAACAGGGAAGTTGAAACAGAATGATCATCGTGATCATGATGATGATGATGAAGAGGAGTGTCGACAAAGGAAAATGTACAGGGTTCTTGCATTGGTGGTTGGTGTGCCTTTTTCATGTTCAAATTGTCAAGGCCGCCCTTTGCTGCTGCTGCTGCCGACACACCACTGGCAGCGGCAGCGGGAGGAAGGGGCGGAGCCCGAGGGAGTCACATGCCCCTACCAAACAGGACAGGATACCTCAAACTGAGAAAGCGCTTCTTCCAGCTCTTTTGGCGCGCGGCCTGGACGCCGCAGGCCGGTGCCGGTTGGACAGTGACAACAGCCGGGTCCTTATCCTTTGTGTCCTCTGGCTGCTGCTGCTGCTGCGGCTGCGCAGGCTCAGGCTTTTCATCCCGGGAAACCGGGTTGTTGGCGGGGGTGGGCTGGATGGGGGTGTCATCAGCATCAGTGACGACTTGAACCGTGGACTCCCCAGCGGGCTGCGACCCCTTGCTGTTGTCGAGGCTGGGCTGAGTCTCCGGGGACTGAGGGGGCCCATGGGGGTGAGAATCGTCGGGAAGAGGGATGATGGGCTGCGTCGACGACGACCCCGCCTCAGGGGACTGGGGGTTTGCGAGTGCCGGAGACTCGGAGCAGATGGGGGCAAGGTCGGGTAACTGGTGGAAATGGTTAGCAACGACTCCTGTCCTGGACTGCATGGTAAAGGAAATACCTTCTCTGTCTCTGTCTCCGGCTGCTGCATCTTGGCTTCCTCCCGGTCCTCGCTCTGGGCATGCTCTGACGACTTCGACTTTTCCACCCCAGGCTCAGCAACTTCATTCCCGTTCAGGTTGTCAGAGGTATGTTCCATCTCAGAAGCTGGCTGAGGCTGAGCGACCTCCGGGGCAAGCACGGGCGTAGCAAGCGCTTCCTTGGGGGGTTCGTCCAGGATGTTGACAGTCTTATCCCCGTCGGTATTGACAATATCAGCAAAATCCCGAGTGTCCACGCCAGGGGCATCCTCTGGCTCAAAGCCAGGCCCAAACTCATGGACGGACGGTTCAGGAGCGGGCACCGGTAGAGGCACTGCCCCGAGTATGATCGGCTTGGACTCCGAGTCCTTGGCAGCCTCGGCTTCGGCGGGAGTGAAGTCCCAGAAACCTGAATCAACTTCCCTGTCTAGACCCGGACGCCGCTGGATGTGGGCCAAAGGGTTTGGGGTCTGGGATTCGGACCTGGCTACACCCTCGGGGTTTGGCGGGGTAACAGGCCGTTCGAGCTCTTTGATAGCAGGCTCGAGTTCAATCTCCTTTCCCGAATCCTTCCTCCTTCGGCGAGAGACGAGGGCTGGTTGCTGAACAGCCTCCTCGTAGGGCTCGACAGCCGGCCTGATTTCAGGCTCGACGACAGCGGGAAGCTCAGACTCGCCCGCGCCCCTAAGTCCAAGTTCCATGGCATTGTCCTTCGGGCTGGGTGCGGTTTCTACCTCGGCCACGACAGGCTGGACTTTGCTCGCCAGTTCCGGCTGAGGTACCACGTCGAGGATGACGGGCCCTGGCTCAGGGGTAGGTTCAACTGGCTTAGCCTCCAGCTGCAGCGGCGACTCCGGGGACGGCAGCGTTGACGACTTCTTTCGTCCTGTTGGTGATGGGAACTCCTCCCGAAGGATGGCCCTCGACCGCATCTCCAGCAACGACATGGGAGACGCCGGAGGTAGAGCATGAGGTGTCACAGGCCTGGAGCTGCCCGGGCTGGTAACGAGCCCCGCCACGGGGGCGGTTATCGGTTCTGGGCGGACAGTGATTCTCTCGCAGAACAGCTCGAGGACGGTTCTGAGCAGGACCCGGTTGGGCGACAGGATGCTGCTGATCTGGTCTAACAGGTTGGACCCGAGGAGAGATTCCGGGTCTTTGAGGTGCGGCCGGATGCGCGATCGCAGATACTCGAGAAACCAGTCGTCGCCCTCGGTCAGGGTAGGGTACGCATCCCGGGCCACCTCGAGGAGGGCGGGCAGGGGCAGGCCCTCGCCGTACTTGTCGATTTTGGCCTCAGCCAGACGCATCAGCTCTGGGAGGTCGTATGTCCGTGCCGCCGCGTAGGCTTGTATGCTTGTCTTGAGTTCGCATATCTGCTTGAACATGCTGTCTGTCGGCTTTGGCTTGAGAGACTCATACGTGCCGGTATGGAGGTAGTGTACGAGGACATGGCCGACGTCCTCGGGGATCGAGGATAATTCCGGCACGCGGCCCTCGTATGCGGCGTGAAGCTTAGGACTCTTCTTGAGAATGTCCAGAGGTATGATGAGAGGGTTGGCAAAGGGGACGGTGCAGGCGGGGCTGCCATAGGGACTGTGTTCCTGTTAGCTACCAGTAGAAAACATGAGGGTCTGGAGAATTCACGTACGAAGTCTCTGGCCTGTTGTCGACTTCCACAATCACGGGCTTTGCCGGAACAAGCTGGCCTTGGGCATCGGCTTCAGGCTTCGGCGTTGTCGCCGACTGCTGAGCAGCAGCAGCAGCAGCCTTGGCCGCGGCGCTCTTCTTTTTCCTCGCCATGACGGATCGGAGGATGAAGGAAGTTGCAGTGACGAAGGTGAGTCCGATGAGGGTTGCGGCTTCGACCGTGATGTAAGTGTCGAGATTCAAGTTGCAGAGATTGACATACCACATTGCGCTGGAGCTGCTGCAATGTCTTTGGACGGGTCTTGAGAGCAGTCGACGACGAACCGCGTATTTCTATCCGCCGGACCGTTGCTCCAGTCACCAGTGAGCTGGCAGCCGAACCATCCGACCACTTTCGCCCATTTGTGCAAGAGTTTGGGCCTCAATGCTCGCCCCGGAATGGCTCCAACGCTTCAACGACTTGAAGCCTGAACAGTGAAAGCCCTGACTCCCTGTGAGTGATGAATGACTCGAACGCTTGAACGGTTTGGACTCTTGGTGGTGCAACCGCACCCAACTGAGCAGTCCCAATCCAATTCCAATCTGCAGTCATGGTCGAATGCAACGCTGATACTGACTGTTGAATGAGCATCTCCTCCGGCATTGATGAGGTGTCAAGGCGAGAACTGATGCGTCGAATGGTCGAATCACTCGAATCATTGAGCGTCGGGACGAGATCAGCGACTTGGGAGCGTTGATGTGGCCCCCATGCCTTCCAATCGGGTGCAGCCCCGCCAGCGATGCAGGCTGGCCAGCCACTTGTCGAAGGAAGGCGCTCTGCAGACTCGGCCACTCTCGAGCACATGTGCTCTTCGGGCTCCCACGTGTCCAACGCGACTTCCTGCCCAGCGGTTCCACAATGCGCGCCTCCTGCCTCGCCTGGCGCGGAACCCAAAACAATGCGTTTCAGGAGCAAAGAGCCCGAGGTCAGGAGAAAGCGCATTTCCAGTCTCGAATGGTTCAAGACTGGCAAATTTGCAGGTGGTTGATGGCAAGCTGCCACGTACATTGTCGGTTGGCACCGGATCACGGGGTACAGTACCAATCATGTCCTCCAGACTCCGATCGAGTGCCTCCATTGCGCAGCATTCTGTGATTTCTGTTGCCCCTGCAATGGGCATCGTATCGACGATTTCCGAGTCAATTGCTGAGGAGAGATCCTGTATTGGGCACGTTGCCAACGATCAGGACACGCAAAGACGCTTCAGCCCAGGTTTGAGGGCGAAATATGACGTCAGGGCCTCTGCCGCCTCTCTTGCCGACTGGAGTCCCAGGTTCGAGGGCATCGAGGCTGGGCCAGTTGGGCGTTGTCCTCTATCCCGTTTCATGTGGGATGCAGGCACAGGAGGGACACGCACTCCATTGGCATTATGAGCTACAAGACAGCATGCTATGGTTCAATTGATGGAGCTTTCCAAGAAGGTCCAGAGATGGGAAGAGCTCACAGCAATCTGGGGTCCTTCAACTTGAAAGTTGCACTCACCAGACTGCATGACCTTGAGTTGTCATTGTCAGAGAGCCCTTTACGCTGCCCTTGGAAATATGTGGATTCTACTCTCTACTAGTATGCAATCTTATGTATGGTGCTACAGTAATGAAACTCTTCGAGTCTTGATAATGATGGTCGCTACGGTGTGGAAGCCTTCCCGTCTAGGCATCCTAGGAGCCCCTTGATTGCTGCCCAAGTATGTACCTGGCTCGCATCGTAACACCTTCTAGGCTCGCAGGCTCAGGCATGGATATTGATTAAGCCCCTGACTGATCTCACTTGTCCTACGTCTTGGCTCACTCTCCAGGCTTATCTGGCTAACATGTGTCTCAGTCTTGAAGTGTACTGTTGCAAGCTACTTCCTATGGCTTAGTAGTGGTAGTGTGCCACCGATATATCCACACTTGCTCAATCATGCTGGCTTCGACATAAATATACTACTAAGGTATTGCAGGCCATCTCACCAGCAGAAACGGTGAGGTGGTGGCCGTGGCATCAGTTGTGAGAACAATTCGAGTGTCCCTGTCTGATCTTGCCAAGAGAAAACAGAGCAACACCGTGACGCTCCCAAACAGCTTCCCAGTGATCGCGATGCGCACACATTGAACAGGTCAGGCAGGTGCCGTAAATCGTTTTTACCCCTGAACCCCTGAAACCAAGCTCCCCAAACAAAGCAACCTTAGCAATGGCTGTCTCGCTCCGTATAAGACGGGTAATAGATAATCACCGATCCATCAACTTTGTCGTTGTGTCATTGTTCAATGGCAGGTTTTAAGAAGGCTCAACTACATCGCCCGCAGCAACTTTCGCTGCTCCATGTATGTGGCCTTCGAGGTCGTGTGCCCCTGAGACCTGGCTCCATAGGTTGCACCCAGGGGCCCCGGACTCCCAGAGCCACCCATATGACAAATGCAATCAGTTATTTTGCACTCCATATTACTATCAGGCAAGGCAATGTGTACGGTAAGCAACAGCGGCTGGAAATCTTAGGCAAGCCCCGTAGAGATTTGAGAGGGCGACATCCTGTCTTCTGATTAAGGTAGGTGATACGTAGTAGTGTGCTCTTTTGCTAGCTACTACCTAGTATCGTTGTTGGTAAGCAGTGTAGTGCATAGTTGGTGCTGTGCCGTTCTGTTGCAATGCCGCTTGTGTGACGGGAAGTTGGGGGTTGGAGATCTCACTGCCCAGGCAGGAACGAATTCCGCACTGGGTTGGCTGAGTAAATGCTCTTGGCATCTGGCCTTCCACAGTTCCACTGCACCATCAGAAGACAGCCTGTAATCAGAATGTTACGGGCTGTTGGTCATCGACGATTTTTCAACTCAACACAGTTAATTCATCCTCGCCCGTCGTCCCTATGTAACCACAGCCAGCAGATCCTCTGGCAGTTTCCCGGGTGATGAATCCATAATGCCGCTCCTTAGCTCAATCCGACGGCGGCTTCGCAATCGGAATTTCCTCGCGACGCTCCTCTTTTGCGCGACAGCACTCTATCTCCTGCGCAGCTATGCCGCTGAAGATAACAGCGAGTTCGTCGCGCTCCAACGGCACATGAACCTGGGGCCGCCAAAACACCCATATTCCCTCGCCAGGAGTAGCTTTGACTGGAGCAGCGTCGCGTACCGCTACCCACCCGCAGCGCAGCTTTTATCACCGCCCAAGCCAGGGTTATGGCAAAGAAAGCTGCCGGGGATCCAGCACCGGTTCAAGCCTGAGTCCCCAAAGGACAGACAGCTACGGGAAGCGCGAAGAAAGGCCGTGCGGAACCTCACGCTCAAATGCTGGAACAGCTACCGCAAATACGCCTGGAAGCGCGACGCCCTGCTGCCCATCTCGGGCGACGGCCGTGACCAGTTCTCCGGGTGGGCCGCCACGCTGGTTGATTCCCTGGACACGCTGTGGATCATGGGACTGCGGGACGAATTCGACGAGGCCGTGGCCGCCGTGGCCGAGATCGACTTTGGGTCGTCAACCTCGCCGCAGGTCAACATCTTTGAAACCACCATCCGCTACCTGGGTGGACTCTTAGCCGCGTATGACCTGAGCGGGAGGGAAGTGCTGCTGCAGAAGGCGGTCGAGCTGGGGGATCTCATCTACGGCGGGTTTAACACCCCGAACAGGATGCCCGTGGACAATATTGATTTTGAGGTCGCAAAGAACGGCTCGGGCCTGGTTGTGGAGGATACAGTGGTGTCAGCGTCCCCCGGCAGCCTGACGCTTGAGTTGGCGCATCTCTCTCAGGTGACTGGCGACCCAAAGTACTACGACGCCATCGCGCCTGTTACGGAACTGTTTTGGCGCTGGCAAAAACGGACCGCGTTGCCGGGTATGTTCCCCATGTGGGTGTCCATGGCGCGAGAGGACGTGACGACAGGCAGCTCGTTTACGCTGGGCGGGTGTGCCGATTCGCTGTACGAATACTTCCCCAAGATGCACGCCCTGCTGGCGGGGGCGGAGCCGAAATATGCGCAGCTGACGAGGGGGTTTATGGAGGCCGCCAAGCGGCACCCGTTCTTCCGGCCTATGGTCCCTAGCAATGATGATATTTTGGTCAGTGGGAACGTCAATGTCGATGAGGAACTCGAACCGCATTTGGATCCGGAACTGGAGCATCTAACCTGTTTTATTGGCGGTACATTTGCCCTCGCCGGCCGGCTGCTTGGCAGCAAGGAGGATGTTGAGGTGGGCGCCCGGCTCGCGCGCGGGTGCGTGTACGCGTACCGGTCGTTTCCGACGGGCATGATGCCGGAGCGCCTGAACATGGTGCCCTGTCAGGACACGGAGCATTGCATATGGGACGAGCAAGTGTGGGATCGGGAGAAGGTCAAGCGGCCCGAGTACAAGCCACATCTCCCCAAGGGCTTCACCACGGCCAAGGATCCGAGGTATATCCTCCGCCCGGAGGCCATCGAGAGCGTGTTTTACTTGTGGCGCATCACGGGTCACCCGGAGTGGCAGGATGCGGCTTGGGATATGTTCCAGGCTGTCGCCAACGGCACGGCTACGGAACTGGCTGCCGCTGCGGTCAAGGATGTTACTGTGGTAAAGCCGAAGCTGCCGCAGGAGGACTACATGGAGGTGAGTTATCCGCTCTCATATGAACTGTGGATGTGTGAGAGCGTTTGCTAAGGAGTACTGCACATACAGAGCTTCTGGATCGCCGAGACGCTCAAGTACTTTTACCTCGTCTTCTCACCTCCGAGCCTAATCAGCCTTGACCAATATGTGCTTAACACCGAGGCACATCCATTTTTACGTCCGGACATGAGGCGATAGTCTACCATGTTTTCCTGTTTGAGCGGGTATGTTGATACAAGGTGGTTAGCGGGCAACATGTTTCAGTATATAGTCTTTGTTTGTCCGGATTCGAAGCATACGTTAAGAGTTTTCTGTAAGAACGGCTGATACCCCTTAATATGACCCAGATTTTCTCATACAGGTACAGTGCACAACTTCTTGAGTACCTTAGGTACCTTATACAACGGTACTAGTAGTCAGAGACACATGGATGGCGACTGGCCATCCCAGAATCTTCCCAGGGGCACTGGCCGCCCGGGTATTCAACATCAGTTCTACATATATCCCATAATCCATTCATCATCAGCCAGCTCCTTCGCCGAAGCACGCTTTGACGGTTCCCACTGGAGCATCTTCCGCATCAAGGCGAAGAATTTCTCTTTGCCCTCTCCCTCCAGGCTGGTTTCTCTCTCCTCGAGCGACACGCGATCCGGGACGGGAATATCCGAGCGGAGATCGCCTGCAGAACGGTGTGTGTCAGTAATAACGGAAGAAAGACTGGTTGTCCACGGAAGCCAGATTGGGTTACCTGTATACGTGAAGAACTTGTGGCTTGATTTCCCCAGGTTGAGAAGGCCCTGCGGAGGCGGTCCAAGCAAGGCAATGATCTCCGCAAGATGCGCTCGGCTGCGATAGGTTTGATGCTCTGGATCGTGTCCTGTAAAGAGGTGACCGCCTTCAAAGAGGTCCCAGATCTAAAAGAACAGTCAGCAAGATCACAGGTCAGTTCTTAGACCATCAGAGCCCCATGCCCGTCCCGATGCTTACCATGCAACCGATATTCCAGATATCCACCTCGTACGACCAGGGCGCTTCAAGTATAACCTCCGGCGCTCTGTATATATCAGGCTGCACGTCCTCCGAATGCTCCCTGTCCCTCACCACAGCCGACCCAAAATCACACAGCACCGGCGCACCCCAGTTCTTTGGCATCCTGAGCTCGCGTGACATGTAGATGGTTCTCTCGCCGTCCACAACTTTTCGCGGCGACGGATCGCGCAACTCTTGCTCTTCAAACGCGCTAAAGACAGAGTCATCCTCAATGCCAAACATGATGTTATCCGCTTTGATATCTACCCTCCCAACAGCTTAGCACGACCGATATCAGATCGTATGGACAGGGGGTAGTATGCACCTGTATGAATGACGTTGCATTCCGTATGCAAAAAATCCAACGCAAGGAACAGCCGGCGGAGGACAAAGGCCAGTACAGGCGCCGGCAACCTCCTCACTGGGTTACGGTGGAGGAAAGTCAAGACACTCTCCCACAGTGGGGGGTGTACTAGACACCGGTGACATCCGTCTGGCCCAGCCACATCAAAAGAGTCGAGGAGTTCCCTGACAGCGCCACGGCCGGGGTGTTTTGTATCCTTAGATGATGCTGAGATGCGCTTGTATATCGCAAGCTCGTGGTCTACCTGGCTACCTAGGGACTCGGAGTGTATAAAGAGCTTCAGCGTCACATGGCGACGACCGCTGTAACCTGTTAGCATATGTAATAAATCTCGCGGTGAGTGGAATGAGGTCTGGCGGGCATACTCTAGATCGCGGGCCAACCAAACGGTTGAGCTCGTTCCAAAGCCCAGTTTGCCCACAATCTGATAGCGGTTCTTGAAGACTTGGCCGAGGCGGACAGGGTAGTAACGCGACACGACGTAACCAGGAAGACGCTCCTCCTCCAGTTTTTCACCTAAAGGGATGCGCGTGAAATTGGGGTAAGAGAAGGTAAGCGGTTTCCATGCCCGGCCGGGCCAGGGGAATTGTCGGAGCAATGATGCCATGTCAAAACGGTTCCAACTTCCAAGCAAGAGGGAAACGATGCCAAAACCATCAGCGAGTTGGCGCGTGCGCGATTACATGTACCTTAACGCCGGACAATGCAAATGCATAGGATAAAAGTTACCAACAACGACCGCGCAGCAAACCCCCAGAAATCCAACTTGGAATCATCTCCGCCCTCCACGCCCGCCTCCGAGTCCCTGCCCTCCCATCATACCACTCATCTGCCTCATCATAGCATTCATATCCATCCCACCCAACCCCCCGGCACCCCCAGCACCACCACCACCAAACATCTTCATCAAACTCCCCATATCCGGCAACCCCCCCGCCCCTCCCGCACCACCCATACTCTGCAACCTCTTCTGCATAGCCGCAAGCTGCTGTGCCTTGTTCCCCCCCGCCATGGCACTCTGCGCGCGCTGCATATTCTTCATATTCCCCCCCATCTTCTTCGCCATGCCCGCCATCATGCGCTGCTGCGTGAGCAAATCCTCAACCTCACGCACCGTCGTCCCTGAACCCTTCGCCACGCGCGTCATGCGGGTCGGCTGCTCGACAAAGATCTTCCCGTCGCTATCAAGCTCCTTGTCCGTCATGCTGTCGCAGATGTAGATCATGCGCTTTAGTTTGAGCGAGCCCTCCTCGTCGTCCATGCCCTGCATCATGTTGCTCATCCCCGGGATCATGCCGGCCATTTTGCTCAGCGGGCCCATCTTCATGATGTTTTGTAGCTGGTCGCGCAGGTCGCGGATGGTGAAGATGCCTTCGGTGATGTGCTTGATGGTTTCCTTTTGGTCGAGTTTCAGGCTCTGCACGTGCTCCACCAGCCCGGCCATGTCGCCCATGCCGAGGAGCTTGCTGATAAAGTTCCGCGGGACGAACCGCTCGAGGTCAAGCATGTGCTCGCCGGTGCCGATGAAGACGATGGGAGTGTGCGTCGCGGCAACGGCCGAGATGGCTCCGCCGCCCGCGGCGTGCCCGTCGGTCTTGGTGATGATGATGGCGCCAAAGTCGGCTGCCTCTTTGAAGGCTTTGGCCTGCGCTTCGGCTTGCTGGCCGATGGAGGAATCCAGCACCATGATTGTCTCGTCGGGCCGGATGGCTGATTGGATGTCCACCATCTCCTGGAAGAGCGCGCTCTCTTGCCTGTGCCGGCCTGATGTGTCGACAATGATCACCTCGAACCGCTCCTTCTTGAACTTCTCGACACCGTCCCGCGCAACGACGGCAGGGTCGGTCTCGGTCAGGCTGCCATAGTAGGGAATTTTGGCCTTGGTGGCGTTCTGCTTCAGTTGGTCAAAGGCGCCAGCGCGGAAGGTATCGGCGCACACGAGACAGGCACGAAAGCCGCGTGACTGGTAGTGGCGGGCGAGTTTTGTGCAGGTTGTGGTCTTGCCGGCGCCCTGCAGGCCGACAAACATGATGACATTGGACTTTCCCTTCTTCGGTTTGAATGGTTCTGCGTGTGGATCGACGAGGCGGACGAGTTCGTCGAAGACGGCTTTCTGGATCAGGCGCTTCTTGTTCACAGCAGGCGGTAGCTCTTTGAAGTTGACGGTGGCGCGGATCGATTTGCGTAGCTGGTTGACCAGTCGCACGTTGACATCGGCTTCGAGAAGTGCGGCGCATATCTCCTTGAGCATGGAATCGAACGCCTGCAAGTCGCAACAGAGTCAGTCATCAGTATGGGAGCCAGTGCCGGGCAGCTTCGGCGCAGTCTGGGGCTAAGAGGACTTCAAATCAACTTGCCTTTTCGTCAAGATTTGGCGCTCTTGTCAGGTCACTGACGGCCGCATTGATGCGGCGACCGAGATCTTGAAGAACCATGACGGGCGTCCACGGCTTGGAAGCCGGCAGAGAAAATCGGAAGTTTTTGCGACCTCGCCTCGATGTCGATTACAGGTGGTGTCAAGTCTTGGGTTGGAGGGCGGTTTGGATGGTGGGGTTAATTCAGCAGCCACCATGGCGGTGCCACAAACCCCTGTCGTTTGGCCACCTATTGGCAATTAGGTTGGCATGCTTTGAAGCAGTGGGCCCAGTGTTTTGGCCGAGCAAAGCTCGAAGTTGAACTGCCATTATTTACCTAATTTTCTCTCTGATTGGAATTTTTCGTGGTTTTTAGTCCAACAGAATCCATCGTGACCCATTTGCTTTCGCGGGGCAAAGGTGGTACGGAGACTCGGCCAGCTTTGCCCCAGCGAATTTGTTGGTTGTCATCCCTTTTCGCATGCCTCCTTCAGCAACCCGACCTCATGCGAGCGTGGCTTGAGAGGTTACTGAGAGAATCTAGCTAACAGTATATTCCATTCGCACACGAACTGGGTCAAGGGATTTCATGCTGTGCGTCTCCGTGCCACGGTCAGCCTCCACGATGGCGTGGTACCCATGAGAGTTTGGCAAAGCAGTCTCACAATCGAGATACTGGCTGCTCTTGAAGGGGGCCATGAGCTTGCTTGGTCCACTTCCGATAGTGACTACACCACCTTGGTGCCTAGGTGTCCAATCCGTGCTCCTGGCCGTCGTGTTTCCTTTCCCCCTTGTGCGACGGAAGAGGTTATAGAGCATAGGGAGGCAGGCGCAAATGATTGACAGGTTCATTTCCACGTTGGTCCAGATGCCAGGAGTGGTGATTGTGTCTGTGGCAATCGAAGCTCAGCATTAAGGCTCGTCCAGGAGAGCAGTCGGCCACACTTACAGGTCATATCGGAAACGTCGACGGTAAGTAGGTAAACAATGCGCAGAATGCTTGCGATAATCGTACTCACCGAAGATTAGCTTTGTCAAAATGCCAATGGCCCCAAGACCTTCACGGCAAAAGTCAGAAACTTACAAGGCACCCAGCAAGAGGACGCCAGATATTAAGAACTTCTTCCGCGGAGACAGCTGGAGCTTCCAGACCTTGATCTGAGCAATGGCAAGCATGGCCATTTCCAAAACAATGTTGACTACCGCCATGACAGCCCAAAACGCTGGGCCGTTGATGGTTGTGGCAGGCATGCCCACGTTCCATTGAGCCTCGACGGGATTGGAGGAGAAGATGAGGCCGAGCATGGCAGCGAGACAGTTCCCAATGACGAAGAAGCCCATGATGCGCATAAACATCAGAAACTGGCCATCGACTGAGAAGATACGGCGGTAGAAGAAGAGAATGGAGGCCTTGGACAGTGCAATGCTGGGATTGTACAGGACGTTGGCGGCGAGCATAAGCTTGAAGTACGTGTTGAGCTGATCGACCGTGTATGTGTTGATGTGATATCCTGCAGCGCCGATGGATGGCGCCGAGATCAGCAAGGTGCAAAGCAAGACGCCGCCAAAGGCGAAGATGAGTGAGCCCAAAATGGCCCAGTCGTCCCACCAGAACTCGCGGCTCCGACGGCGTTGTACAAAGCGAAGCACGACACAAATCGTAGCTAGCAAGGTAAAGATGCAGGCAATGATGATGTGAACAGAGGCACCTGGGCTAACCGCATATGGGTGGAGTGCGGGCAACTCATCGGCGGTCGACATTGTAAAATGTAAAGTGACGAGTTAAAGCATGAGAATCCGCAAGGAGGTTTCTACCAAAGACCGGACGAAGACACCACTGCAACAACACAAACACAAGACCGTAGCTTTGGGGGAGTCTGCTACTTATCCAAACCGTCAAGCTATTCGTCCATCTTTCCACTTTCATCTTCTGCAACCTGGGGCCCGGTCCAAATAGGGGGCGCCTACGATCTTTGGCAACAGTGTAACTGTAAACGCTTGAGTGCGGCGGTGACCTGCGGTGCAGTCCAGAGGCCGGAGACGATGCAAATCAAGTTAAACCAACAACAGTTGTTGGTTCAACATGTTACATGAGTGCATACATGTAAAGCATGCTCGCCCCGCTACTACCAACTTGTCAACTTGAATGGGTCTTCGCCGCATTCTCCCAAACTCGTCCAATTCCTGCTCTTTCGTGCGTCTCCTCCTGTTCTTGCACTCGCATTCGCCATATCTTGCCCTTGGTTCAAGCATCAGCCCAGCGAAGCAGGTACTATTTGCGTCCAAAGCATCACCAACACAGCAGACATGTCAGTCACGAAACCGACCATTGTTATCATCCACGGCGGCTGGCACGTCCCCGAGAGCTACGAGAAGCTCATCATGGCCCTCGAAGACGCTGGCTACGAGGTTCACTGCCCACGCCTTCCCTCCACAAACCAGGTAAAGACTTCCACAGCCTTCAGGTATCTACGATCCTAGTTTAACTCGGATGGACAGACGCGACCTCCAAATGCCGACCTCTACAGCGACTCAGACCTAATCCGCTACTACGTGTCGAGCCTTGTGCGGGCCGGCCGTTCCGTCGTTGCCCTGATGCATTCCTACGGCGGTCAGGTCGGCACCAATGCGCTGCACGGCCTTTCCGTCTCGAGCCGCGCCGCGCAGGGCCTCCGGGGCGGCGTGTCGCATCTGGTCTACCTGACCGCGTACGCGGTGCCCGAAGGCACTGCCATGATGGACAAGGTTGCCGAGTTCGGCCACAACGACCTGGTGCCCATCGCGTTCGATATCGACCCCGAGGACAAGACCTGCCTCAACCGGAACCCCAAGATGCTGCTTGTAGGAGAGAGCGATGTGCCTGAGGCCGAGGTCGATGAGTATCTTGGTACGCTGGTGCGTTGGAACGGTAATGGCATGTACCAGCCGAGCAAGCACGCGGCGTGGCGCGAGATACCTGTTTCGTATATCTACACCACCGCCGACATGACCATTCCCATTGATTACCAGAAGAACTTTGTCGAGGGCATGGAGAAGGCGGGCCGGTCGGTGCGGACGTTTGAGTTGGCTACGGGCCATTGCCCGAACTTGACCGCCACTCAGGGAGTGGTTGCCGCCATCAACGACATCGTTAGTCAGGTCTAATCGCAATGCCCTGTCAAAAGCAAGTCAACGGATATTGCAGCTTGGAGACACTGTTCTGGCACTTCTTCTTTGTGGAGTTCGTGAGTCTGTCCTGATGATCTTTCGGGCGAATTCAATTCTCAGGTAGTGATCATGCTGGATAACAGCCAGCCCTGGGTACACGTACCACTCAACAAATGAAGTACGGTTGCATAGAAGGCATCAAACGTTCATAGCCGATTTCAGAGCCACCATTACCAGCATACCAAATCCCAGCGAACCTTCCCGTTCAAGAATCAAGACCGACTTTCCCACCCCGCAAACTCTTCGAGCGGGAGTAGCTCAATAGGAGCCGTCATATTGTCCTCCTTTTGAGAAACCTCAACGAGCCAGGCCAATTTTGAGCTCGCCTTGTGCGTATCCACTGCAGCCTGGTCAAGGTATCTGTCGGTAGTGTCCAAAGTCAGGACTCAGGACCCAAACGTGGAACGAGGAGACATCAGGGACATAACCTACGTCTCCAAGACGACAATCATCGGCTTCTCGGGGTATCCAGTTCGAAACCACTGGTATTTCAGGACCCCTGGCTCGTTTTCGTGGACATATTCGCAGACTGACTGTGCAATCTCTTCGACCTGAGAGGTAATGTCGTTGTTTAACTAGCCATTCCAAGCGGATTCCAGGATCAATGCGATATCACTCACACGGGCAACCTTGTCGGGTTTGGGATGGAGCAACGCCAGGAAGTGGAGAGGCATTATGTGCGGTGATGTTGACCGAGTGAAGGGACGGACGGGATGAGTTCTGTGCTATCCGTGTCGAGATTCAACCTAAAGACTGCAGAGGTCCCGAAGCAGAGATGTATGAATCAAGCAGACTAGAGGTGTAATAAGGTATGTAATTGTTTAGTACATGACTATTGATCTCAGGGGGCTGGTGTAGAGAGGGGGGCTGGGACCTACATTGTGCTTACTGAGCGACAAGTTCCACCTCCAGTCGCTGCACGTCACTAGTACGTCCAAAATGGATACCATCGAGTCCAAGGACCAGTTAGGCGGCGTTCAAGGGTCACATTCAGACGAACTATGGGGCCTACTTTATCATTTATATTGGCGCAAATCGCCTAGGCCGGGATAAAGGTACCCGAGATGTCCCGCCTGTGCAATATGGTCATGGCGATTCAGCTCTATCACGGTGTTTTGACATTAAACGTCGCTTGTTATGCCGAAACCACGCAGTAGATGTGAGTTAGTGGCAGTAATCTTCATTCCATCGTGACGGATATGGCCGTCTAAATGTATGTACATGCATTACTAGTACGAAGTACCTTCTGCTGCCTCACTGGCACACCGACTCCGCTCAACATCCGGCAGAACCCACTTGGTCATCCACTCCGACCTCAGCACTTCCTCCGCCGACGGCCTTTCCTCCGGCCGAAACGCCAACATCCTCCTCATCAAATCCAGAATCACCACCGTCTCATCCTCCCCAAACACCCCAACATCCGGCCGCCTCCGCCTATACTTCTGCACAAACTCCTCAAACGCCTCCTCTAGTGTAGGCCACACCTCCCTATCTCCCAGCGGACGCCTACCCTCATCAAAAAACCGCGCCCTCTCCTCCCAGCGCTCCCACCAACCCACAGGCATCATCATTGCTCCCAAAACATCAACCTGTTGCGCGGTAACCTCATCTAGCGTAGTAAACTCATTGCTAAATAAACCTTTCATGCCCAGGATTTCCCAAATCGTTACACCCAAGCTCCAGATGTCCGACTGATAAGAAAGCGGGGAGTCCGGTTCGAACCGCGCCTCTGGAGGTCGACAGCCTAGGGGGGTATGGCAGTCTCTCCCAAGACGGGGCGACGCAGAGTTTGGAGTGTAGGCTTCGCCGAAATCGCTGAGCAGGATCCGGGTGTCGGCACCAAGGGTGAACTCTTCGGCTCGTTTGCCGTTGGCAAGGTTAAGCGGGGCGACGACTATGCTGGGGACGTTTGGTGGAAGGGGCTTCCCGTCGCGTCGTTTGACTGGGATCGTCTCGGGTTCGCCGTATTGTTGGTAGAGCTGGGCGATTGAGAGTTCGTGCAACCGGGACTGGGAACGGGTAAGTATGTTTTTGGGGTGGATATCTAGAGGGAGGATATCATCAGTCCTGATCAGTTCAATATCCTACCGGGTCATAGAAAAAGCAGGAAAACGAACTGCCACAGCATACCTCCATGAGCATATCCTCTCGCATGCAAATAGGCGACCGCTAGCACAACCTCCCCTGACAGCGCCCGTGCCACATTGATCGGGAACAGCCGAGTATAAGAAACAGTTCGAAGGTCGCATTCAGCCAGAGTCATCGTATAACACGGATGTGTGCCGTTTGGGCCCTTCAACTCAAACTCGTCCAACGGGCAGGGGATAGAGGAACGTCCCTGAGACGCAGGTGGAGGAACCGATACTGGCCTGGAGATTTCTCGCAAGATTGCCGTTTCCCGAAGCGGTGAGTTTGCAGTGCCGACTTTGACGGCGACGTAGCATTTGAGCTGTGTATCTTTTGCGAGCCAGACCGTGGAGTAGCCGCCGAAGCCAAGCTTGTCCACTACCCGATATCTGTCGCGGAGCATGTCCCCAATCATGATGGGATGGTAACCACCGGGCACGTAGTTCTCGAGTGACTCGACATCGCTGATCGGGTTGTATGTTAGAGGTCGAACTTTTGCATTGTTTCTTTCTGGCGTAGTCGATGAGAAAGCAGCTCTGAAGCTAGCATGCACGGACGGATTCCATATGTGAACACCTCGAGAGAAGGCTGGGCGACGAAGAACTGGAAAGACTCGGGTGTGACAGATAATTCGGGAACGGTCAATCATGATGATGTGCTTACCTCCCCTGACCCCTTTTGTTTGGGTGCAAGGAGGAAATTTTCATCGGTGTTCGGAATGTCGACGAATAAGGTAACCCAAGAATGGCCCTGATAGGCCGAGGCTATTGACTTGATAACAAACTGTCTTTGCGTCAACATAGTGTCTCGACGAGATCCTATTGACGATGCCCGTTCAGTTTGTTCCCGAGGTTAGTAGTACTTACCATGACCTTCTGGGACCAAAATCCGGCATGGAGAGAACAGCCTGAGACCCTTGAGATATTTGGCAAGGAGACTGGAAACATGACGCTTGCACAAGTCATCTTCGTTGCCACGGCATTTCAGGGGTTCCTGTGTCGACCACATCGCAGTAGTCCCGTCACCTCCGCACACCGCTGCTGTGTTGATGATACGAACCGGACGCAACTCCATGAGTACAATTATTGTCCTGCGAATAAATGCGAGATGGTCCGTCCGAGAGGCGCCAGGCGGCCAGGGGGGTATCCATTAGAAATTCTATCCAAGAAGGAACAACGATCAAACTATACCGACAACGCCTGCTCAACTCCGTGCATCTATACAATCCGATAACGCCAGAACTACTCCCCATCTTCCCATATCCAATTCCCATCCTCGTTCATATGGTACCACCTCTGGTATTCGTCACTCCAGGACCAGTATCCTTCAGCTGACTCGGAAACCTCCAGAGGTGCAGCAGGACCTGCTGACGTGGAGGCCTGCGCGAAGGACCCAGTTGCTCGCCGATGCGCACTACGCTGTGTCCTGTTTTTGACCGAGTCGTGCTTCTTGCGCGGCTGGGCATGCGAGGGAGGACTGTGAGACACTCTGTTCCGCTTCGAACTGCCAGTGGTTTGGCTCTCAGGCTGTACGGCAATGCTCGACGTAAAGCTTGTAGCGAAGCTCATTCCTGGTGCTGCAGCACCAAGCGATCTTGACTGCTGGCTGGGTTCTTCCACCTCTTCGTTTGGGTACTCGGAAAGAGCCGGGCCCTCGCCCACCTCCTGGGATACAGCGTAGTTTGCGGTGCCGATGATTTGCGCTCCAACGTGGTTCTCAGTCCACGAATTCGTCGGAAATTGAGTCTTCGTCCTGCTCTGTCACAGCACTTGAACTTTCTGCTTCAGGCGGCGCCTCTGCATCGGTTTGGCGTGCTCTTGCATTGGCGCTCTGGATAAACCCGTCGCGGTGACGGCGCGCCATATCTCTCGCATTTCGGAATGCTGTAGCTCCCTCGACAAAGCGCTTCCGGCTGCCCGTGAGAGCATAAGCCTCAATCTGACTCATGTGGTACTCAGGGCGCCCGTCTGGGGCGGTCGGGGGCGCGACGTGGTGCGCGTACAGCTGGAGCGTGCCCGTGCCGGCGTGGTATGTCGAGCTGTAGGTGTACGCATTGCCGTCGAAAGTCGGCTCCTCTGCGCCGTAGTTCTGCAGCGAGTGCATCGCGCGGGCGCCGATGGCTCCGTCGTGCAATGCCTGTCGCAACGCAACATCGGCGCCTCCACTAGGACCTTTGGTCTCGAGGAAAAAGTTCGGTGCTACCGGCGCACTGGCGTGCCTCGTAGGGACGATCAGTTTGTTCAGGTTGCCCTCCTCATCCTCGTTTCGAATCTTTTGGGTGGATATCGCCAAGTCGGGCGCCATCAAAGAAATCCGGCATAGCTCTGACAGTTGCTCCTCCGGTCATGGAGGCCATGTTGGTAAAGAGGAGGTCTCCGTCGTTTAGGATGTCGGAGCTCCCGGCGATAATCGGAATCACATTGCGCTTTATGGTGGTTTCAGACGCAGTCTTGTTCTTCTTGTTTTTGGAACGCGGAGTCAGGGAACTGCGATGGCGAAAGAGAAGCTCTTGCAGCTAAGAGTTCCAAACGTAGTTGGTCGGCATTGGCTGGCTCCGGCGTCTGGCGGCCGTCTGGATACTCATACCCCTCAGGATATATACCGTTGTCAATCGCATGCTGCTCGAAAGCATCATCGTATGCTGAGGTCGCCTTGGTTGAAGAAGAGGCACCCGATGCCTTCGTCGAATCGTGGACTTTGTTCGTTGGCTTGAGGAAGCAGCTGAACGGCGGGAAGCCATGGTATGGACCACGCCTTTCAGGTCGGCATACTAAGACAAAGGAAGTCAGCGGCCATTGCCAATCAGTATCATCGTAGACATACCCCTCGAAGATGGCGAAGGTCTGGGCCACCCTGTCTTGCAAAGCGGGCAAGATCTTTGGTGTACACTGCAGGTGCCGCGGGTCCTGGGGCTCTTTTTCGCCGGTCGAGTTCGCGCAGTGCTCGACGCGTCAGGGGAACCCTGGATAGGTTGTCCCAAAACTCGGGCGGGAAATTTGGCAGCCCGTGAAGTCCCCCTCTCGACTTGATCTTCTTGCTAGGCCGGTGCTCTTGTGAGAGGTCGTCTGCGTGGGCTCTCTTTCGGTTTTGTGCGCTCGCCATTAGCAGCCACTATACAAGGCACCGGTCGAGGGAAAGCCATGTGGAAAGCCAGGCCGCGCTGATGGGCCGGTACTGAGTTGGCAATGCAGACCTGAGATGGTGGTGTGCGAGGCAGGGAATGATTGGGCTGAGACGCGTCGTTGCCTGCGACAGTGTACTCTGCAGCATCGGCCGAGTTTATTCTGGGCTCGGAAACTACCAGGAAGCTTGGGAATGCGGTAGATGGGAGACATTGAACGCGTCGCATTTGCGAAGGCATCAACCAGTAGTAAATTATGTAGCCACCCTGCACTAGCAGCAGGGATACCATGGTGAGGGCCTGCGGGGTGGGTAGGTCAGCGCCCGCAATAAGTCAAGTAAGCCAAGCAACGCCCTCGAATTGGCTTACTTGGCTCTTTTTCTGGCCCATTTGGCTTGATTGCAAGTCTTGCAAGTCGGCTTGACTGCCTTCGGAAGAGGTTATTCCGACACCGAGTCAGTACGTACACACAACCTGGTCCCATGTACACTTGGAAAAACCGGGACGGCGACGAAGATGTAGATAGGTGTGCATTGTTCGCGACTAAATAGATAGATAGGGCTAATAGAGGATGGAAAATATCAGTAGTATATGGGTGACCTGACGGGTAGGTAGGTGGCCAACGGAGCACGGGAAGTATCACCACTATAGTAGGGGGACCCACTCAAGTCAAGCAAACACACAGGGCCTTCAAATTGGCTTAATTGGCTTATTCTGAAGGCCGGTTTGGCTTGCTTGCCGGGTGGTCGGCTTGACTTGGCTTAGCTATCCTTGACTTATTGCGGGCGCTGGGGTAGGTACCTTAATCAACCGAAACCGCCTTGAGATGGCCTCGTCGACACAACCAACGCGCAAAGGGGTTGTTGAGATGAGGCTCCGGCAAGAAGTCGTCTGCGAACGCGGAATAAAACAGGGGAATCACTTTAAGGTTGCAAGATGTCAGTTGAGAAGTTAAGATGAACCTCAAACCCGGGCAGTGGCTACCAGGGTGCAAGTGGGGCCCTTAGCCACATTTTAGCTCCCGGCCAACCTGGAAGCCACGAACGTCGTAGGCCCCTAACGACATGTCGGGAAGGGTTTGGATTCAGGAACAATCGACCTGGAATTGAACCACCTGGCCCACGGAGCCACGCCTGGAATTCGATCCGTGGACTGGATTTCTATAAAGACGTAAGAGATCTCGAATTTCACGCAGAAAAACATGTTATCGTCTCTCCAGACCAACCTTCCTCACCAACCCTTGCGCAGGGCCGCGGGTTGCTTGGCCGGCGTCAAATGTAGCAACCTACCTAACTTGAATGACTCCACTTTCTCAGTGGAAGTGGTCTTAGACCACCGATGTACGGTACCGACGGTTTGATTCTGCGTGCTTTTGCGAGAATTCCAGTGCCTCTTTACCTGCTCTGAAAATGAAGGTACTGTACAATCTCCACCCGCTCTATCAAACTGGAATTGCTGACATACCCCCGAGGACATTGTCATCGCCGACCAGTACCGCCTTGATCACAAGATTGGCGCGGGAGGCTTTGGCCTTGTGTATTCCGGTACGTGCTAGTACTCGCTCCTCTAGTTGTCATACTAACCAAGTAGGTACCGATCTGCAATCGGGCGAGGAGGTCGCCATCAAGCTCATATATATTCGTGACAAGCCCGAGGTGCTCCGGGGAGAGAAGGGACATACGAGGCGCTGGGGGGCGGGATTGGAATCCCCCGAGTACGGTGGTTTGGGCAGGAGTGCGATTTCTATGCACTCATTATTGATGCCCTGGGCCCGTCGCTCGAAGACCTCTTCGACTACTGCGACCGAAGGTTCTCGCTCAAGACCATCCTCCTTATCGCCGACCAGGCCATCTCCCGGATTGAGTACATTCACTCCAGAGGTTTCCTCCATCGAGACATTAAACCAGACAACTTCTTGATGGGGGCCGGTCGGCAGGGCAACATACTCTATACTATCGATTTCGGTCTCGCCAAGGAGTTCTCTGATGCTGAGCGTTGTAAGGATCTAGAAGGTGTCCCGGTAGGTGGGACGATACGGTATGCAAGTATCAACAACTACAACCGCCGTGGTAGGTACTGTACCTAGCTCTAATCCTGTCTATGTGTTTGCTAATTCATAGGAAGAACAATCATGGGGAGATGACTTGGAGTCTCTTAGATATATCTTCCTATACTCTGAGGCAAGGCCTGAAAGCCAAGGACGATGAGAAGGCGGCACTGATCAAGAAGATGAAGGAGAGCCTGTCTGGCAGAGAGCTTTGCGATGCTATCCTTCCCGAAGAGTTCGCGACGTATATCGACTATACCCGTCACCTGCCTTTCGATGACAAGCCGAACTACGCCTACCTCCGTGGGCTTTTCCGTCGTCGATTTTCAGTGGAAGGGTTCAGACACGACAACGTCTTCGACTGGACAAAGAAGATGTTCGACGAGGTACGAGGCGAAGCTAGTCCTGCAGTGTCTTCAGCACAGGAGCCGCAGAGACCGGCTCCAGAACTGAAGAGGCACAGGAAACACCTACGGAGGAGAGGTCGGGGATCTTCAAATCCGAGAGGAAGATTAAAGGCTAAGCCGAGAGAAAGGTCGGGGATCTTCAAATCCGAGAGGAAGATTAAAGGCTAAGCCGAGAGAGGGCCAGCCAGAACGGAAAGGTTGAATCGGCGGACGATGGCGCCGAGCGAATGTCCACAGTCCGGCGCCCTCCGCCCCTCCGCAGGCGGTCCTGTCCTCACATCCCGGACCAAAACGGCAGCAGTCCAATCTCAGGCTACTAGTACCTCGAGCACTGAGTCAGTAGGAAGAAGGCTGGATCCGAGACTAGCCCCTGTTACCACAGGGTATTTTCAGCCACGTGGAAAGAGCAGGAGTACGTGGTTGCTGGTACTCCTGCGGAGGTAAAACTACGACTAGACAGGAGTCTCCTCTCGGCGTCTGCCAGTAGGGACGGATGCATCGACCAATCAGCCCTACTTCTTACATGTACTGCCTGGCGTAGCCTCGGCATACCAGCCCCGTCGGCGCCCAGTCGCCCCAATGTCTTGTCAAAAGCTTGTGCTGCTTTCCCGGCGGCTCTGACGCAAGACAAGGACCTTTCCCCTGAACGCAAATGACGTGGAAATGCCCATTAATATCAATCAAGGTCTTGACCAATGGCGGGACGTTGATATTCCCCTACGGTTACATAGGGTTGGGGAAGGGTTGGGGCGGTTGACTGCCGCCGCCGTTTAAAATCAGTTCGGGGCAATGTCGCCGAATAGGCTATCAACAACCATATTGAGCCTTTCATCCCGAAATAGGTGCACCGCAACACTCCACCATGCGACAGAACATGAATGGAAAAGACAGCTTATATGGAAATGAGCGGCCAAGCAGGTCGGGCCCCTGGTGTCGGTACAATGCCAAGTTAGGGTAAGGTATCTAGATTTGGCTCCGGTTGGGCTCATACAAATATGCAAAGCTTGTTTCCTCTTGGCGAGAAGCAGTCTTGTTGATTCGGAGACTATTCCGCCGCGGATCAACCCCTGAATCAACAGATCAACAGCAAGAAGCTTGAGTTCTTGGCAGAGATCACTGCATCGAAGCAACAATGCGCTGGATCGACATTGCCGCGGCCGCATCAGCCCTGGCTGTGGCCGGTAAGCCTCTCTGAGAGCGGAATGCCGGACAGGTCAGGATATGTGCTTATGGTGTGGCTTGACAGGTGTCGAGGCTCAATCCGTCCCGCAGCTGCCTGTGCCACGGAGCTGCTCTGGTGTCAGCAACTTCCGATATCAGTACACGCTCGCGTCAGGATGGTCGGCCATGAAGATTGCCGGCGGCCTGAAGCAGGTCCGGACTATTGTCTGGGACACGGCGGGCAACATGCTCGTAGCCCAGGCCACCCGGGGCATCTCGGTGCACACCTTTGGCGCCGATGGCTGCATCAACAGCACCACCATGCTCGTCCAAGGCAACCAGCTCAACCACGGACTGGCACTGACGCCCGACGGCAAGACGTTGTATGCCAGTGGTGAGACCACGGCTTACAGCTGGAGCTATGACGCTGCTACGCGGAAGATCAGTAACCAAAAGACGGTGGTTAGGGGTATGTCGACTGGCATTCACTCTACACGGACCATTGCCGTTGTGCCGCAGCAGCCGAATCTTATCCTGCTGCAGGTCGGTAGCAACGCCAATTTCGACACGGCAGCGGCTCAACCGAGCACGGGGCGCGCCATCATCAAGATCTTTGACACCAGCAAGGCGCCTGCGAACGGGTTCAACTATAACACCGAGGGCGAGGTGTATGGCTATGGCTTGCGCAACACGATCGGTTTTGTGTCGGATCCGAGCGGAGTATTTTGGGGCGTGGAGAACAGCGGAGATGTATGTAGTCGCCGCCCAGGTCCTGGTCATGCCTCTAGAGGCCTCAGGCTAGACAACCCTACGTCTTGTGTACTTCGAGCTAACAGAGATGACTTCACCAGGACTTCACCCGCACCGAAAACGGCCAGCGCAGGGATATCCACCAGAACAATCCGGCCGAGGAACTGAACAACCGTAAGTTGCTCTGGAGCTGCTATATCCCCCGTATCCAGACCCCATCCACTAACACCTTTCTCCCCAACAGTCGGCAACCCCCTAACAGTCCGCAACGCATGGTACGGCTACCCAACCTGCTTCACAGTCTGGGACGCCTCCAACTTCCCCGGCACGTCGCTCAAAACCGGCAGCATGTTCGTGGTCTCCCCCAACAGCACCTTCAACGACGCGTCATGCACTTCCCAAAAAGCAATCCCCCCGCGCCTAAGCTTCCAGGCACACTCCGCCCCGATCTGGAATACCTTCGACAAGGACGCCAAGAACATGTACGTCGCCTTCCACGGCTCGTGGGACCGCCAGCCCCCGACCGGGTTCAAGGTTGTTCAGATCCCCTTCACGCGCACGGCGGATGGCGCGTATGACCCCGTGGCGCCGCCGGATAGTATGACGGGGTATAAGGATATTTTTAGCGCGACAAATCCGGGGAGCTGTACGGCGAATGGGTTGACAATGAGTAACTGTTTTCGGTTGACGGCGGCGGCGTGGGATCCGGCGGGACGGGGGCTGTTTGTGGGCAGTGATAATAGTGCGGAGGGGGAGATTTATGTCTTGACTCCGAGTGCCTAGGTGTAGGTTGGGATGTCTGTCTTGGGACTGTGAGGCGCGAGGCTAGGGGTGGTGTAAGGTGGTTGTAAAGTTGAAGGCTTAGTCGAATTTCCTAGGTCAGTTCTGACCAAGCTGAGGGACTGCCCTGCATTTACTAGAGAGTCGGGTAAGCAAGGGCAGATTCATTTGGAGTGCAACAGCCCAGTGACAGTATATAGACATATTAGAGGTACTGGAGATTCTGTATCTCTTGATGCACCTCTAGGGTTAGTCGTCTCAGTCTGCGACTCTCATTAAGATTGATCCGCCGCTCGACTGTTCGCTCGAGGTGAACTGACCGTTTACTCCGTACCCCTGAGCCCCTTGCTACCTCTTGGTTATCGCGGTTTTGCAACCATCTCCTTTGGCCCCATTCCCTTGCCTTCAATCAAGACTCCTGCTTTATACAGAGTATCGACCGTCTTCGATATCACTTCCAGGTCAACTCCCTGTGTCCTCTCGGGAAATCTCACAGTCTCCAACCACGCCCGTGCGTCTTCTTCCGAGTAATCCAGCTCCGTGCTGATATACTTAACCGCCTCGTCCTTATGCTCATTGAAATGCTTGATCCCCAAGTTAACCTTCTCAAGAAATTCCTCCACACGGGGATCCATCCTCGCGTCCTTCCCCTCCTCACCCCCAATCAGCCCCGTCGAGGCAACAATCATCCAGCTACTCCACGGGGTATAGATCTCCCCCACCTTCCTGATCTCCCCCGAGTCATAGTACCGTTTGCTCGTGAAATGCTCCCACATGAAGAAATCCGCCTCACCCTCATTAACCGCCTTGCGTAGATTCTCAAAGGTATTGAGCACCACAAAATCCTTAAACGGCGACCCCATCTCGTTACTCGTACCCACCCCCGAGGTAGGCGCAAGCCAACACCGCTCATCAGCCAGGACGTAGCCCATGACATAGCTACCCGATCCGATCCGGGACACGCCAATTTTCCCGCCCTTGAGGGCATCGACCGAGTCGATTTCGGAACGGTTTGCCCCGGTCGAGATGGCCCAGCACAGGGGGGTCTCGACGTAAGTGCCGATGAGGCGGTACCCGCCGTCGGAAGGTTCGTTGGGTTGGGGGGTTTTGCCTAGGCCGGCGACCCAGCCCTCGGTTAGGCCGACGCCAATGTCGATTTCGCCTGACCGGAGGGCTGTGATCATGTGCCCGGTTCCGGAGGGGAAGGGGATCAGGTCGGCGGATAGGGAGTGGTGTTGCTTGGCGAAGTGCAGGGGGGTTGAGAAGTGCTCCGGCACGAAGCCCACGCGGAGTGGTTTGGAAGCCATTGATGGTGTGTGCTGGTTTGCAACCTGAAGTCCCACTGGTTCCGAGAACTGAACTGCCAGGGGTGGGACGAAGTGCGAGAAGACACTTAACTGTCAACTGAGGTATGTGATGACTCTGATCAAACGATACAAACGTTGAAAGGAGAACTGAGAAAATGACGCAATGCGGGGCAGGCGGCAAGCTGCCGCTGGGGCTGGGCCGCTATGGAGTCTGGTCAGTTACTGTACTGCCATCTCCAATCTCCACTGACGGGACAAGTTGAAGACTCCTGCCCAGACTACTCGTATGTATCCATACGACTTAGCGTCAAAGAGACTTCACTGGTACCACCGACTCAGGGGCTTGGACGCGGTGGATGTTGATCTTGTAAATCTCGGTACCTAGGTACCTACCGGCAGTTCTTTGGTTTGTAGCACCCAAACTCTCTATCTCAGGTACCTTACCATCAGGAACGAACGTAAATCAGGTCAGGCTTGCCATGGCGTTCACCCCGTCGTTGCATATTGAGTACAGTACATGTACCAGTAGCCTGGGTGGATGTCAATAGGGGCTCGGAGAGTATAAACAGACGAACCAAAGTGACCAAACCCACATTGTTCGCTGAACTCAATCCCAAGTAGAGAGTCCGAGTCTGACTCTTTCTCCCTGGAATTCCTTGAGACTCTTCTCCATGAGTTCACAAAAGATTCAACATGTTCATGATCATCTTGAAACTCGCTCGGGGCAAGCCAACAGAACACCTACATTCCCTGCCGACACTCATGCATGATAACTGGGAGTCCCAAAGCATGTACAAAGGAGAATAATCTTCTCTAAGTTATCATTGTTCCCTACCCTTCCGAATCCATGGCAATATTGTCTGTATTAGGGGGCGGCGCATGGTCTCCAAGGACGAGGACTCCATCCCTATGACCAGGATCCCAGATATGCGTCTTGAGTCCCGTCTGATTTCCCTTTTACGTGGCCCAGCGTTCCTACATGTTTGTAACAAAGCCACTGCGAGTACGGAGATGGCGATGGTGACCCGGCTCCTCCCTAGGATATCCACAGGGTTATACATAGTGGACACCACCACATGCATGCATTCAGGCTACTGCTAGACGTCTTGTCGTGCTCCTTTGCCTGCCATAGTCCCACCTCGTCGCCTGCCATGCGATGTGCATCCAGAGATGTGCGAACTAGAGTCTCAATCTAGGTAGTCAATCTTCAATACGAAGTTTCAGCGGATCCTGAGATTGAATCTGCTGGTCAGTATTACGTACAGCATGCACTCTACCACGCTTCTATCTCCCTTTCTCACACCCTGCGTATTGGCTAAGGCAAGCCCACGAAAACCATGAGTGGCCAGGAGTTATCGCAACAGGTGTTTGCACTAAAAATAGGAAAAACACCTGCTACCGGGTGTTTGGTATTTGCCAAAATGGCAATCGGTGGTAGCACTCCGGCTTGGCTTCCCAGAGTTTTGCGGACAGCTTACCGTCTTTGAACCTCGGAACGCCCTTCTATACCGGAACGGACGTCGTGGCTAGAAGCCTGGTCGAATTCAGTCAAGACCGATTCAAACACGAAAAATCTGGCAATTGCAATGACAGTCTGAGATGTTTTCTGGTTCCTACGACGCTGCTGAACACTGGATGTGTTGAAGTATAAGACGGACCATTGCTGACCCGTCAATAGAGCTTAAGGCTGGAAGGAAACACCTCACTTGCTCCCGCTACTTCTGCTCAACTCTCAACATCAAATTACCAGGTGAGCCCTCACCTAAGTGTTGTCATTTACCACCCGAGTAGCTAACTTCAATCCAATCCAGCCCACTCATCAGCCATGCACCACCATTCCCTCACCACCCTCCTGCTCCTCGCAGTAGGAGCCCTCTCCCTGACCACCTCTCAACGCTCCCAACCCAGCCTGGAACACCCATGCGGTTTCAAGATCGCCCCATGCCCCTCAGGACAAATCTGCAAGAAAACCGATCCCACCTGCGACCGGGGCGAGAACTGCGCAGGCATCTGCGTCCCGGCCCCTATCTTCTGCGGCGGCATCGCCGGCATCCCCTGCCGCGAAAAGGGTCAGATCTGTGTCGACGACCCGACCGACGACTGTGACCCGGCGAATGGAGGAGCAGACTGTGCTGGGATGTGCGTTACGGAGCCCGAGGGCGGGTTCAAGTTCTGCGGCGGCATCGCGGGATTCCCCTGCCGTGAAAAGGGCAAGGTCTGCGTCGATGATCCCAGGGATGACTGTGACCCCGCCAAGGGAGGGGCGGATTGCGGTGGGATTTGCGTCTGAGGTCCTCCCAGGCTGGTTGAGAACAGTGTCACCTATGATCTGGTAGGAATCTATGTGGTTCAACTGTCTTGAAAGTGGCTCAAGGCCCGGTTCACCGTTCAAGGTTCATGTTCCAGGTTTCCAGCCAAACACATCATGATGTACGTACAGGACATTGCATGTCCGTACTAGTATAGTAGCAACTCCTTCCACTAGGTACTCAGGTACTACCGTAGGTTTGCGCTTAATCCGGACAACACTACTTCGTACCTATCTGTGTATATCGAAGAATTAGCCGCTTATCTTAACCTGGAACATACCATGCCCGAGCCTTCTGCCCAGATCGCAAGACCAGCACCCTGCTGAGTGGGAAGGGGGAACATCGAGCACATCTGTATATATTGGGGGCCACTGCGGGCACTCAGCTGGGCTTGCCTCCCCCAGGCAATCCCATCCGAGCCAACAGCACCCACACTGATCAACCCCACAGGAAAACTTTCCCCCTCAGATACCCGCTCCACCGCGCCTTGAAACCAAGCTCGCAATCCAACATCATGGCTTCCTGGCAAAGAATGACCGTAGACGACATCCCCGAGCTCCTGCGGATCGGGGACGCAGTACACCCCAGCCTACCTGACAGCGACTACGTCTTCACAGAACGCATACAACTCTTCCCGGAGGGCTGTCTCATACTCTCTGACAGGGACAACAACAACAACAACAAGATATACGGCTACGCCATCTCCCATCCCATCCGCCACGGCCAGCCCCCCGCTCTCGACAGCCTGCTGCACAAGATCCCCGAAGACGCGGATCAGTACTACATCCACGACGTCGCAATCTTGCCCGAGCTCCGAGGGCGCGGGCACGCAACTGGAGGGATTCGCATGCTTCTTGAGGAGGTTGCCAGCCGCTTCCCGACTACTTGTCTTGTGTCGGTCTATGGCACGGGGCCGTTCTGGCGGCGGTTTGGTTTCGAGGCTGTTGAAGCGGTTGATGAGGCTCTGAAAGAGAAGCTCCGCAATTACGGCGGTGGCGCTGTCTATATGTCCCGCAAAAATTCTGCTGCTTCATAGGTGTAAAAACTGAGCCAGTGATGAGAGCGGATTAGTGGTGTATGGCGTGACAGACGGCCTGACGGTTTAGGATAATCATGGGGAGAAAGAAGAGAAAGTCAAGGGTTTGGGGGCTGTCCACAATTCCCGAAGAAGGACAGCAGTCGGCAATAGCAACGAGTACTAGCCACCCAAGGCTCATAAGGCAGAGCTGAGTTTCAGGTGGTGTGTTGGTTCTTGCATCCCGAGCTCCAGAGCCTGAGTGTGGTCGCAGACGGCAAGGCCTGGATGAGAATACTATGAAGATCCTTCGGGAAACCCACTGGTAGATGTTCAATCTCAACCGGGGGATGAAAGCCAGCTGCTACTGTTCCACGACATAAGGTAGGCACGCGTGACGCACTACATGTAGCAGTCGGTCGGATATATTTCCTTCACGGACCTCGGGGAGTTCAGCACTTTCCTCTTATTAAAGATGACTATCTACTATAGTACGTTAGACTCGGTTCCGAACACCAGCGTGGTCTTTGACCCCGGCAGGCTCCAAGCCAAACTCCCAAAGCCGGACAGACCTACACGGCGCTGGTGGCACAACAGCAACAACGGTTTTGTACTGTACAACTGCATGTGCTTTATGTCAACGACATACGTGCAACTGATCACTAGGTACCTATCTGCACTTGGGGCATCAAGTCGTTGTCATAGACTCGGATATACGAAGCTATTAGCCCCTGACTATCGCACCTAGATCATTGATTGGATCTCGTCGTATTAACAATACCCGTACGTCACATAGTATAGTACCCCCCCTAGCACTCGATTGTGCTTTGTCAAGTGAATGACACCGCTATCAGCCCTATTCACCTGAATGCTTCGTATATACATGATCTGCCATGCCCCGATTCCTATGTGCTCGGCTCTATGAATCCAAAACTCCCTCCAAAGTCTGTGCTCTCAACGCGCCCGCTTCTTAATGGAGATGGTAGCTTGCATCGGGGGGATTCTATTCAACCCAAACCACATATTGCGCGGGCGGCTCGGCAGGAGCTTAATGTCATAGTTGAGCACAATGTGAGCCAGGATCAACTTCAACTCATTAGCAGCAAAAAACCGTCCAGGACAGGCGTTGCGCCCATGGCCAAAGGCGAGATACTCATTGCTCGTGGTAGCAAACGCTTTTGCCGCCCTCTTAACATATTCCACGCTCTCATCACTGCGCTGCTCGGCAAACCGGAACGGCTTGAACTCCTGCGCATCCGGATAAACCGTGCTGTCCTGGAGCACCACGTAGCTCGGCACAACCACAGTCGCCCCATGCGGAATCCTGACCCCGGAGGGGGTAACAACCCCGTCCTTGGCGACCACCGCACGGTTCATGCCGACGGTGACGAACGAGTTCTTTCTTGCCGACTCGCGCATGACGCTGTCGAGCTTCTCCATCTTGGCAATGGCCCGCTTGTTCCACTGCCCGCCCTGCTCGGCCAGCACGCCCTCAATCTCGGCCCGCAGCTCGTCAATGTACTCTTGCTTTGACGATGCCAGGTCCAGGACCGCGTTGGTGATGGAAAAGGACGACGTGTGGATGGCGGCAAAGTTGAGCAGCAGGATCCGCCCGGCGAGGGTCTTGGGCTGCCACATGTACGGATCGCCGCTCTCCTTGGCCTGTTTGAGCGTCCATTGGAGGAAGTCGTTGCGCTCGTGGTCAGGGGAGGATTTCTTCTCCGGGTCGTTTTGGCGCGCGTCGTACGCGGCTAGACGTTGTTGGATTTCGGGGATGATGATGCTTTCAAAGCGGCGTGTGCGGAAGCGGATTGGGAGTGTGATCACGGGCGCGACGAACGGGCGCAGGGGCTTCCAGATCATTTTCACGAGCTGTGAGTACAGCGGGACGTCTTGGGCGTACGCCATGCCCACCTCGAGGAGGTCCGGGTCGCGGCATTTCGGCTTGCCCACGAACACGCGGTTCGTCACACAGCCTACGATCTTGCGCAGCGTGTCGTAGACGCAGACTTCTTGGTAGTCGGAGGGACTGCCCCAGTGCCGCTCGAATCCCCAGGCTGTTTCCTCAGCCACGTCCGGGACGAGGTTGCCAATCTGGTTTGTCAGGGTGGTTGTGATGATCTTGTGGTGGACCGGGTTGTGCACGAGATAGGGATCGGTGCACGTGTAGTCGATCTGCAGTGCTTCTATGGCCTGCGTGTGCATGTCGAGCACTGAGTCCGGCTGCTCGTTGACGAACTGGATCTCAGACCGCGGCAGGAGCACCACGTTTGACCACCCAAAAAGGGGTAAAATGACAGCCTGGTCTCTGTATTTTGTGTCGGCCTCCATCATGGCCGCCTTGAAGTTCATTGTGTTCCTCCATTTTGCCTGCAGCGTCGGGAACCAGTCGCCTTCTTTTGCGCCGACGATAGGGAGTTTGGGGAGTTTGGGGCCTGCAAAGAAAATCTGGCGGATAATAACCGCGGCCAGCGCCACAATCGGCACTAGCACGGCCGGGCGCAGCGGGAGTTCAATCATGGCTTGGGCCTTTGGGGGCCTTGAGGGCCGTTGTGATACCAGTCGACTTCAGCTATGCGAATCTTTGTATTTGTTGACTTCGTCGCTGGATGAACTCACCACTAACTCGAGTCGCAGGAGGTAGTTGTAGATGCCAGCCCTACAGCCAGAATCCAACACGTTCATGCTCGGGTGCACTGGTACCTTATATTCGTCCAGGAAAGCCAACCGAGATTCCGAATCGGTACTAATACACGAACCAGGGTGCAGGCCAGGGTGCGTGGACCCAGGACCTTTGCCAAATGGAGTCACTTTTCGAGGGATTTTCTATGGCATCCTGACTGGAGGGAACTCCAATCGAGATCCTGCGCGCACACTACTAGTACCTGGTAAGCACTAAGGTAGAGAACATCTGGCCCGAGCAAAAAGACTGGACTGAATCGTCGCCATCCAGGGCCTACACCTTAGCCATTGGGAAAGTACTGCAATCACTGCACTGACATGACATGACGGGAGTTTGCCCCTCAAGAGCGTAAGGTACCTAGGTACTTGTGTATCCGTCGTATTAATTTGATGGTTAACAAGCTTACCAAGTACCGGTACACACCTAACTCGAAGATACCCCATCCATCTACACGTGGCTTGCACCCGAGTGCAACCAAAGCTCCAGTTGGCAGAGATCTACCGTTGGTTATAGGTAGAAAGTTCCTAGTCCGAAATTTCTTCAGAGATAAGTTACGTTGGCAAGGGTTGGGTCGCTGGCGCATACTGCTGTGCGGAGTACTACCTCATAGGGCATTGCCAAGTTATGTCATGGTAAGCAGTAAGCAGCGGCTCCTACGGATCCAGTGCCCACTGAACTTCTTGCCTGACAAAGACATGAAAAATGATTACCTACCCGGTGGCGATAGGCGATATGGCGAAGAAGCAGTGTGCTCGGGGTCACGAGTCAGTTCAAATCATGTTCGAAGAAGGGCTGCTTAACACATTGAACATACAGGTACCTTACATTCTGGCTGACAACAGGCGATCGAGTTGAGGACCTGCTTAAAAGCAATGTGGACTTTGCATTCATGGTGTCCTCTTCGATTGAGGTGATATCATGGATGGATGAGATGTTCTTCGTGCATGGCCAACCCGTTAGTGCTCTTAGTGCTCACTCGCTCTCGCTTTTAGTTTGCCCAATAGGCGAGCCCATCTTCCACAAGATCTGCTGTCTTGAAAGGGTCCTGGCCAATCGCTAGAGTTGACATGCTATCTTAATGCAACGCTGCCCGCATTCATCTGCTCCGGCTACAATTGTATCCGTTACCGTTGGCCATCCTTACAGTTGCCACAGGAACTTTTGCCGAAGCGGCTGACGAGATACGGAGTAAAAAATGCGGCAACGGTGGGGGATTTTGGGGAACTTTGCACTTTCCAGCTCTGCTTATGTCAGCCCTAACATGCCTGGGTTAGGTGAGGTACTTTTTAGCATATTCTCCTTCTTGTGATGTACACATGTCTGTACACCTGCAATCCTCAACCAAGCTATAGAGTGTTCGCAAACATGAAGAGATTTGTATGTTCTACATATTGGTCATCAACATGGATAGCTCCCACCAGACCTTTGAGAACTAACAACGACCACTTAGGACCTTGAATTAGGTAGTAGTACTCACTCATCTAGTACCTACCTCCTACCCGACATACCAAGTCTTAGCAGCTCCCGAAGACGAGTACGGGAGTTTCTGCTGCAAAGAGCAGGTACAGTACCGGCATAGCCTTCGGCATCGACCTGGTGGGATCGCATCTACAGGCCTAAGTAGAGTTACTGGACACTGAGGCGTGGCTCCTTCGATGAGTGTCTTCTTCCAGTTCCCGAATGGGTCCATGACAGAAATTGTGCCAGACCTCACTTGACCTGACCTCGGCAAACCATTCAATTCAATGCCAAAGCCTTGTACTTCCAGGCGTGTTCTGCTGATGGTAACATCCAACTCATTCATAATGAGCAGCAATGCTGAGATATGTAGGCACTGAACTCCGCCTCATGTATATACTATATACTATATAGTATATAGTACTACCTGCTAGCTAGAGGTATGTTAGTTGAGCCCCTTGGGTGCCATTCTCATCATTGGGTATACACTAGGTTTCTGGTTCGAACACCTTCCAGGGCGGTTAGGGTAGATTCTGGTTGGCGAGAGCCACCTGGCTCATATGGGAGAGCCGCTAGCTGTCTCTGACGATGCGTTTGAGGAACCACAATACATGCATTCGCAACTTGATTCGGACGTGAAGGCCCGGATAATCACATCTGTAACTCTGCTCTCCTAACACTAGACGATGATGGAAATAGTAGTACTAATAGACAAGGTAAATGCATCCGCGAAACAACCCCCACGAGGACAGAATGCCTTTACCTCGAGGAGAAATAGGACGGAAAACGCCAGAGCGGAGTTACTCTGATCGGCACATCTCGACGGGTGTAACATGATAGCGAATTCAAGATTGCCCAGTGAGCGCCTATCCATGTCCTGGTCACCTCCCCTCGAGTCAGAACCTTGCCCGTTCAGCCCTGAGAAATCCTTACAGTTCCATACCTACCTAACTGGAAGAGGCGGTGTCTCTATCATTACTGGCAACGTAACAATTCGCCTTCACACATCATGTAAGTCTGCCCGGTGCAAGCGAGGTCAACAGCAGCAATGTACTAATAACAATCGTTACTGGAACATATGTAATAAACCCAAGTTACATACGCCTTCAGATCCCATGATGTTGGCATAGTGTACGGCTATTGCTATTCCCTTCGCCCGTACTACTATACTAGACTTATGTGTCAAGATGAATCCTAATGTTGCTACACACGACAGTAATGAAAGGGACACCCCTCTCCCTGGTACGCTACTATGTACTAAATCACTTATTCCAACACAGGACCGCCTGTCCGGTCGAGATACCAAGAGTCTCTCAACACCGCGACGGCTACCTTATATATGAAGCTTGGCGAGGTAGTACCTAGATAGATACAAGTTCACAAACCCCCCTCTCGGCTCACTTCAGTTCAACTCCCTGTTCAGTTTGTACTCCTTGCTGCAACTGAATAGCTCAGGTTACATCTTGTACTCGGGTCACGCAGGTATGCATTGTCGAGATTCGGTGACAGAGACTATCGTTGTCACTTGGAGTATAGTACTACCTAGGTACCCAAGGCCAAATACAACCAACTTCGTTCCCCAATAAACGACTGTATTCTTCAACACGTATCAGGTATAAGCAAGGTACCGAGCCACCTACAGTACGCTACATGTATACATATCGACGGAGTTCGATGAATTGAAAATATTCCGGGAAACAGTGCAGTGAGGGAATGAGCAGATGATTCAGTTTGATAACAAAACGGAGCACTCGATCATGATTTAAGTTTCTCAGCTCTGGGAATTCTAGGATCTCTTATAATACTCTCCACTCGCTAGGTGCAGGCGTAGAGCGGTGCTTAGTATTCTATTGATGTCCAACCTGGGTACCTAGGTAATATTGCTAAGCTAAGCGGTATATGTTCAGGATGTAGACTAAGTCGTGGTGCCGAAGACTCAGATGTTGAGCCCGCGGCCCAATTCAATACCGTGTTTCATAGCCACTATGGTGTAACTCATGTCAGTTACACAGAGATGATGACCTAGGCACCCCAACTTACCGCCCCTAAGGAACTTATCAACTCTCCAAGGTTCGTCCTGCGCAGTACCTGGAGGGTAGGGTATTTGCAGCACCTACAGAGAATCACTTCAAGATACCTACCAGATTACATGAGATGCTTGCCCAAGTCAGCAAGGGAAAGTGGGCTTAGTCTGACCGGTGTCTGGACCAAAGGTTTCAGGTTACAACATGTGTGTCTTCAATATAAGAACCGACCAAATCCCAGAGCAATTCAGGTTGTACAACTGCGCGTTTACCGCTATAAGCGATGAAGATCTCTAGCATGAGGTATATACTCATTTAACATAAGCAACAAGTACTTCAAAGTAAGGTAAACTTGACTAGATCGAGTATACCCAGCTGAAAGTATGAGACTTGGGGGGAATGGTATTATATTCAGACACTTGTATCTTAACCACCTGGCAGGCAGAGCGCGGTGTTTGCATAAGGTATGATCTGACACTCTGATTGTTGACATCCTCGTTTTCGATGAAGGCGAAGGGGACTTTGATGACAGCATACTGGAACTTGAACATGTGGAGCCCGACTTGGTAAGCTACTACCCTATAGACCATGGTGCGGACAGCATGTTGATAGTTCTAGTGTTCTGCTGCATCAAACGTACATGTTAATACATACACTGATGTTAGAGAACTCCCTCCTCTTTAGTAGGTACCTTAGATACTAGAGAGCAGGATAGTCACTTGACATCAATGACATGAAAAAGATGACGAGGGAACCTTGATATGTTGACTGTTGCAAGCGACGACTCGGAACACTCAAAAGCTTGAGACCAATTTGGAATCATTTTGACACTTCAGGGTAAGGTAAGTACCTGGCTCGAGGTAGGTGCTTCCTCTCGAGTCTCGATCATGACATGAGTGTACCGTACCTCTCTCGCCGGTGATGGCTGCAGAGTGGGAATGAGAGTGGTGATGATGATGCCTGGCAGTCACACGCGTAGAACAGATCAGAGAGGTTTGATCATTCAGTCAGGTATCTACGCTAAAGGCTTGTAGAACTGCCTACCTAGCTTCAACAAGAGGATCTTGAAGAGACTGAAGGTTGACCGGTGTCTGTCCGGGCTGCCGACCTACTATTCTCAAGTAACTCATCTTCATCACAGTCAAAGCTGCCCTGCTATCTGTTACATTTCTCCCCTACCTTGCAAGCAACCTAAATGTGAGTACTTCGATCTGCAAACATGAATGATATTCGTTGTTACATGATGGGCTTGAAAGATCAGTAAGGTAGTGTATCTTGCCAGCAATCCGCTACATGCACGTCCATACATTTAGCATTGCTTATCTAACTTTATATAAACTAAGCAATACTAACAATGCAAAGTGGAGGTTTACTGCAGGGCATTTAGCCTGGATTCAGCCTCGATGCCATCCTACTATGGTGTTGGCTGCATGTGGTGGTGTTGGGTTGCTGCTAGGAACTTACGCGTACTAGTAGTACATACTCGGGCATGTAAGCGGCGGCTAACGGGAGTGGCCTTGGGGAATTCCCCGTGTCGGCTCGTCTTCGCCTCGATCCGGTCTTGTTGGGTGTAGTTTGAGACTCGGCTAGGTACTTGGTAGGTAAAGCATCGTTAGAATCAAGGGAAATTATGAGTGATTTGGGACATTTGTTGTTGGGAGATGATATCAAATTTCAACATGCATAACGTAGCATAGCATCATGTCGTTGGACGGTGTATGGAGGGAGCTGGACCGATAGCATCTGTAGGTATCATTGGAGAATGCGACTCTCTAGGTAGGCTGCTCTTCCCGCGGCACCGGTCGTCTACATCCGCCTAAATACGCCTACAACATAACCAAGGTACCCTGAGGATCCGGTTCCCGGGTTTTGGCAATTTACGCCGACCCGTCGCTGGGAAAGGCGAGCCGCTCTCGAGGGGGCTGGATCCAGGGGAGAATTTGTTGGGTCATTCAACGGCATGTGCAGTACGCTGGGCATACATGATGGGCTGGATTGAGGGCAGAAAACAAAACACCACTTAGCTTTGCGATCGAAATCTACTTCAAGATAACTACCGGCAGTTAGCTAGTGTAAATCCCAAATGCAGTCAGCACATTGTCAGACCTATAAGCTGGAAAGCACCCATATTCCAAGTGGCGAGCATTCCATTCGTTGGTCGGGGTCTTGGAACCCTCAGTGAAAGTCGCCGCGCGTACTCACTCCTGGACCGCAGGGTGGATGCCTGACGGGCGGTTGGTTCAGCGGACTGCAGTGCTGCGACATCGCGTCCAGTGTCCTGGGACTAAAGTCGGAGGACCTGCCCTTCCTGGCGCTGGGCATGCATCGCTATAAACACCAAGCGTCTTGGCCCTCGCATTGGCAGTCGGGGGATGCTTCTCGGACGGGGAAGGCCCAGGCCTCGGCATCCAACACGCAAGCTGCTGGTTGGCTGGAAAAAGATTGGTCGTTGCTGAGGCGAGGTAGGTACAACTGGATGAGCGGAGCTGTCGCGGGCAAGTCAGATTGACCGTGACCCAACAAGTGAGACGGAAATATTATCGTACAGAGAGTGAGCAATGAGCATCCTGGGAAAGTCAGAGATGGATGTCGTGGCCCAACTGACGCCAAGACTCCTGCCGCCCCAACTTCCTGCGGCTCCGTGGCGGGCAACCACAGAGTTAGCTGCACTATACCTTATCTTGGGGTAGTATGATCCCTCCAAGAGGATTTTGGTCCGAGGTTGCGCATTTGGCGAAATTGGCGTGATATGGGTCCTTATTGGATCGAATTGATGCCTGCAAGATAGCATAAGCTGGACTGTCTCTGCGAATTCTAGTAATTACAGTGGAAGAATACCTCTCCTAAACTCCCGTCTGTATCAGAAAGAAAAAACTGAAGTTCACGAGAAGAGAACGGGGAAGATTTGGCATGAATGGAGCGGGGTTTCAGCGATGCTGCGACTGGGTCTTTAGCAGGGTCATGCCCCGCAACTAGCGGCTCAGCCTTGGGGAAATCGCGGGGTTAGGCTGCTAAAGAGATATGGAAGGAGTGACGGACCCGTCGAGATCTTGCAACCTGGAAAAAAATCTGGGGAAATTGTCAAAATTTTAAGATTATTCCTAGACCCCTACCTCGCCCTAGAGTTTGCAACAGCATGGATGAGACCTGAAGCTCTCTGAAACAAAGTTGGAAGGTGATTGTAATGCGCCGTAAATCTTTGCAGAGATCATCAAATACTAACGTTTTCTGTAGATCTCATGACACTGTCGCTGTCCTTGACTTTAAAGCCTACAAGTTTTCAACAAATTTCGAGGCCCTTAGCCTTGCTCCTGGCCTGGCACGTGGCGAACTGCAAAGGTGGTGTCCTCGACGACGCCATATTCCCCGCGTCACTGTGTGGCAGGCACATAGCTCAATCGTGACTGCCGGAGGATCGGATCCAACGGTTGAACGGCCGTCCGGCAGAGGCGTCTCCTCCCTGAGACGCACCAAACGCACCAGAAAAAGCCACGATTCGTGCGCCCCTGGCTCAGAATGACCGCCAAGTAATTCCATGTGCCCGAGAAGCTCGCCCTAGTGAACAAGTTTGGTGGCGGCCACGTGCGGGGAAGGCCCGTTGGGAGGCTTGCTTCTTGCCTTGGGAGCCCTGGGCGTGCTGGGCGTGCTGGGCATGCTGGGCTGTCATGGATGAGATACGGGCTACGGCAAGCCCAGAGAGATCTCGCGGAGTGCCCAATGAAGGGTGCGGTCAAGGTATTACAGATCTCGGCGGTTGGCTGCATCCAGGTCTTCGCTAACTGGCTGCTCCCGGTCTAGACTCAGCAACTAGTCCGCTTGCCAAGCAGTCTTGGCCTGCATTTTGTTGATTAGACAACCATGGAACATGCGAAACCACCTTCCTTGCCCATCGGCCCGTGGTTTCCTGTCCTGTGTACCCTCCCCTTGCCAACCTCGACCGGCAGGAACTTCCAAGACGAAGACACCTTGGCAGCTTATGGCAGACCGCCGGAAAGAGAATGGCAAATTGAATCCCCTTCCCTCTTCCGGGTCTCCGGAGTCTCTTCACTTCTCCAATGGCTGAGGCCCATGCCGTTCGTCCTCTGGCTTGGGACGACGGCCAGAGAGACGGGAAAGTTACCCTTCACACATGGAGATCCCGACACCCAAGCCCCGGGGTGGATCCACGGATTCCTGTGTTAAGGCACGTAAAGGTTTTGTACATACAGTGCCTCCCTGCTGGCAAGATTGGATCTGCATGGGTCTTGCCCGTAGGTGCAACCGTCCCCTGTCCTAAGACATCCATCGCCCACATTCTGCATGTCTCGTTGCTCGGTGGTTAGCTGACCGCAGGCACAACGTATAAAAAGCCCAGAACGCGTGCACCCCTCTATCAGTTCCAGCTCCGTCCAACCCTCTTTCCCTTCAATCTCGACTAGACGCTATATACCCAGCATTGCTCCGGGAGTTTACGATTACAGGGCTTGCTTTACTGCTGGAAGCACAGTGCTTCGTTCCTAAACGAGGCCTTGCCTTGGAAGGCACCCGGTGTTCACGTACGCGGCTGGCTTTACCCATTGTACCTTGTCTCGCACCATCAGATAACTCATCATGGGTTCCTCAACCGAGGCATCGGCCCCGGAGATAACCGAGTCCGACAGCGTCAACAATGACAAGACCGGGACCATTTCCAAGAAGACGCCCGACGATGTCGATGTAGAGAGCGTGGGCTGGGACGCGGCCTCAACCAGGAAGCTGATCCGCAAGATCGACTTCACACTGATCCCCTTCCTGGCTTTGCTCTACCTGCTATCCTTCTTGGACCGCACAAACATTGGCAATGCTCGGCTGGACACGCTTGAGCAAGACCTCCATTTCCCCAAGGGCAGCTTGTACTACAATGACGCTCTGGCTATCTTCTTCCCGTTCTATGTCGCCGCCGAGATTCCCTCCAACATGGCCATGAAGCGCTTCCGTCCGTCCATCTGGATCCCTAGCATCATGGTCGCATGGGCGCTCTGCACCACACTGATGGGCATTGTTCGCGACTATCCGGGCTTGATGGTTGCTAGGTCGTTCTTGGGACTTGCCGAGGGCGGACTGTTCCCCGGCATCACCTACTAGTAAGTTCATGTTGACTCTGCTATCATGTGGTCGCGCCTTCGAAACGTGTCGCTAACACCAAGGGGTAGCATCACCATGTGGTACCGCCGGCACGAATGTGGTCTTCGCATGGCCATCTTCTTCTCGGCCGCCACCGCGGCCGGCGCGTTCGGCGGTCTCCTTGCTCGTGGCATCATGGAGATGAGAGGTGTCGGCGGTCTCTCAGGCTGGCAATGGATTTTCATCCTGGAAGGACTCCTGACCTTTGTAGTTGGCAAGTTACCTGCTTGCGGCCGTGTCAAGGGAAATCCAAGCACTAACTAATCATCCAGCCGTCATTGCGTACTTCATGATGCAAGATTATCCGGGAACGGCCAAGTTCCTGACCCCCGAGGAGCGCGAGGAAGTCCAGGCTCGCCTGAAGCGCGACCGGTCCTCTCTCGCAGACGAGTTTGACATCAAATACTTCTGGGCCGCAATCAAGGACTGGAAGATTTGGGTGCACATGTTCATCACGATTGGCGTTTACACGGGCCTGTACTCGTATTCCCTCTTCTTGCCGACCATCGTCAACGAACTCGGCACTGCCACCTCGCGCGAAATGGCCCAGCTGATGACGGTGCCTCCCTACGTTGTTGCTTGCATCTTCTGCGTCGGCGCTGGTTGGTACGCAGACAAGCTTGGCCAGCGCGGAATCTTCATGATGGGATTCATGGTCATGGCGTAGGTTCCCCCTCGAGTCACAGCCGAGACAGAATCAGACTGGAGAAAGAACACTTGACTAACAATGATATCGGTATAGCATTGTCGGCCTGATCATGCTCATGGCTGCTCCCAGCGCAGGCGTCCGATACCTAGGCTGCTTCCTCCTTGCGTCGGGCATCTACCCCAACGTGCCTCAGGGCGTCGCATGGAACGGCAACAACATTGGCGGGTCGCTGAAGCGCGGCGTGGGCATTGCCATGCACGTTGGCTTCGGCAATCTGGGCGGCACCATCTCAGCATACCTGTTCCTCTCCAAGGACGGGCCGAGGTACATTCCCGGGTTTGCCACCCTGCTGGCCTGCCAATCGATGGCCCTGATACTCTCCGCCATCATGTACGTCTATCTGCGCCGCGAGAATGCCCGCCGTGATCGCGAATACAAGCCGCCGAGTGAGTATACTGAGGAGGAGAGGGTGGCGGAGCGGGACAAGGGAGATTACGCTTCGTTCTTCCGTTACACGCTCTAAAATGCCAGGGGCCGGGTTGTTTACTGCTTATTGCCTAGTTAGCATGCGAATACGCAACGAGGTACTGGAGTGCCATCAATGGTATTATGATGATGATGTCGGGAGAACCTTGGAATTCTACTCTGGCGTTCTTTGTTCATAGGCCGGGGGCGGTCCTTGCGATGTCCAGTACGAGTTGATTTTGGCACAACAAACAGCTAGACCGCGATACAATAGAACTCGACTTGAACAAGACATGAACATGAAGCACCTGACTTATAAATGAGTCATGTTGGTTGATACAACCAGAGCTTGGTGCTCGAAAACGAGGTGTATTCTTGTTGTGTACCGCGGTACCCTACCTGTCTAGGGCTGGTTTCTGCAGCACCAGCGCCCTATATATACCTTCCAGCAGGGGCAAACCTGACTCCTGAGTCCAGGCATTCAGGTTTATTCTGATGTTCACCTTGTCGTTGCATATTGGGTGCTTAGCAAGCCGCCATGTATGTACATGTCCACAGCGGCAGGGGGAGGATAAGGTATTGACCTCAAGTCTTAAGTAGCTCATAACATACTGAGTCCTTATGATGAGGCTGTGCAACTCTTTAATTCGTCGAGGTCCAGTCACTTCAGGGATGAGCATTCACGATCCTAGGACGTTCAACAATCTGTATACCTTAAGTAGGTACCTTCATGTTGCCAACGACAGGGTTTGTCCTGTGCCTGAGTGCTGCAATTCCGAATGCATCATCCACGGCAGCGTAGGGCAATTGGTCTAGGGGTATGATTTTCGCTTCGCATCCTCAAAAATGCGCCTTGTGAAAGGTCACCGGTTCGAATCCGGTATTGTCCACGGCAGTTCCTTTTGCCACTTTTTGGTCCACCATCTAGGTTGGGAATGGTTGAGCTCGCAAGCCGAGGTTCAAGCTATCCGGGGTGGGGCCTGTTGTCTGAACCGGCAATTCATCACTCAACTACCGATTCAGGAGTTTATCCTCTTACATGAATGTCACTATAGCGCCGCGCAGTGTTGAGAACTTGAGTTGCTACATACCTTATCCATGGGCATCAGACTCGGAGTGAAGGCAGAAACTCTATCTTCTTGCTCTCAGCTTCTTTCACAGTCACTAGATCAGTCATCCCAGCTCGAAAGCGACGAATACAATGACAGAAACACACCTTGTTCCCTTTTTCGAGGCCACCAGAGTTCAAAAGCTCGGCTCACATGCCTACTCCGTGAACCTAGCTGATACATTCTGCATTGGGACCGGTAAGCCAGCCTAAACTTTTACCCCTTGACCCCGGTGCTACGAACTGCTTTTTCTCTAACATCTCCCTTTCCCTGACCCTGCAGTTCCCAATGGAGGTTATGTAGCCTCTTGCCTACTCGAGGCAGTACGCATCCATTCGGCACCAAGTGGACAGAAGGACGTGATGAACGCCCACTTTCAGTTCCTCAGCCGTACCGAGGCCGGCCCGGCGGTGATTTTCATCGAAGATATCAAGCGAGGTCGTCAGCTCTCAACGCTTCACGCCACCCTCTACCAGGGCGGTCTTCTGGACAAGGCGCCCTGGTTCACGCCGGGATCGACACGCAAACCGATTTCCGCGTACCTGACCATGACAGATCTGAGCAAAGAACAAGGCGTCTCGTTGCCGGTACCTTTCAACCTAGATCACCCGCTACCCCCTCCGCCAAAGCCCAACTTTACAGCCCTCAAAGAAAACCTCGATCGTAACTGGGAACGCTTCACTGTCCCCCGCGCCAGCCCCCTCGGCTCCATGCGCTGCCTGCAGAACTGCATCTACTATGCGCCAAGGGGTGGCCAGGCCGCAAAGCACAAGCACGTCATTGACAAGTGGGTGCGTCTCGCATCAGGGGAGAAGTTCACGGCGTCCTCGTTGGGCTACGTCGCCGACTGCTGGCCGTACGTGGTCGAGGCTTATAGGCCTCCTCCTCCTTCCAACAATCAAGAATCGGTTTCTGAGCAAAGTCGCCACGAACATGACCCGTTTCCGCACGACGCCAAGTTCTGGTACCCAACCGTCGTGCTCAACCTTGAGGTGAAGAAGGCGCTACCGGAGGAAGGTGTTGAGTGGCTGCAGCTGAGGATCCATTCGAAACAGGTCAAAAAGGGGCGGTTGGATCTTGAGGTGATAGTGCTGGATGAAGATGGGGAGTTGGTTGCGCTGAGCAATCATGTCAATTTGATTGTGGGGAGTGAGAGGAATACTGCTGGTAGAAGCAGCCATAGTCACGCAGCGGCGAAGGAATGGAGTCGGATTTGAGGATTAACTTGGACTCTGGCAATAGCAGAGTTGCAGCAGCTCTTATTATTAAGTTCCTTGCTGTCACAGTATGAGAGGTTGAGATTTCTAGAGTTATGCCGAATTAGCAAGTTTGCGTAGCCAGTTACTCAGCTTCGTGTAAGGTAGGAATACAAGTAATAGCCCTCTATGAGTAAGGTAGGTATGAATAGACAGGAGGGTCAGGTCAAGTTCTGTTATTTCACGTCCCCAAATATTACATAGCTACAGCTCGTAAGCACTGCCGTTCTGCAAATAGATCCAAGTAGTGATGTGAGGAAGTTTTAGATTTCCATCACAACATGACTGAGGCAAGCAGCACAAGTAATATCGACTTCTGAACCTAGACGGACTCACTCTGCGCTGGTCGAGTTCGCATTGCTAAGCGCTCACATCCCTCGCAGTATTCCATACTAAGTATTAGAGGTACGCCAGCTGTTTCCAATCTGCGCCCAACACCACAGTTCAGGCCCGTCGAGTCTCCAGATTTGGGAAGACATCGCCTTAGGATGCATTTGGACGTTGATGTTCTTGTGGCACGCTCACTTGCGCTGCTTTGATGCCAGACTGGATTTGTACGGAGCTAGTCACCTAAGCGGCCAACTTCTACATTGCAATAAGACCCAGTGAGACTTGTAACATTCGTCATCAGGCGTGCAACTTGTTCCAGTAATGCTGCTTCATCCCTCCTCCCAGCCATGAAGCGACTATTAGTATAACATATCGTCATGGGCTGTTCGAAACGATGGCTCTATCAGCTGACTGCCACGACTCGGATGATTCACCATCAGAGCGGAGCCGAGACCTAACCAAATAAAGATGCGCCGCGCTTTGCGGTGGTCCGGGGCGAGTTGTCCGGCAAGCTGGGGCCGGTGCCAGGTATGCCGGGGGCTCCACCGCGGCCATGTGAGGCGCCAGTAGAATTGTCGGTGAGAGTCCAGCCACGTCACACAGCACACTGGCAGAAAGCTGACAAGACGGTCCGCCCTGCCAGCTGGGCATGGCTTGGGCACACCTCGGGCGAGTCTGTTGGGTGCCGAAACTAAGTGCCAATGACAGGGCTGCCAGCCGATTGGTTTTCAACAATATTTTGTAGGCATCACCACATCGTGTCTATGCTACATGTAATTTGGGGCCGACATGGAGTATCCACCGCCATTGAGCTCACTGGCAGCCGGGAGGCCCGGACTGAATCCTACCGTCTTGGGCTGGAACGGGACTGGACGGTAGCTCAGTTACCTACTCGTGATGCGCGCGCTTAAATAGATGGGCTGGCTTGCACCGAGTCGAGGAGGATTCACTTTCACTTCTCAAGCTCAACACAGACATCTCTGAGACTCAAACATTACTCGCCATCTGAGCTCCCAGCCGAGTAGCAAACAAACTCCAGAACTTACAACCAATTCCCCTCCCAGAACCAACCCAAAATGGCCGAGATCATTGACGCAGCGGAGCTTGTAAGTACCAGTAAAACCCTTCACCCCCTCAAGCCTCAAGCCAGTGTCAACCGTAAGATAACCACAACTAACCCCCCCTGTCCCACCACCCCAACAGCGCCGCCGCTGGACGGACAAGACCTCCGCCGTCTTCAGCCCCCGCGACCGCGTCTCGACGCACGAATTCAAGCCCTCCACCTTCGAGCGCGACTTCGATTTCCAAGGATGCGAGAGCATCGTCTTTCTCAACGGGCAGCGCACCGGCAGTCCCACCGACGTCATCATGCTCGCCCAGGGGACGGGCCACATCTCACTGCCGCCCAATGTGCGCGTGCTGGTGCAGGGCGGCTACGTCCGTTCCTCCTCCTCGTCCGCCGACAGCATTATGGACGGGTCTACCGTCGTCGGCGGCAGCGGAGCCCGCGCCCCGCCGCCGAGTCAGGTGTCTCGGTCCATGTCCTATGCCCGTTCTTCGGCCGGCTCCGGGTATAACATGAACAACGGCAGTGGTAGTCGGGTCGGAGGAGGTCCGGTTTCTGCCTACGGTGGTGGTCAAGGTGGATACAGCAGCAGGCGGAGCAGCGCCGACTCGTACAGGTCCAGGTCCGGGTCGGGCGGCTCGGGGTCGGGCGAGTGGCAGGTTGTGGAGCAGGCGGAGGGGTACAACTTTGATGATGGCATGGACGATGGCTGCAGTGTCAGTCCCAGTGAGAGCATCAGCAACGCTGGCTCGCGCAGATCGGGTTACCAGTACTAGTACCTGTAGGTACTGAGTTCTGATGGCGGATGGGCACATGCAATGAGAGGGGGACTTGTCAGGGGTGTTGAGCAGGGACTCGGGGTGATGTGAGCATACATCAAGTTCAGTCCGTCGGCTTACATGCAGTGAAGGACTCCGATTCTTGTCTGGTTGTTCTTTTACCCCCTTTTCTCCAGCCTTGAGTGTCTGTGGTCTGGCCTGGCATGGCCTTGCGGATTACCGGGAGTTTGGGATAGAGACTGGGGCTTTTCGATGTGGTGGGTTTCACATTGGGAATTCATTTAGGAGACCGATAGGCTCAACTGGGAACTTCTGCAACAGGTAGTTGATAGAAACAGACACATGGAATGAGATCCACTTACCATCGACTGTTCCCGTCATGGTTTGCGATATGGATACTATCTACCATAGTACCTGAGGTGACTTGATTGTGTATGTTGCTATTAGTGAGGCATGCTGCTCGCTTCACGTTGGTTGAGGTCTGCTCGCCAGCATTGACCTATCCAGTCCAGCTTGAATCTCCTAGTGACTTGTTGAACTAGAAGCCCAATTCTCCTGTCAGGCATCCCTTCGAGGTAGCTGACCTCAGTTGCTTAGCATCTTGGAAAGGTGGGTAAGAAAGCGACTGCGACGGCGTAGGCTGCGTCCCTTGTATATTCCCACGGTTGAGTTCAAGTCTTGGACACTTGAGATACATTTGATTGGGAATGGTCCACGGTTGAGACTTGAGTATACCCGGAAACTCGAAATGCCAAACAAGAGAGCCTAGGTAGTAGCCTGTTACTAAACTGACGAGAAGTCATATTAAAGTTGGTGTGTGGCGCCGCTTGTGATTACGGCCGAAAGTCCAGATCGCATCAGAGAAGGTGGTGAGTCCTGTATGATAAGTCGCTTTTGCGAGTTGGGCTGGAGCCCTGATACGGTTAGGGATTTGCAGTGGAGGCTTGGAGGGTGAGAATATCCGGAAAGGATGCGTTTAACAGCACCCCTTGAAACTGGATTGTAACCCTGCTGGTTGGTTCCATACCAGCTTGCCATCAGATACTCAACGATGCGGAGAGAACGAGGGACAGCACGACAAAAAACTTCTCGTCCTGCACTTGGTATAGAATTGCAACAAATAGACGGATTGTAAGAATTCTGCAAAGGAATCACGCCAAGGTTTTCATGTGATGAACCGTTTGAGGCGGGTGGACGGATTTAGCGGAGGAGGAATGCTCCCCTGCCCGCGGGCAGTCGACAGTTGTTGGATGCAACATCAACCGCGGCCGTTGGGTGCAATTGACCCCCCGCCACCCGTCCAATGCAACGTGAGGGTTGTTACTAGGGTGGGACTCCCTCAAAGTCGAAGTCATGGACCCTCACCATCAGTGGCAGGGCGGCCGCCCATGTCACAAAAAACTGGCTGCCATTCGAGCGATGTACAACACCCTCCTCGTACTCGCAAGCCTTCAGGCCGTTTTGTATAAGTGTACTTGTTGTTTGTAGTACATAACGTTACCGTGGGGACAAGTCTGGTTCGGACAAAGCAGCTCGACCTGGATCCTTCAAGTTGGGTTCCTCAGGAGCCTTTGGGAACTTCTGAGGGACACAAATTCAGATGACGTATGGACAGAAAAGTGCCCCTTTTGTTATGCCCAATGACGGGTATTTTGTGAGTATGATGAACGCTAGCGGCTTGGCAGTGTCGATTGCCTAAAAGGATCGAAAATGATAAGCTCCATACCAGACGCGTGGATATAATTAATAGCCGGGAGTAAAGCTCTGTCGATGCCCACGCCTCTCTCCCGCCTTACGGTTCTGCCTGCCGTCATATACTGCTGCTACCGCGAAAGGCTACTAAACCAGCCAGCAGCTGCTGACCACCATTTGTTCTTGGCACCCCTGAACAAGTAAACACGATGCTTTCGAACTTGCTACTCGTGGCTCTCCCGGTGGTGGCCACCTACCTGATCGTCACAATATGGCAATCACGGTACAAGCAATTCGCCCATTTCCCACAGCCCAAAACCTCCCTGCTCTGGGGGCACTTGAAACCCTTGGGAGAGCTTATGCAGCGCTCTGCGCCCGGACTCCACATTGGTAAGGACTACGGTTGCTCTTAAAAGCTGCCTATGAGGTCTATCTTTAGGGAATGAGCAAGATGGCTAACAGAGTAACAGATCACATACTGGCCCAACTGGCGCAGCAGGCGGGGAATCCGCCCGTCATGTTTCTGGATCTCCGCCCAGCCAGCTATCCCATGGTCGTCGTGTGCAACCAGGACGTAGCTGAACAGGTCTCGCGGGCATCGAAGCTGTTCCCCTGGAGCACGCCCAAGTCTCCGACACTGAGCGCGTTGGTGAGATTAACAGGGGAACACTCCATCCTGGTGAAGCAGGTTAGTCTCGGTCTCATCTCCCATGCGTGGGAGCAGATAAATGCGAGGTGTGCTTTTGCAGAGCTAATTCCACCTTGACGGGCGTAGAACGAGGACTGGAAGCAAACGCGCAAGCGCTTCAACCCAGGCTTCGCACCGCAGCATCTCATGAGCCTATTACCGTGCATCCTGGACAAGACAGACATCTTCGTGCAGCACCTTGACAACCTCGCAAACAGCGGCAAAGAGTTCCCCCTGATCAAGTTCGCCATCAACCTCACCTTTGACATCATCGGCGCCGTCGTCATGGGCGTCGATTTCGACGCGCAGCACGCCGACTCGTCCAGCCAGGGCGAGTTCATCCGGCTCTACGATGAGCTCCTTAGCACGTACAACAGGTCCGGTCTCGAGCGGCTGCCGCAGTGGATGTTTGTGCGGCGTGAATGGCGCCGGTACAGACTCAGTTCCAAGATCGACCGTCTGCTCGAGGGCATGATCCGGCAGAAGCATGCCGAGGGCGCCAACTCCTCCAAAACCAACGCCTCGTCCCGCAGCGTCCTCAACCTCAGCCTGCAGGGCAACGACAGCCAAACTGGAACCCTCAGCGACGACCTCGTGCACGAGACACGCGACCAGATCAAGACGTTCCTCTTCGCGGGGCACGACACGACCAGCATCTTGCTCGCCTGGCTGTTCTACCAGCTTGCGCGCACTCCGCGCGCGCTCAAGGCCGTGCGCGACGAGCTCGACGACATTTTCGGCCCGGACCCGGACCCAGCCGTCGTGCGGCAGAAGCTGCTCGCCCCCGGCGGCGAGGACCTGATCCACCGCATGACGTACACGTCGGCCGTGATCAAGGAGATTCTGCGGCTGTACCCGCCGGCGGGGACGGCGCGCATGGCGCCCAAGGGAAGCAATTTCACGGTGCAGCTGCCTGATGGGGGCGGGAGTTTCTGTGTGGACGGCTTTGTCATCTACAACTGCGCGACGCTTATTCAGAGGGATCGGACTGTGTTTGGGGAGTCGGCGGGGGATTTTGTGCCTGAGCGCTGGCTGGGTGATAAGTCTGGGATCATGAGCGCAGGTGCAGGTGCAGACTCGGGCCGCAAGTACCCGGCGGGTGCGTGGCGGCCGTTTGAGCGCGGTCCGAGAAACTGCATCGGGCAGGATTTGGCTACGATTGAGGCACGGGTGATTATCGCGGCTGTGGCACGGCGATATGACTTTTTCAAGGTCGGGCTGGGTGAGCTGGATCTTGATGAGAAGGGCCAGCCGGTTTTGAATGAGAAGGGCCAGTTCAAGGTCAAGGCCGAGATGTACAATGTGAGTATCGCTATGACGTTTTTATTACTATTGAATGTGTGGGTTAAGGTGCTGACTGAATTTGCCCAGACACAACAGGTGACGGCGAAGCCGGTCGACGGAATGAGGATGAAAGTGCGACGGAGGTGAGCATGCGGAAACTGGAGCTGCTGTTTTCTTCGGGGTGTCAGAGATAGACCGAAAATTTGGAAGCGCACGAGCCAAGGGTCTGGTTCCTTGCTTGCGATCCAGGGCTCCGGTCCAGGCTCTTGGTTGGCTGGTTCCAGCGGGGACTGCTGGTCAGTCTCCGTAGCGCTGCTCCGGAAGAGCCACCTCTCGTACCTTCCTCCTTACCATGGTATGCTAGCCACCTACCCGTTCTGACAAAAAAGTTCCCCTCTGCAGCAGTGCAAGCTGTCCAAACGAAGGGCGTGCCTTCTTCACCCAGTAACTTTCCGGTTTATTGCTCAGGTGTTCCCACATCCACATCGGTTAGCCTGCCCCACCTCACGATGTCAGCCCGCGCGGGCGGCGTGCCAAGGGCTTTCCCGACAATTCCTAGCGCAGCATTGCCGACCCCAGAGAACGGATGCGCGCCCTAGCGCGTGAGCTCATGCCCGAGCCTTGATTTAGATTGAAGAGGCGGGAAGGCTCCAATCCTGGCTCGTGATGGCGAGGGATCGTGACTATTTAATCAGGAAGACATCCATCTGAGGAGAGTTTTGGCCATGGAATTCTTCGAGTCTCAAGTCTCCAAGGACGGAACACAGCAGTGGCGCCTACCTTCCCATACCTTACCCAGGTAACCACCCGAACCCGTAACACACTAGGGCCTTCCCAACTGCGCCGACCACCAGCTGGGCAACAAGAACAATGGCATTGGAGCATGAACTTGGTGCCGCTGCATCTCAACTTGCCCAATTCCACCTCGATGTTGAGTTGAAGCCAGACCTTCAACAACATGAACGTCTCAAGCCCGTTCTCGGTCCATCCGGCATGTCCGCCGTGTCCGTGACCGTGACAGACCTACCAACCCCACCCTTTTCGCCGGACGGACTCGCAACTCCGGACGGCGACACAATAGCGCCCGGCACATTCCCGTTCTTTCCCCTGCTTCCGGCCGAGCTCCGTCTCAAGATATGGTGAGTTTCTTGTGCCGCACCTACTCGTCCATCTTACACCGTGCATTTTTCCAGCCGGACTACCCGGTGAGGAGGTTGGATGAATCATGACACACAACCTACATGCACTTGTATTGGTACCTTACATACCCCGCTTGAACTTAATCCCATGGTGCACATGTTATGTACCTTATATTTGCCCATAATTGATCTGAACTAACCAATCTGCCTTACACAGGCACATGTCCTTCCTCCCGCGCACCGTCGAACTCCACACGCGACGAACCCACTACGCCGATGACGACGACATGTGGTCGAACGCAATCCCGAAATGGCAGTCGCAGTCGCGCAACCCGGCCGCTTTGTCCGTCAACGCCGAGGCGCGCGCTGCCGCCCTCGAGTTCTACACGGTCGCCCTGCCGCTCGCACACCAACACCAGGGGCCCGGCGACCGGCTGCAGGACAGCGACCGCGTGCTGTACCTCAACCTAGAGCAGGATATGGTTGTGCTGCTCGGAGAGTTGCACTATCTGCGCCTGACTAGGCTGCTGAAGTGGTTCCGTAAGATGGACGAGGCTAGACAGTCACAACGGAGAAGTGGTGATGGGAGGGAGGGAGTCGGGTTGAGAAGACTGGCTATGAGCGTCGCGGCGTGGGCGCACGAGCGCGGGGCCGAGACGCTCAAGGCGTTTAATATTCCTGTGTTTGGCCATATCGAGGAGTTTGTCCTGTTCATGTACATGGACCGCATGCCGCCGCCGGCTTGGAGTGGTGGATCGTGTGTGCTTGAGGAGGCCTCGCCCGATGAGGACCATTACCGCCGCTTTGTTATGGGCCGCGGAAAACAGTTCCGCGATCGCCAACGTGGCGGTTGGATGCAGGTTGGCCAGAGGCCGTTGAAGATAGCCGAGATACGATTTGATGATGGGTGGTGATGGTGTAATATTAAGATATGTGAGCTGTAAGCCTTGATCTGGCAGTCCAAGATCGTACTATGGTTCTCAAGCACAGCCCCCTGCTGGCTCGAAGGTAATATTCCAGTTTCCCCTGACTCAAGCATGCTAGCAAATTGGCATTCCCTGTCCTGACCGCCCAGACGCACCATGTTGTGAGAACATCACCAGCGTGAGTGTATTGAGCTCCTGAATCTTCACTTCCTCCCGGTTCTGCTTTTCGTCCTCGAGTTTTCCCTCTTCTCTTGGCAGGGGACGCAGAGCGAGTATTGATCGGCGTCTTTCTGCCAGACATCGAGGCATTTGCCTCCGCGGCATATCGATCCTGTCATCTGGGCAAGCTGGCAGGCGGTGATCGGGCGCTGCCAGGCAAACTGAAAGCAGTCACGCTGGGAGCAGTAGTATTTGTTTTGGAAGCACATCGTCGTGGGGGTCGATGGAAGAGCTGGGCCTTGGGGTGTATCATCTAATCAGTAATACTGTAATACTAGCAGTGACACCAGTTCAACGCAAAAGTTAGCATCATCATACCTCTAAACGCAAGACGATGCCACTGTGGCGGGCACACTGCAGTCGGGTTTGATGTCGCGACAGTCACGGTGATTGACCGTACCAGTCACACCAAGTACCTTGAGTGAAGTCTCATGGCAGGAAATAGCCATAGAGACTTCTATAGCCGTCGAAATCTAGGACTCTAGACTCCAGAGTGATAATGACGTTGCGGCGTCGGTTTTGAGGATTCTATCCCGTCTCATCGGTTGCTGAGTTGCTTTCATGTGCTCTTTGATCATCGCAAACATGACAACCGGAACTTAATGGCATGTAGGTTTCGCTATATCATCCAAACTGTAACTATTAGAGCCAACCCAAAGCAGTCGAAACTTGAACACGAATAGAGTGCACATGGGGACTCGAAGGATATATCGGCCCCTCCCGAACTTACTCGTTCTCACGATGCCAGCATGACTTTCCAGACCGAAGACCTCAGCACCTCCTCTGTATAGGCCCATTCTTTCCACTTGCTCATGGCTGAAGATGCACCCAGCCGAGAGGAGGCAAACATCAAGGTACCTAAATGCGATTGCTAAAGACTCGGTGAGGGTTTGTTTGAGGTGGCAGGTGCAAGTCTGAGCTGCATGCTATTTCATTGGTTGTTGTTCCCCTGATTCAGGTGCTCCACGCGGTTGCCCTAACCCCTGGACATCGGGACAGCCAATGATCCTGCCAAGAAATGCCCACTCACTACTCACCTGCGAGCGAACGACGACAATCACCGCACTCAAAGTCAACCGCCACAAAACAAAACACCCTGGTCGCAATATGCTTTGCATGCTCTAGTGGATGTCTCTGGGAGCAGTTGAAACTTGATGGGCCGCAGTCAGAGTTTGGGACAACACGCTCCTGCGCCACAGGACAAAATGGCCGAAAGAAATCTTTTCACCCTCTCCATGGCCTACGGTCTACCGAATATATGCCAAACGTCCATTCCACCACAGCGGAAATACCAAGTGCCTAAGCCCAAGATATGCTAAGCGAGCGACTCTTTTCTCCATGTAATTCACAATGATCAAGACCAGCCTTCAGACCATGGACACGATCCTCGAGTCGAACCCTCAAATTGTGCTCACTCAAGCGTCCCCAGTCGACGCGGTACCATTCTCGACACCAATCAGACCGACAGATGGGACAATGCGAGTGGTGACATTCCCTGGCGATTCTATTCACACAGCTACTCTCGTTGATCACCGGCCCAGGATCGTGAAATCTTCATCTCTGAAAATTCCGGTCACAAGGAAAGCAAGTCACCGCGTCCGGGAATGGGTCAAGCGATCCAGCTCTGCAAGGTATGCTCAAACTACATCTGTGGGTTGTTTTCTGAATCACAGTGTGCTGAACTTTGGTTTCAGGACCAGCAGCACGACCGGGACCAGAGCATCAGGGTCGGACTCACTAAAAACCCAAATCAGACACTTGGGGGGAGGTCGGATAGAGGCGGGAGAAGTAGCAGGGGGAACACTTCTTGCGCCCAACAACGTGACAGCTGCGGGAGTGAAGAGCACGCAACAAAGGAGTCGAGCAACTTCCATTGACAGCCGCGTCACGCAGTGGCTCGATTTCTATCCAAACCCTTCCGAGAGATCCAAGGCTCAAAGACAACTCAACCAGCCCAGTAGGCTCGAGCCCAGTCCTCTCCCCTCCGAACGGCCTCCCCAGAATCTTCGTCCTCGGCCCAGCTCCAACGCCGATCTACGACCAGCACCGCTAAAGATCGCCCAGCCTGAGAGCAAAAGCCGCCTGAGCGGGGACCCGCGTTCAAAGCCGCTGGCACGGAAGAACTCGAAGTGGAAAGCTCTGCCCAGTCTCCCAGATTCCGAGCAGCCAACTACCGATCCTGTTCGCAAGCAGGATCCTGTAGTGGCGGCCGCGTCAGCAACACGTGATGGCGTGACACCCGCAGCTCGGGAAGTGCAAAGTTCTCAACAAGACACCTCAGAAGCGCGTCACAGTCCTCCAGAGATTCCGGACGGAAGAAGCGGCATCCCGCCTCAACGACCTAAAGGAATCCAATGCGTCACACCTCCTCAAACGCCAGATAGCATCGCCTACGGCATTGCCAGTCTGAGGGTAGGCAAGGCTCCGAACGGTTACGATAGTGAGATAGGGAACACGAAGAGTGGCGCACCGGCCGAGTCCGAGGCCAGTCCGGACACGAAGAGCTTGGGTCATCTCGACGATGATGGCGCCCGGCCTGAGAGGAGAATTAAACCGGAAGCGCCTGGATTGATGTCAACAATACATCACACGCGCGAGGAGCGAGCATGGCTGCATGTGAATTATCGAGGCGAGGCCCCCTTCTTGCTGGCGTGGGGCCTGGACATTGCAAGGCCTGGTGACCGGGAAGAGGGCTTGTTGATTCTTCGGGATTTGATGCAAGCTGAGAGGGAGAAGGAGGGCAAGACTAGCTTGGGTAATATTTGAGTGGTGCGTTGGACTTGAGGGGCGGGCAGTTACTACTTTTGCATGCAATAATGCTGAGAAACCGTTGCAATTTCCCAGAAATCAGTGTCTACCAGGTACGTTAGTCTCCGTGGTTGCTTCGTTGCTGCGCGTCTCATGACTTGTTTGCCGCTTTCATCCCATCTCTGAGGGCCACTTGCCTGTCCTTCACCGACGAGGCTGGGTTTCCTCGCCAGTCCATTACAGTTGCTTTACTTCTTTCCTCTCCGCAAAATTTGACTTTCCAAACCTTCCAATTGTCAGCTTTACCTGCCCAATTCCCTGAACCTACTGTGGTGTCGCGTACAATAGGTCACCGACCTTTGGCTTTATCTGTCCTTCAAATCTTCTACAGCCTGATCTCGATCAATCTGAACCGACTTATTTGATCAACATCATGGCCGACAACTTTCAACTTGCCCAGGCCTTTGCGACCTTGTTTGCCCAGCTGCAGCAACAGCAAAACCAAAATTCTCCGCCTCAGGCTGGCAGCAACGTTCGCCAGATTCCCATGATTCGCAACCTGGACAGGGCTGAAGACCTCGAGTCCTGGCGGGAAGAGCTCGTTCAAATGCTGAAGCGATATGGCCTTGCCAAGTACATCGAGAGCGAACTCCCCCAGCCCGAGGATCACACTGCCCGCCGCCAGTGGCTCAGGGATCGCCTCGACGTCGACGCATACATCCAAACCACGGTTCCTAATGAGGAAATTTGGAATTCCTTGCGTGAGCGCGGCTGGTCTGCTGCGGATATGAACCCTAAGAGAACCTTCGACTTTGTCGTCCGATATTTTCATGAAGGTACTGTGAGCCATGAGACCCCGGAACTCACTGCAACATGACTCACCGACTTGTTCAGTTTCTCCCTTTTCCAGGCGAGACCGGCGGTGTCGATATTCCAGCCCATGATACCAGCATCGAACGAAGCTCCACCGAATCTGTGAATAGCGGTGAGAACACCAGCAACAAGATTGTTAGCCGCGAGCGGCGCATGGAGGAAGTTTCCGGAGAGGACGGCCAGACCTTCCAGGCGTTTGGGCACCCGCGGGATGCCGATGAACACTCGGCCTCGGACGACCCGGGACATATTCCCAAGAATCTAAATACCGAATCAAATAAACTGGTGGTGGGCCCCGCGCCTCAGAAAGCCAAGCTGGACATAGAGCTTAGGGAGAAGCGTCGGATCCCCTGCCGCAGATGTCTCACGCGCCTATAGGGAAAACCCGTACTCCGGATGGTGCTACAACCAGGCCAATTCAAATGGCAGCTGCTCCCAGTGCGACAAAGACAGAAAGATCTGCGCGCCAGTGAACCCTCATTTACTCGAGAGGGCTGTTAAGTTTGTTGTGGCTTTGGATGCCTACCTGCATCCAAAAGAGGACGAGGATTGGGAGGTGCTTGCCAACGCTTAGGAGGCTGCTGGCAGAGGACTTCCATTGAATTCTTGGGCAAGAGCCCCAAAACTGCGTTCTGATATCTTGTTACAACACCTTAACCTATGTGAGGAAGCCGGCAAGAAGCTGCGTCTGCGCGATGATACCGGTCCTGAGGGGGAGGAAACCGCACCTGAGGAGAAGCAAATCGCACCTGAGGAGCTTTCTACCAGTGGTGGTGTGCTCGGAGGCTTGGAGCAGGCTGTGCTAGGCACTAAGCTGGATCGTATAGCGCAGTTGCTGGAAGAGCTGCCTGCAAAGATCATTGAAGCGCTTAGCCAGGTAGCTGACACTGCTGCCACCTAATAGTGCTGGGGCCTGGGACAGATAGAGTTGTGGCATGGGCAAGCAGTGTGGGGTGTAACCTTAGAGTACCATAACGTTATGTCCAAGAGATATCAGTGTATTGTACCTTTCAATGAAGACATCATGTATGTTAACCAAGATATTCGGATAGCCAACCGGCTTACAAAGACCCAAAACAACGTAACAACCATGTGCCAGTCCAGCAAACTCATATACAGTTCTCACCAGCCTGGGGACCGGACATTGCAAAGCCGGCGGATCGGGAATCAATTCTTCAAGATTTGACTCACGCTAGCTGAGTAAGAGAGCAAGAATCTTGGGTAGCTGTGAGGAGGCTTGTTGATTCTCAGGGATCTGAGGAGGAGAGCAAGCTCGCGGTGAACGTTGGGACATCTGAGTGCCAAAGTGGTACATTGGATCAGAGGAGCATTCATGATGTAGATAAGGTACTATCGTAAATTCCCAGTAATATCTACCTGTCTACGTGACTACCTTACTTGCCTCACTGCGTGACGGGTGTTTTCCGCTTTGGCCTTCGCCAGCCTCATCTCTTTTCTTTCAGGTCCTCAACATCGACATGCTCCCAAAGTGCACTACACAAAAACGAATCCAAATTTCTCATTTGTTGCATCGAGCCACGTACCTCTTGTTTCCTCTGAAACCCGCCTTGTACTTCCCCTCCATCAAAAATTGCCTTGAATTCCATCTTCCTTTCCACTAGACCTGCTTTTCCATTCTGTGTTTCGTTCTACTAAGGTTTAGCCTTGGCTTGACTTGATTTGACTTGACCGACGCCTGCCTGGTCAGTATGCCGTTTCCACATGAAGCGACTTGCTTAACCCACACCGGCTGACCACCTCAGTCGAACAGACCTACCTACCATCAGGCACCCCAGTCAACATGGCCAACAACAGGGTCGCGCAGGCCTTAGCGGCCTTAGCCCAGCGTAAGGCCGGCCGCAATGTTTGCCGAATCAATATTCGAAGCCTGAGCAAGGTCGAAGACCTCAAGACCTGGCGTGAGGACCTCATCCGAGTGCTGGAGATATTTGACCTTGCCAAGTACATCGAGAGCGATGTCCGAGAGCCTGAGGATTTCAATGCCCGTCTTCAGTTCTTCATCGACCGCCGCTATGCAGAGGATTACATCCGCGCCACCGTCTCTGACCAAAAAGTCTGGAATGCCTTGCGCAAGCTTGGTTGGTCCCACGAGGATAAGAATCCCAAGAAAACATTCGACTTTGTCGTTCAGTACTTTGAACAACTTGAAGGTACCGTACTGATGCATCGTCAAGAACTCGCCGGAACATAACTAACCGTCATTTTTCCCTTCCCACAGACCGGACCAAGAACGCCAATATCCCAGTCAATACAGCCGTAGGTCCTGCGCCTGAGGAACTCTCTGCCATCACGACTGGCCTCAAGGGCGTGGAACAGGCTGTGGAAGATCAAGGCATCAAGCTGGATAGTATAGTCTCTGCCACCACTAATGGGCTCAAGGGCGTGGAGCAGGCTGTGCAAGGCCTAGGTATCAAGCTGGATCGTATAGCGCAGTTGCTGGAACGCCAGGAAGCTGACTGGAGCGACATCGGCGCTAATGGTGATGGGGCCTAGGATAACCTACAACTTTGTCAGTAGCGGTATGATTCATGGGGGAAAGCACCGTGAGACGGAGGCAGTCATGTCAAGTAGGTACCTCAGTACGCAGGTCAGGCGCAGCTTTGAATCAGTAGGTGCGTCTTCATGTCAACGCCGGCTTTCATCTCGGACCTTATCGGACAAGCGTTGCCAGTAGGAGGCGTTGAGGGCACCCTGGGCCTGCAGCTGAGCGAGTAGCGTCCTCCCCGGCCGCCTCGGACCAAGGTGCTCGCGACTTGACTTCCTCAAAGCCCGATCCAATCGCTTCTAGCGCCTCGACCTGCTCCGTCACAGTCTGCAGGTCTTCGCTCACGCTCTTGGAGTTGCTTCCATCCTGATCTTGCCGTTTAGGGACCAATGTACAGTACCTTAGCAGGAGTAGAAGCAAACTAGCACCTACAGCATGACAACATCTCCCCACTAACCTACCTTAGAATACCGCATCATGATATACTGAGACTTGACAGCCAAGCAGCCTACAAAACCCCGGAATGTTAGGAAGAAGCTCCCTCTTGATTGGAAGTGACAACATAATATGCAAGCAACAATGTAACAACCATGAACAGCAAACCCATAGTTACACAGTTCTAGGCTGAGTGGTTGCATTAGATCAGATGGGTGTGCATGCATGTATGCTGAGCTAGATAGCTGTCATGATTGCCTAGAAACTGCATTAGTACCGTATAGATGGGCGAGATAAGCTAATGCAAGACCAAGCAATTAGTCACAGTGAAGCCAAGGATGATGAGGTTTCACACCACCATTGCAGGTGACGTAGGGCAGATACGCTAACAATCTAATCGTGGGCCGGTCTGCTCAATCTCTTCGACGGCTTCGACGGCGCCAGCAGTAGGTTGAACGGGTGTAATACGCTGGGCAAGGATTGGCTCGGTGTTGCAACTTGAAGTCGCTAGGTAGTCCTGCTTAATTGCTTCACTGGGTCTCAGACTCTTGGGCTCACGGACTCACGGGCTGGTGTGTTTCGCTTTGGCCCCCGTGCTCATCCGATCTCTTTTCTTTTAGGTTTTGGACAGACGTGCTTACGACGCTAGACTGCGCAGGAAGAAACCTGAAGTACCTAAACTTCCAGGTTTCCATTAGTTTTCATCGAGCTACTGCCTTTATATTTGTGAAGCCGGCCTTGTGCTTCCTCTCCACCCTCTCAGATTCCATCTTTCTTTCCGCCAGACCTGGCTTTCCATTCTGTGTTTGTTGTCCACTGCCAGGGTGGTCGTTCTCTTCCAAAAAGGACCTGAGCCTTTTGACCTAGATTTGGATGGGGCTCGACCTGACTTGAACAACACATGCGTTGTCACACCCGTCAAATATTCCAGTTGAACAAACCTGTCTACCTACCTACCCAGTCAACATGGCCGACAAAGATCGTCTCCGGACTTAGCGGCAGCAATTGCAGTGTTACAACATATGCACAACCAGATCCGGTTTATGCTAGGGCAGCACCCTTGCTGCCACAACAAAGTAGGGTTACCCAACATACGACCCCTGTCGAATGCTGAAGGTCTGGAGAGCTGGCATGAGGACCTTGTCCTCATTCTAGAACTCTTTGACCTTCTCAAGTACATCGAAGGAGACGTCCTCCCACCGCCCAACAACTTTGAAGACATTGACGCCACGGTTGCCTACGCTCAATGGGCTACAGAGCGATATCAAGTAGACTAATATATCGCGAGCACCATTGATAACGGGGAAGCTATACGTGCTTTGACTCAATGTGGCTGCTTTCGGGTTGCGGGCAAAAAGATGGTAGACATGACGCCCCCTGATCATCTGGACCATCCCAGAAAATCTTCGAATCTGTTCTTGATTACTTCCAAACAGGTACTGTTGATACCCCCTGTCTAGAGCTCACCACTGCAGCGGTTGGCTTGAGGGCTTCTAGTCATTTTCACCTCCCCTCTCCCTCCAACCCTCTTACACCCTCCTTTCTTTTCTTTGCCCCTTTTTTCTTCCCCCCCCCCACCCCACCTTCCTTCCCCCTGGCCCCCCTTTTTACTCACCGCAACATCATGGATGACTGACTCTCCATCTTCCAGTCCCGAATGAGGTTCGAGACAGCAACGGCGACCTCGTTACCTGCAATTTTATCGACTGGCCCATGGATGACGTCTCGATTTCGGGATTGGAGCAGGCCGTGAGAAACCTAATCATCAAGCTGGACACCCTAAAGGAGCAGTTGGTGGAGAGGGCCGCACCCGACGAAAGCGACTCCCAGGCTGTGGAAGAATTCAAAGGAGTAAACATGGAGCTGGATCGTGTGGTGCAGCAGTTGCTGGAGATCCTGCGAGCTGACCGACATCAACGCTTGGGGTAATGGGGCCCAAGACAACCTATGGCCTTTTTGTCACTAACCGCATGGTTTATAGGGGGAAGGCGGCGGTCATGTCAAGTACCTGGCTGAGCAGTTGGACGTCTAGATGAGGTGGCCTGGGAGACTTTTGACCTTTGACATCCTGTGATGGACCCTCCATAGCCATCTTTTTCCCCGACTTGAGCAGTATATGGCTTTGAGAACACTATACAGAGAGCGGCGCGAGGACTCGCTTCCCTGCTCTTGCTTTTGGTGGCGTCTCTTCGCTGTCAATGAGCTAGGATTAGCTTGAGCTGAGACGGGAGAGCCCAAGCATGACTATTATATCTCCCCACCAACCTACAATGTCACTGATTGCGACCCATTGCAGTCCAGTATTTTCGAGAGATCAAACTTACCTAGGTAATTTGCAATCAGATTGTCCCCCTCCCCCTACCCCCGGCCGCCTCCAAGAAAGATGAAATGACACAAGTTCACAACATGGATAGATACCTAAGCAATAAACTGTATGAGGTAGGTATTGTACAAAGAAACGAATGAAACAAGAGATTCAATGGGAAGCAATGCAAAGTATGACGCAACCCAAGCTGGCTGGAAACCAAAAGCCTCGGGATATACAAGACTGCACTAGTTTTCCTTTGAGAAACAACAAACAGAGAAATCCAAGCCGTGTTATGGCGGAGGCGGAGGTAGCCCATCTTTTCTGATTTTAAACAGCCCACTCGCGCCTTCACGTACTGGATCATATTGCATTGCGTGGCGTCTCATAACGTCCAGAGTCCTAAGCATCCCCGTGATCCGATTGCGCAACCTTGGCTGCGTGTTGGGGTCTATCCGGGCGAGAGCCTGATTCCAGTTGCCAGTCAGTCGATCAATCAGCCGGAAGTAGCCGGTGCTCGAAGCCTCTATCCGCGGGAGCAAAACGCTGTGGAGATATCTGCGATACAAATGATTGGAACGAGGGCCGTCTTGTGCGATGCGGCCAGTGGCCCGAAGACGGTCGTCGCTGTTGGTGGGGTGTCAGTTGGAACTGTTTTCGGGTTTCATGACTTGACTCGGGGTGTGGCCGGGGGGGGGGGGGGGGGGGGGGGGGGGGGGGGGGGGCGGAGGACGACGGAGACGAGGAAAGTCGAGCAAGTTAATACTTACAACCTCTGAAACAGGGCAGCAAAGCCTTGGGTGACGCGCTCCATGGCTGCGTGTACCGTGTTGTCATTCAGGTACTCGAAGACGGCAGTATACAAACGGAGGAAAGAGACAGCCTCCTCGAATCGGGCTTCGCCGGTTTGTAGCGAAGTGTCGTCAAATTCATGTTCCTTCCAGAAATCTTCACCGAGAGCCATGAAACCCCGAACCATGCGCATCTTGTGCAGATTGATAGCCGCATGCGCGTTGACCATGTTTTCGGGGTGTACAAAGCTTCCGATCAAGTCCCACATTTCGCGCTCAGGACTGATATTAGCATCGGCTGTTGTCCGTTTGTTTAGTTCCACTTGGGTTCTTGCCCGTGACATTCAGGACAGGTTCACTCACGATGCGTGCCTGGAGGTGCCCCCGAGTCCCATTGGGACCATGGCTGTGTGAAGACGCTACCCTGACCCATGAGGCCGACTGGCATGAGTGGCAGCCGCGGCTCGATGAACTGGGGAAACACAGTAGTGCGTCGGACTTGACCGGTCATCATGAAGCTCCACTGCTCTGGGACCGTGTTCTCCTCGATGATATGCTCGGCTGCAGCACGGGGTGGCCCCGTGTTTTAGCAACCTGACAATACACGACGGGAAGGATAGAAGAAAATGGAGGGGACAAATCCATACCGTGATAGCCCGCAGCGTTCTGGTCGCCCGTCGACACTACTCGGGGGTTCTCGCAGTCGTAGGCATCCGCCAAGTTGTAGAAGCCTGCGTTTTGATTGAGGTTGGCCAGAAACTGACCGTTGTTGCCAGTAGGGTATGTGCTCGACGTCGTCGTAAAGGTGTTCTGCCCATTACGCTGCTGAGCCACCTTAAAGTCGCGCGCGGCACCGGTCGCCCGAGGTGCGAGATGCGGCTGGACGCTGTCAGGAACCTCTGCGCTGCGGCGTCTGGTCACCTCGCTCACGTCTCCTCCTTCGTCATTGTTGAGGCTGAGGTGGGTGTAATTGGCCGAAAGCCAGTCCAGGTCGCGACATACGAGCTCATCCTGGCCAGTGCCACAGCCCATAAAATGGAATCTCGAGTCAAAGACAGGGACCCCAGGCAGATTGGGGGGATTGCGTGACGGGGGACCGTCGTCGCTCGGGGAACTTGAAAAGATTTCTCTCACGCCTCCGAAGGATTCAAGTTCGTACGTTTGGTCGGGCCAGCCAGGGGTGAGATCTTGTGTACCTCCTGCCCCGGCCATTATGTAGTTATTACCTAGAGGAGAGAGTTGGTTTTGGGCGGAAAGAGAGATTGAGAAGAGGGGGGGGCGGAGGGAGAAGGAGGAACTCACTCGTCGACAATGGTAACCCTACCATTGGAGTCCCGTTGAACACTTAAGGTGCGAGGGATCACAATGTCAAACTGTTGACATGTCCCCGTCAGCTCCAGCAGCTCAGGGGCACACATGCAGGCAGGGAAAGAAGGGTTCGATGCTTACCTCGAGGTCTCCCTTCACCAGATCTTGGTTGCCGTACTCAAAGACCTTGAGGTCAACACCGGCCGTGGAAACCAACTTGATGGCCAGAGGGGTAGCTTCCACGGCACGCTTCCCCAGCCCGCCAGCGTCTGATCGGGTCTGTAATTTACTGTCAGAGGACGTGGGCACCGCCGCCGCTATGGCTGCCATCTTGCCAACCAACTGGTCCGATACGACCGACGACAACCTCAACGGCTGGTCCGGGGTTGTAAGAAGGTTGACTTGGAATTTCCTGTGTGTGTCAGTCTTTTGGTCTCGAGCTCAATCACGGCGGGAAAAAGGGAGGTGGGCGGGTGCGAGCTTACCCATCCATGAAGCCGGATCCGCTCATCTGAATCTCGAGGTCCATCCTCGGGTTGATTTCGACGATGCCCGGAACCTTGTAGGCCCAGTCCGAAACTGGACTTGGGAACAGGGATCTACGGGGACTGGTGCCTGGAATGTTGACGATGCCCTTGCCGTCGACAGTGATGCTGGCGGTCGTGACAAGGATGCTGTCGAAGAAGCCCTGGGCTTCCTCCATGTGGAACTTGGGCGAAATGGTGCCGACAAGAGTGATGCCCATCCGGAACAGGTTGACCAGGTACCCTTCGGCGTGCACCGAAAGAAAACCATTCTGGGAACAACCGGATGAGGTTTGTTGGTAGACAAGACGGTCGAACTTGGCAGCCATGCTGATAAGCTGGTTTTCATCTTCAGTCGGAGTGCTGCGGAGATCATCAAATTCTAGGTAGTGGACAGTCAGATACCTAAGGTAGGTACGGTAGGTAACGTTAAATACACGGGCAGGTGGACGACTTGTTGGACTTACTTTGCTGCCACCTCTGATCCGAGCTGGACCAGAAAACGCTTGTGTTTCTGGGCCCTGGTTTCCGCCGTGGACTCGGCATTCCTTTTTCGTCTCGCGTCGGGCGAATTGTCGGACGGCTCATCGACAAACTCGTGGAAGTACCTATTTTGGGTGCCATAGTCAATGCGGATGTAGACGGGATCAGATTCAACTGCACGCTTGACACGTGAAAAGTCGTAGCTAAAGGACAGCTCGTGGACGGCGGCGTTGGGGGGAGCCCTGGCGCGCAGGTCATGGGACATGGCAATAGCACCATCAGTGACCGGCTTGATGGTGTGGACAACGCAGTAGCCCGAAAAGCCGCAGTCCGAAGGCAGCTTGACAATGGTTCCTTTTGCGCCGCCAAGGTGGATGTCGTCGCAGTTGGAGTCGGCCGAGTCGTCGGTGCAGACAAAGCGGACTGTATACGTCTCGTTGTCTTGATGTTTGAGCACGGCGGGATCGCAGTCTAGGTCCAGAATGTGCATGTGGGAGCCGTCTCGCGAGTCGAGACTGACGACCTTGTCGGGAGGTCCATCGATGACAACGAAGCCAAAGGGCTGGAGGGCACCCAAGCCGCCCGCCGGTTTTACCTCCAGCTTGGGCTCCGGGTTCGCCATGGTGAATGTAACCATGTAGTCGTCCGGCGGCAGTGTTGGAAACAGCCATTCCAGCGGCATGGGTAGGAACGCGTCGGATTCGGTCGGAAGCTCGCAGCATAGGGCGCGGTATGAATTACACGGGAACGAACCAAACTGACCTGCATATGGCGCGATGGAGGCAATGATCTCGTTCTTCTCTTTACAGCTCCGACTCATGCAATCGGCCCATGTGCACTTTTTGAAACCTAGGCTGCAGCAGAATTTGCTGTAGGATTCTTACCACGTTTCGCAGATGCCATACGGACCTGTATCGTCATGGATTTGTTGAGTCAGCTTTCCTGCCTTACCTAGAGTCACCTTAGGAGGAGGTACCCAAGACACCATGGAATGAATCAGGGGCTTGTGTTGGGTAAGGGGTAGGTAGGTACTTGCTGCGTCGGATACAATCCACCTGTCGGCCCTGTGCGAGCTCAACTTGATTCGCGTCGCAGCCCAGGGACGAGACCCTCCACTCGCAGCTGTCCACGAGACGTTCCCAGGTGTTGGATTTGCAGCAAAGAGACTGCTGCCCAAGCTGGCAAGGCCGCTCTCCATCGCCCCATTCCGAGTGGGCGATGGCGATCTCGTTGACGTCGCAACCGACGTTGCAAAGGGGGGCCTTTCCACTCCAACGGCACTCGCCGGGATTCTCGAACTCGGGACACCTGACGAGCCGGTATTGGCCGGGACGGCAGTCGTCTCTGAACCACGTCGATGGCGAACTCCAACCGTCGCGGTTCAGCTCGTATTGCAAGTTTTCCCTGTCAAGACAATCGGTCATGTAGCAGTTGTTCCCATCGGCAATGGCGCCTTTGAGGAAAACACCACCTGGTAGTCCTCCGGGCCCCTGCCCCACGGGGCTCGTTGTGTTCTGGCATGTGGACGGCGGACAGTAGTCTCCTCTGCTGCACGCAAAATTGCAAAGACCCTCGTCAACAAGGCCGGCCCGAGGTTTGCCACTGGCGCCGTCCAGGGGGTCAGGGGGCACGTTGAGCGGCCCCTGTGACGTGCACTGGCAGACCTGCGAGGGACAAAAGCCCAGCGCACATGCGTAGCTACAGAGGCCCTCGAGCTCGCCAGATCCAGTGCCCGAGGTGCAGGCGGGTGGGGTGAAGGGCGAGACGGTTGGCGTTGTGAGCGGGCCCGGCTCCTCAGCGCAGATGCCTGTCGGGCAGTAGCCCATCCTACAGCCCTCAGCGCAGAGCCCGCTGTAGTTCTCGCCCAGCCCTGGGGCAGGGTACCCGGGGGAAACTGGGTCGAGGGCTCAGGCCTGGGACTGCCCATGGCCTGGCAGAGACAGGCACCGACAGGGCAATAATCTCTCTCGCGAAGGAATTCGCAGAGGCCCTTGAAGTTGCCAATACCAGTTGCCTTGATGCAGCCCATCTCCTCCACTGTCAGAGTGGGCGTCGCCTGATGCTGCCAGCTGCCCACGCCACGTCGACAAACGCGTTCCAGTTGGTCAGTCCGCCCACACACGACGAGGTGCCAATGGCCCCGTTGGCCCCAGGATTGACGGCAGCAACCGTCGAGCTGCCGCGGCTCACCGTGATGACGACGTCTCCCGCGTTGCCAGCTGTGAAGTTGGCGTGGCCGTGGTAGATGCCCACGTCTCCGTCGGGTTTGTCGGTCCACGCTGCCGGCACAGGCACGCCCCCGACCGTCACCGACACGGACGCGTCGGAGCCCAGCAGCGCCGAAAAGAAGATCTTGTCCTGCATTACCAGCGACGGCGGGAATTCCAGCAGCAGCTGGCTGGCTGTGTTGCCCGTGGTGCGCCCATCGTTGCATGCGTTGGCGGCAGAGCGCCTCCACCAGCCGACGACGCCCTCCCTGGTGATGGTGGCCTGGCCACTCTTGTACAGGTCGATGACGTAGGGCAGAAAGGCTCGCCATCCGTCGTGCGGGTAGCCCTCGACATAGTTGAAGGGCGCACGGCCAATGGTAAAGGCCTCCATGGCTTTGCCGGGCCTCAGGGGGCCGATGTAGTGCGACTCGCCGTAGTCGTTCCACGAGATGAGCTGGACGAACTCGGGCTGGTTGAAGATGATTTGGTTCCACAGGTCGAACCACATGTCGTCGCCCCTCCAGAGCCAGTTCTTGTCGTATCCAGGCAGGTTTGTGTAGAACCACGGCGACGCCGGCATCATGTACGGCTTGCCATTCAAGAACAGCTTGTACGACGCATCGACATATGTGTTCATGTCTTGGTCGCCCCACGGCCAGGCTGCCCAGTTGAACAAGCCGTCTGCCACGCCGTTGCTCAGCTCCAAGGCCGCCTTTGCGCCCTTGGACGACCAGTCCGGAATGAAGAGTCCGCCGGTGGCTGCCTTAATATCGTGCCAGTCGTCGGCCTGATCGGGGCCCTCAAAGGTGCTGAGCAGGGGCTTTCCGTCGGTTCGGTAATAGGCCCCATTGTTGCAGTAGTCGTTACAGAGGTCGATGACTGTCTGCTTCTCAAACGGCCCAAGGCCGGCGTAGTCGAAGGAAAAGAAGAGCTTGAATCCCAGCTTGTTGGCCACCCAAAACGCCTTGTCCAGGAGCGGCCGAACCACGCTGGCTTCGTTGGCTATGTTGAGCGCAAACCCGTCAATGTGGGCCTCTTGGGCAAGCTGCATGTCATTTTGCCAGTCCGTCTCTGAATAGTCCTTGGTGTTGCCAACCTGCGTGTGGTGTTAGCCCCTTGGACACACTACCTAGGTTCTTGTCCGTCGTCAAGGCAGCCAGCACTGTACCATGAAGTGGGCAAACACGGCCTTTGCCTCAACCTGGGCAGCCACCAGGGCTAGGCTGGCCCAAAGGCGGCACCACCGCATCTCTAGGTGAAAAGAGAAGCAAACGAGTGCGAACGAGTGACTTTGGTCAGGCGTGAACCTCAACTACAAGGAAAAGAGATGCCCGTCTTCATGTCTACATCCTCTACATCCTTGGCGATTGTCTATCTTATAACTTACAACTTGAGGTAACCTCTCAACATCGCGCTACTCACCAATGACCTCCAGCACATGTTGTCCATCCATGCTCCTCAACCAGTTCCATATTGGCTCCCAGTGTCACGGAAGTCGGCCCGGGCATTCAAAGACTCCAATATTGCAAAAAACTCTGTCCAAGTCCGAATCCGAATCCCACCTACCTTATTGAATCCAATAGTCTCGGGATTATCACTCTAATTGCGCTCTTGACCCCATCACACCCGTGTTCTGTTGGTTCCAGATCTAGCATATGCATGTACATACACATTTTGCTAAAGGACTCATAGTGGAACCCCATCTGCTGGCTGCCCTGGCGGGCTGACTGCAACTCCAGCAAGTCTTCTGGCTTTCAAACACCAGTTCAGTGGGCCTACGCATAGACTTTTGGCCTTTTGGCCCAACCTCAGGGTGCAATTTTTGAAGTTGACTCAGGTACTCCGTACCATCAGCCTAGATATCTACCTAGGTACGGATACCTACCGTAGATACCCATCCTGATAGTGGCCCTGAGTGGATACGAAGGTCGAGTCAGAGTCAACAGGTACGTACTTGTACATGTTTGTACAAGTCCCATTGTAAGTGCAGTCCGGCTTACCAAGCCACATGACCCACAAGTAATCTTAAACCGTTTGGACGATTGGTCTGCCAAGTATGTGTTGTGGCTTACAGTGGGGCGGGCGGCTGTGTGAGCCCGAACTAACGGTGACCCGGAACTGCACTTGCATACCCGTTAGCTCGAACTTCTAGCATTCAGGGGCCACTGTCTAGATCGTGGCCCTTGTACGAAAGTGGAGCCAACGGGTAGGCACCTGTCTTTAGGCGATAGCAGTCAATCTCAAAATCCAGAGCACACCTCACCATAGCGATTGAAAGCATGACCCACTGAAGTGGTGTTTGGAAGTGAGAGTGGGTAACACAAGAAGCGAGCCGCCATTGTACCGAGGTATCGTACTGTACTTGTACCTACTCCCTAGGCCGCCAGATGCTTCAGGTTGCTTTCAATGCAGGCCATAACTTATCAACCTGGAAGCGACGCCCTATTCAAAAATTGAAGTTCACGGTCCAACCCTCGCCCGGTTTCACCGTGACAACGTCAGGGCAGCCCATCCTCACCCGTGGCATTCGTTTTGGTCTCGTCTCTCTCACTCTCTCATCAACATGACCACCTCAACGCTCTTCCGAGGGTCAGCTTGCCACCTTCTTTTCCGAGTCGTATGTTTGAGCCGATACTCTTCATCAAAGTTGAACCTAATCCAATCTCTAATGCCTTCTCATAGCTCATTTTCTCCCTCTTCTCCCGCGCGCTCACCCAGGTCCTGGTAACACCCGATGGCGGCTACATTGGCCGGATCCAACCACCCAGTGGCCTGTCCACCTCTTGCGTGTCAGTCACTGCCCCGGTGTGCTGCATTTTGGTGTAGCAGGTGGTGGGAGCTGACCATGGAGGAAAACCTAGGAGCACCTTTAACCGCAACATCACCTGCACACCCCCCTTGCTTAGCATTGCTCGTGGGTTGTTGCTGCCAAACGTGACAGACATTGAGATGTCCTGCGACCCCAACTGCCGACTGTCTCTTTTGGATCTCCAGGCTGTTCAGCAAGCCGCCTGCTCTTCCAATGACACAATCCGAGACTCGGGGACCATCTACCCTGCCACTTACTAAACCGATCTGCTTCTTGACACTTTCGATTATGCGTGTCTGAAAAACGAGTAGGTACACTACCTTCGCTCCGTGTATTGTGTGTAGAACAATCTGACGCACAAGTAGCGCTGGAACCGAGTATTGCCTTCCCAAGTTCATTGAATGGAACCAAAATGAACAAGAGGAAGAGTACTGCAACGAGTGCAACCTTGGCGTGTGGAAGAGTCGTCTCAGCTCCCCTCGTGCCGTCTGGTCTGACGAAGACTTTAATCAATACACATCACTGACAGCGTCGTAAGTGCTCCGGCCCCTACATACATGTACTTTCATGTTGTCTTCAGTACATCAAGGATGCTGAATCCCGCAAAATAGATGCAACGCAGCTCCCTCATGGGCTGTTACATCGCCCACCAGCCAGTAGGCGCTCGGTTATTACGGCGGTACGCCGACAATGCCGTCGACAACCACGTCATCGATACCGAGGGCCACGGCATCCTGCCAAAGCAACTACACCATCCAAGCTTCCGACTGGTGCCAGTCCATCAGCCGTGCCAAGCAAGTATCAACCTACAACCTCATGCGCGTCAACCACCTGCCCGCCTCCTGCGGGTGGTTTCCCGGGCCTGGGACGACCATTTGCATCCCAGAAACCTGCCCAGTGCACACCGTTTTGCCTTTGGATACCTGCGCAAAGATTGCCAAAAAAAAAAAAAAAAAAAAAAAAAGGGGCGTCACCACGCAGCAGCTCATCTCGTGGAACCCAAACATCAACCCGGAGTGCTCAAACCTGTACGACCTGGCCGAATATGTGATTTGTGTCGGCCCGCTTGGTACTGTTGCGACTAGTACCACGGCGTCAACAACACTTGCGCCCGTACCGACAAGAATGTAGGGCCCTTGCAGTGCCCCAAGTAGCCCTACCGCACTTCCAACACCAGTACTGATTCATGGCCATGCTATCATAGGTTCACGGACCCGTGCTTGAACGTGGGAGCTGAAACGATATCCAGCTGCTACGTCCCAACTCTTCCATCTGACTCGACAGTAGCCTGGCCAACGGTGACATGGTACGGCATCGAGACTGACGCCAGCACAACCGTGTCCTCCTCGCAAACTCCAAGCGCCGTACCGGAACTGCCTCTGGCACCGGGCACATGGGCCAACTGCACCCTCTATGAGACATACATGGACGTGCCACCCGACGCTTCGTATCTCGAGCTCGCCAACCCAAATTACTGCCTGATGAGGGCCTCCCTCTGCAGTATTGAGCTGGAGCAACTCCTCCTCTGGAACCCATCGCTTCCCGCCATGTTGAACGAGACCATGCTCGCTTCCTGCATGCTCCAAGAAGGCTTCCAGTACTGCGTTGACGCCGGCGGCCGCCGCAGTACCTCCTCGGGACCAAACACAACCTTGCCGCCAAGTTCGTCATCCGCGGTGCCCTCTTCCAGCGTTTCCAGCATCCCATCGTCCTCGTCTTCGACGAGTCTTGCGCCTGTTCCCACACCCAACAGTAACTGCGTCCTCGGCACTGGCCCAGGTGGCTATCAGGGTCTCTGTGATTTCAGCTGTCACTTTGGTTGGTGTCCGTCGCCATGCACTTGCACAACGACCGGAACACCCGCTCCACCTCCAGCCCTCTTGACATCGGGTCAACGCGGTTACGCCGCACCAGGCGAAGCAGCAGACTTTGGTCCCCTTTGTGACTTTGCCTGCTCCCGAGAGGGGAACTATTGTCCCAGTCCGCCGTGCACCACAGTGCCCCCTGCTACTGTTTGCGTCGAGGGAACCGGTACCGGCAACTACGAGGGTTTGTGTTCATATACATGCGGCTTTGGTTATTGTCCTCCTGGCCCTTGTACCTGCCTTGCGTACGGCGCGCAGATTCCGCCGCCCCCTGTCACACATCCGGCGGGTGTCCCGGCGACAGGATTGGATGAGAGTTATTCGGGGTTGTGCAGCTTTACGTGTGCCCGGAATTACTGTCCTCCTGAGGCTTGTATGTGGCCGTAGACACATTTGTCTTCATATCCTTCGTAGTAGGCCTTAGAGTTTTGTTGTTAAGGGGTTCAATTGTGTTTCGAGTTGGGATGGTCTTGTTGTTGTATCCTATTGTCGAGCATTCTCTAGACTAGGTACCTAATATTGACAGATTGTGGATGGAAAATAGTGCAGTGGTTGCAATAGATGATTCAACGTGTACGGATAAGTGGTGGGCAATTCAATGTGTTGGCTGAGCTGTCCGGCTTGAAAGGGCCTGTCCGGAATTTTTGCAGCCCACTCTCTTGAGAGTGGGCCCTGAACGCAGTGAAGGTGGAAACCCACGGGTACCTACCGCATTTGGTTCTCGCGTGTTCCTCCCCTTTTACCTTACTCAACTCCTCACCTTGAACCCCCGCTACCTATCTCGCATCACCCACTACACATCGCCGCCGTTCAGTTGCACCATCACCTATTTTACCTATAAATGATGACCTCCACTACCAACAACATCGATGTCAGCGACATGGAACGTGAAGCTTTCTATCGCCGCGCCGTCGCCGATGCTTCCTCACTCACCCAAGCCGAAATCAACCTGATCTTCGGCTGGGTCTCGCCCGAAGAAGACGAACAGATCTGCCGCGCAAACGCGAATGGAAAAACACGCGCCGAGCTTATCGCCATCGCCGCGACAAATCCAGAGCAGCTAACAAAGGTCGAAAGCGAGCTTGTCCAGCGGAGCCAGGCTCTTCTTACCGATCTTCGGAGAGAGGCAACAAATCCAATCCACAACTTGCCACCTGGCTTAAAGACTTTGGACGAGTTGGCCGCCCGCGCCCAAATTGTCATGGAAGAGGCTCTTAGTTGGAACCGGGACCCTTTGCGTGAGGAGGCCTATCAGGCTGTTTGGAATGCGCTTGACGACCAGGAAAGGCGTGCGATTATTGCGGCGCAGAATCGGCTTATGCAGATCATGGATGAGGAATTGGCTGAGGAAGAGCGTAAATATCCACGCAGGATGCAGCAACCCGAGCTTCCAGAGGGATATGTGAGAGATTAAAAGGGCTTGTGGGGTTGGTTTCGGGGGAGGATCTGTGTTTGGGCGGGGGGGGGGGAAGGCGTGGTTATGCAAACAACATGACGGACGGCGAGGATTTGTTGCACTTGATAGAGACTAATGTATCTTCTACATAACAGCGTAAACATATCCGATACGCAAATATTCATTACATTTGCTCTTGGTGTTGCTAGATGTACCGGTACGTAGAGGAGAACAGTACTGAGGAAATGAGAAACGCTCCTGAAGCAGATCTGTGAATCAATCAATACTAGTTACTGTGACTCCATCTCGGAGGAGTAGGAAAACCCATCATCATAACATTTTGAGAGATACAGTAACTGAAAAGAATAGCCCTGACTGTTCCTGCATCCTCGACTTTGATATTCTGCTACAACAACCGCAGATTGTGCGTGGCCAAAGCGCGAGAGAGTATAGTATAGTTCCGATTCATTACAAAGTCTTCTCCCAATGTAGAATCAAGAGAGAGGTGAGGCGCCTGGAGGTTAGGCCTTCACATTGCTGGCACGCATGCATCGATTACATTCTTCCAATGTAAGGTACTAGGTACCTAGGTAGCCTGAGGCTGGGTAAAAGCCTCTGCTAGAGCACGTGCGGGGGCCTAGGAGACTTTTGGCCCTTCGACTCTATACCCGTTGATGATCTCGCTATAGCCATCTGCCCCCTTGAATTGGGCAGTATATGGCCTTGAGAAATACCATACAGAGAGCGACGCGTGGGCTCAGCTCCCTGCTCTTGCTCCTGGTGGCGTCTCTCTTCACTGTCAACAAGCTAGGCCTAGCTTGAGCGAAATCAAAACAGAACCTACAGCAGGAGAAGATATCCTCACTAACCTAGAATACTGCATGTACCAGACTCCGAGGGACTTGGACAGCCAAGCGGCTTACAAGACAGAGAGACGTATATAGCATCAGGGAGAAGTTACCTCTTGATTAAATTGACAACGTATGTAAGAACCGACAATGTAACTACCATAAACAGTAAACTCATATACAGCCCATGGTGCAACCCGGCGCCGGTCGACGCCGGCTCTCTCAGCCCGCCCAAAGCAAAGTTCAAACAAAGACGTCTGCCCAACGCCTACATGACGCCATAGTAAAGTAACCATTAAATCCCGGTTCCCAGTCCCCTTCTCTCCCAAGCAAGCCATGGACGTTACATCATAGTAACCATCATGTCGTGAGCGTGAGAAGTATAACCGAACATCAAGCACAACCCTGTGAAAACGTAAACCCGGCTCCATGCGCTCAAGATCAAAACACAACAACCGACACCGGCAGCGGCCCCTCCTCAACCGTCACAGGTGCCTGTGCCTGCGCAGCTGACGGCTCGCTGTCATCCTTGGCACTCCCGCTCTCCCAGAGCTCAAAGCTCTCCCCTGTCCCAGGAACAGGGTCAAGGACAGCAGCATTAGCAGCCCGATCACCGTTCCCCATTATGTCGTCAACATCCACCGCATCGACATCAGCGAGGTCAAACCGCGGGCAGGGTGGTTGCAAATCCAACTGATGGTCTTCTTGCGGCGGCTGAGGCTCCTCCTCGACCTCAGCAACAGTGCTCAAATTTGAAGCAGCCGCCGCCGTCTCTTCGGCCTCGTCATCCTCATCGCCAGGCACGATAACGACGCTTGCCTCGTCGCAGCCCTCAGCATAGTAATCCGCGACATTCATCTCAGCCAGCGGACCGCGCTGCTTCTCGACAATCATGTCGTCGAAATCGGCAGCCGCAGCCCTGGCAGTGGTAAACCGTGCAGACGTCTGACTGATGTCGTCGGCCGGCGGGATGTTCTCCTTGTCACGTCCCTCAGCGCGGTCGCGGCTGGCGCGCCGCTCCGACTCCTCGTCGCTGCTGATGTCCAGGGTGCAGGTGCTGTGCTGCAGCAGGTTGGTCATCTCCTGCTCCGGGGTGTCCTCGTGGATGTCAAAGAACCATGATGACTTGGAATCGGGCGGAAGAAGAGAGTCTGACTCCTTGCTGCCCCTCAAGCTCCCAGAGTAGCTTGGGATGGTGCCTTTGAGGGCAGCGTCGAGGGAGAAGGGGACCGTGGCACCCAAGGCAAATGAGGGAGGATCGATGCGCTGGGTCCGGCGCCGAGAGAGGATTCCAATGCGCTTGGAGCCGCGAGTCGGTGAACGACCGGCAGGGGCTGTCAGCGATGGAGGTGCTGAGCTCTTGAGGCTCAGCTGCGCGGCGGGAGATTTGGGCTTCAAGATATTTCGAGGTTGGGGGGATGACACCCGGCTGGGCTGGATGCTGGAACCATCCTTGGCAGCGAGGGCTGAGGTAGGAGCAGCGGACTTGGTGAGAACGAAGGTTGGAGGCTTAACGAAGCTTTTCCCAAGGTCAATATCAAGGTCTACCGCTTTTGACCGCTTCGAGAAGGTGGCAGGATCAACGTTCTCAGAATCGTTCACGTCAAGCACCTCAGAAGCTTTTCGCTTGCCGGGGGAATTGGAGATGGCTACAGCGTGTTAGCTGGCTCTACTACTGTATCCAAGGGACAAGAGAGAATCAAGGCATGGCTGAGCCAAAAGAACATCGGCTGTTGCATTGAATCACGTCTTGGACGTCCAAGGCACTTAAGAGGAGAGGGGTCTGCACTGAACATTGGGCGCGAAAACTGGAGCAGCGACGTACCATTCTGCCTATTCTTTATGCTCGTCAAGCTCTTCAGCCGAGCCCCATCCAGAGGAGCGAACGGCTGGCGGATGACGGTAGCCATGGTCAGGAATGGTCCGTTGCTGACTCTGTGGGACGGTGTTGAAGACGACAAGGCAAAGCTGGCGTCCAAGCCCAATCCAAAGTCCGACTGCAGCCCAAGCGCGCAGGCCAGGAGCCCAATGGTTCCTCAGGCTAGGACGGAGGGGAACCGACGCCCTCTTGCAATTGCTGCCGCAAAGATGGAACTGTTTATCCTTGCAGAGGATTGTCTTCGCCGTCAAATGCGCAGAGCACAGCTCGGGCGGTCCCGCAAAAAGAAACGAGCGTAGCAGAGAGAGAAAGAGGCGAGGAAAGAGGAACAGGGGGAGGGGATTTCGACCAGAGTGCGATGCGCGTTATTCTTATTGCCCCGGGTGGTCTGCTGGAATGGCCGGTCGGCGCAGGCGGTCTCTAACTCGCTTTCTTCGAGTGCCAGTCAGAGATGAGCCCGTCTCCCGATGCGCAATGCACAACCTAACGCGCAATGCGAATTGGACGAGGAGAGAGTGAGCGAAACAAGGCAGCGAGAGGCAGGTCAACGCGGGACTGCAGAGCCAAGCAACAACCTTACTGCCCCCAGGCAATGTCGAGCATATGCCGGATATCTGAGGTTTCGTCTGACGAAGCGCCTCAGAGGAAGGAGGCCGGCCTGATGCTGGGGCAGGACGTGGTCTGGGAGCGATGGGCAGAGAGAGCGCGAGCGCAGACAAGATTGGGTAGAGGAGGGAGTCTAGGGACAGGGAGAGCGGTGAGGTGGGACGGGACTGGATTAAAGGGAATTAATTGCTAGTCGAGCGCGAGCGCCTCTGCAGCAGAGGATCGAATGGCAGCAAGTCTATGGCACTCGGGCGCTCACTACTCAGACGGGTGTGGGAGGGAGGCAGAGTGGCAGACAGCTCATGCTGGTTGGCGCATCATGCAGGTCGATATTGGCTTTGCTTCACTTGACGTGCCGTTTCGTGGTGCTAAAACGCAACGCGAATGGAACGAATCCAGGCGTCTGCATCGGATCGCAGGTGGGGAGGCAGCAAGGGCGGGGCTCAAGCATTGAGAGCTTGCAGGGCCACCTTGGCGAACCGGCGATAAACAAGGCGATTGGGCGCATTCGACGCAGGCCGCCTGAAACCAGCAAATCAGAGCCTCGATGAGCGGCCCACAGAACGCGGTGTGCCTCAGGTTCCACAGCTCTTTAATGGGTCGCGACGAGCGAATCACTGCATTCATTGGTCTCCACCGTGCCACGGGACTTGATCGCGTCTCAACTTGGAAATGGGCCCGCCCGTCCTGCAGTGGCTTCAGGGCCGTACAACTCCCTCGCTCCCGATCCGATCCTACTGGGAAAGATTAAGGCTGATACAGAGACCGACTTCCTGTTTTCTGGAGTCTGAGATCCGTGTATGGAAGCTCCAGTTTGTCACCTATCAACGCTACAGAGTACGAAGTGCTAATTACTTGTCATACCATTTGTGCCAACAAATTCCAGCAACTAGGGACACCGGTTCCAGGGCGACCCGGGAATTGAGACCATGACCCGGGTCGCTACCTGAGCTTCCAAGGTTGCTGGAGACTCAAGCCGCCTAGTCAATAGATCTGTATCCGTACCCGCCCTGATCCATTTTACTCGTCGATAATCAAGAGTGTGGACGGAAAACCCGATCTTTAGTGCCGCCATTTACCTCCTTGATCTGCCCCCTGGAGAAGGTTGAAAAACGGTCCCCTGTGGTTGTCTTCCGGGGGAATCCATACCACGGAATCTTGGTCGGTAGAGGTACAGCACACCAATGCAGGAGAGAAAGCCCCATGCTTTCTCAGCACATGTCTCTTATTAATAGCATCCAAGCAAGGGATGGGATTCCCGCTCCTTGCCGTGTCTCCAAATCTACAAAGTGTACCTTGCATGATCACATCGTACTTTCAACCTCACTGCAATGCGCGGATATGAGTGGAAATCGACAACCTGGACATCTAGAAGGATCATGCCACCAGGTATGAACTGCAGCCTCAAGGCACTGCATATCATTACCTGGACACTTCTCAATCCGTACAGCGGCGAGTTAACCGATGACCCACCTCTCATCAATCCTAGCTGACGCAGTATGGGAGGAATCAGATTGGGTGCCTTCGCCTCCATGGATGTACTTGTAAGCCGTCAACTTATATAAAATCTTTGGGTTTCTGAAACTCAATCGTATAATCAATGCGCAGACTGCTCTTGACTTCAGTCACTCCATCAAGGTAGAACTTCAAGCCCAAGGCGCATGCAACTTGAAGTTGGAGAGTTCCCCACTTCTCTCGGCTGCTAAGCCTTGAACCCCACCCATCCGGCAGGCAGGGGGAGCTTATGCCCCGCGCCAGCAATTGCGATCGATGTCATTGTCCATATGCATCAACTGTTGTCTCCTCGATTGACCAAAGAGACGGACAATTGAGCTGTCCTCCCGAGTTTCTGCTGTACGGGTTAACACCGCGGAGCGACTCGCGACACCAGTCATGGCTTCTATCAATGATCTAGCAACAGCCGCATCGGCTGTATCAGCCCTCAATCCTTCGACAACACCTTCGCAACCGCCATTGTCGGGTACCGACGAGGCCGATGCGCCTTCAGCGGTGCGAGGAGCGTTGGTAGTCCTCGAGGGCCTAGACAGAAGCGGCAAAACAACCCAAGTCAAGCTCCTGGAACAGCGCTTTGTCGAGCTGGGCCGCAAGGTCAAGGTGATGCGATTCCCCGGTAAGGTCGCGCTTAGCAGTAAACTCCAAGCCAGTTTCGGCCTCGGAACTGACCAGTCTGGTCAAGAAAAGACCGTACGACACCAATTGGGCAGATGATCGACAGCTATCTCAAAAGCCAGGTCGACATGGACGATCACGTCATCCACCTGCTCTTCAGCGCGAACCGTTGGGAGGCAGCGTACGGTCCGCCCCTTCTCCCCTCCTGAAAACTTCTTGGTTGACAAGGCCGTGGTCCTATTTTCCCGAACAAGTAAAACCATAACATCCCTCCTCCACTCCGGCACCACCGTGCTCTGCGACCGATACTACTACAGCGGCATCGTCTACTCAGCAGCGAAACAAAACCCGACTCTAACCCTCTCCTGGGCTCGCGCCCCGGAGTTGGGCCTGCCGCGACCCGACCTCGTGATCTTCCTCGACCTCGACGAATCGCAGGCGCGGGCGCGCGGGGGATGGGGCGGCGAGGTGTACGAGAAGGGCGCGATGCAACGGCGGGTGCGCGAGCTGTTTTGGGGGCTGAGCATGGGCAGGATCGGCACCGCGACTGTTGCTGCTGCTGATGCGGCCTCGGAACCCACCGGCGAGGAAGTAGCACTGGGCCCGCCGACGGCTCAGGGGTTATGGGGGACGGAATACAGGTTTAGGCAGGAAGAGGAGGATCTGCATGTTATTGATGCGGGTCCGTCGGTGGAGGAGGTTGCGGAGGAGGTGTGGGAGGTCGTGGAGGCGAGGGTTAAAGCTGTTGAGAATGGAGAGGTTGGCAGGCAGGTAAGGAGGGTCTCGTGAAGAAGCCTGCGTGAACATCATCTGTACTGTACTATGAGATGGCCCGGGGCGGGAAAGATAGGGGCAACGGTGAGAAGGATAGGTAGAAATAGGCTGCCGCGGTTGAAGCTGACCGCAAACAAACACTTGTTGAGTACTACGACTGGGTATCCCAAACACAGGGTTGTGTTACCGACCCGCAGTACTCGGACTAGCTTAGCCAAGGTTTGAACCAGGACGATAGAATGCTGATGCCGTGTTGAATGATCAAAAACCCTCCGCCATGGAACCCCGTGCGCCGATGTTGAAATCCTCGCCACATGCAAACCGCGATGTATATATATGCCCCCCTGAGAAACCTCAGTGCCGTCTTTTGACCCCAAACGCCAGCTCGATGCATAGGTGCAGAAAGTGAAATGCACGATCTTGCCGAGCATTGTTGCAGTGTGTAATGTACCGTAGCCCCCGTTTGTTGTTGAAGATACCCAACCCCCAAAGTGTCATACCCCGTCTTTCGACTTGGCTCAGCGGCGGTTGACGCCAATCAGGCTCAAGAATTCGTTCCTCGTCTTCTCCTTGCGCTCAAAGCACCCCAAGACGCAGCTTGTTATGGTCGAAGTGGTCGTCTTCTCAACACCCCGCATGACCATGCAGAGGTGGCTCGATTCCATGACGACAGCAACACCCTGCGGCTTGAGGACGTCCATGATGGCATTGGCCACCTCCTTGGTCAGGCGCTCCTGGATCTGCAGCCTGCGCGCAAACATCTCGGCAATGCGCGGCAGCTTGGAAATGCCAATCACAGCGTTGGCCGGAATGTAGCCAATGTGCATCTTGCCCGTGAACGGCACCAGGTGGTGCTCGCACATGCTGAAGATTTCAATATCCTTGACAATGACCATTTCGTTGTGGCCCTCCTGGAAGATGGCGCCGTTGACAATGTCGCGCACGTTCTCCTGGTACCCCCTGGTGAAGGTAAGCAGGGCCTTGGCATACCGTTCCGGCGTCGCCAGCAAGCCTTCACGGTCCGCATCCTCGCCCACGCACTCGAGCAGCGTCCTGACGGCGCCCTTCATCCGTTCCAGCCGGTTTTTGCTCTGCTCGTCGCTCTCCTCTAAGCGTTCCCGTGTGCCGACGCTGGGTCGGCTGAGGCCGTCAAAGTCGATGACGGGGCTGGGCGACCGTGTCGATGACTCGCCGGCTTCCTCCACAGGCGCAACATCCCGGACCTTTTTCCTCTTCTTTTTCTTAGGCGGCTCGTCGCGGAAGTCTCGCGCCGGCTTGCTGACGCTAGACCGACGCTCTCCGATTGCATGGGTACCATTTGGCCCGGCGGGGTCTGACTCTCCTTCGCGAGATCGCTTAGTGCTGCCGTTTCTGCTCTTGCTCCTCTGGATGGATTGCCCGCCATTGGCCGCTCCGAAAGGGCTCTCTGAGCCAGAACGTGAATTGAATTGGGCCATCGTGTGTTAAATGTTAGTTGAAATCTGCTCCGGTGGTTCGGGGCAGAGTAAGCGTAGTGGGAAAGGAATGCAACTCAGAGGGGCACATGGGAATGATGTGGGACCAAGGGGACCAGATGACTGCGCAACTTTCAAGACGGAGTGGAACGACTCCGATCCTCTCCGGTACGTTAGCGAACTTTATTTTTTTTCTCGGGGGTCACAGGTCCAGACTGACAGAATGGAGGTATCTTATCGAGTTGACGTCAAAGAGTGCAGGGGTCTAGGTACTTGTAATGTACGAAGTACTGCAATTGTACATCGTAAGCTATGAAATACATTACATTACTGTATTTTACCGCCGCGATCGAAAAGTCGAAGAGCGAAGTCCGTTTGCCATTTGGGTCGCTGGCCCAATCGGAGGGAATGACTACCTAGAAGAAGTGACGCCGATGGCTCCCGCTAAGCATCTCACTTCAAGTTCTTTCCGGCCGAACGTGGATGCAAGAAAGGCAATCAATCCCCTTGGCCATTTCAAGTTTCTCCCAAATATCGGCGGTAAGGTACGAATACAATACACTACACCTAGATTAGCAGTGGGGAATGGGATCGGTCTGCAGGGGTCTGAAGCCGCCGGCAACCTTCCCTTCCAAAACTGGCCCAATTGTCCGAGCACTAGGTAAAGTAATCTACGAAGACAGCCCTACGCTTTCTTTGCAAGAGCCAACTTCAACGTCGAAAAGTGTCAAAGCTCGATGCCAGTGCCGCAAGTTTGATTTCGCCTCACTCACAAAGTAGAAACGCTAGCCATTTTTCGAGCGATGCCGCTATTGCCTCTCTGCCTAAGGCTCTGAATCCATCGAACGCTCTTCCAGCCTCGCCCACCACCCGTTTTCCAACCGCCGAATAATCATGGCCTCTCCATCAGCGCATTCTCCACCATATCCCTCCCACACACAGCTTCCGGCCATCAACACAATGATAACCAACAAGAAACGCACCGCCGAAGGCGGAAGTGGCGCGCCCGTGCTGAAACGCCGCAAGGCCTCAACCATGTCGATGAGCTCGACGCCCGCATCGGCACATCCGTTGCGACAGACTTCCTTCGCGCCTGATGATGCGGCCACTCCTCTCGGCGCTCGATCTCCCTCATTTGACATTGACAACATAAGCCTGGTCAGCGGCAGCCAGGTCAGCGCGGCCGTGCCAGGCAAGAAGAAACGGGGGCGGAAATCCAAGGCCGAGAAAGCGCGGGAGCAGACGCCTTCGGTGGTTAGCGGACGCGCCCCGACAGCCGCCAGTAGCTTTAGTGACGCCGGCGGCGCCCGGGTCGCGAAGAGCACGGCCGGCGCTACCGGGTTGGGCGGTGCCGACGAGGCGGAGGGTGAGGAGGATGGCCCTACCGAGGTCGCGGCAACGGCGGACGCCCGGACGCAGGAGCAGAAAGAGGAGGAGCACAGGATAAGAGGGATGCTCATCAGCGCTTTTTCTGAACCCCAGTTTCATCGCTACGAAATGTGGCGCGCAGCAAACTTGAGTAAAGCATCTGTCAGGAGGGTAAGTCTGCCCGGCGCTGCGTTTACCTCGAGCTCAAGTAAACGTCCTGTTAACGCCTCGACTTAGCTCGTCAACGCAACCATCTCCCAGTCCGTCGCCGAGAACGTCGTCATAGGCATGCGCGCCATAGCCAAGGTCTTCATTGGGGACATCATCGAGGGCGCACGCCGCGTGCAAGGCGAGTGGATCAAGAAGACGGGCGAGAAGCAGACAGACCTCCCGACGCCCCCGGTATCTACTGGCGCGTCGCCTGATGCATCTGGCGGCGGGGGAGGGGACGCTCCGGCTGCTGGTAATTTGGCTGTGGACAGCGATCGGCGAGGCCCCTTGCGGCCAGAGCACCTACGTGAAGCCCTTCGACGGTACAAGATGGGCCAGGAAGGCGGTGGCGTTGGCATGCAATGTCTGTGGCACCAGCAACAGCAGAACGGTGTGGAGAGGTTCCCTTCGCGGACAGGCGGGCGCAGGATATTCCGTTGATGCCGCTGGGCTGATTTGGGGCATTATCGCACCAAGACAGGAAGTGGAGAGGAGACTGAGACGGATATCCTGAATGCCATGGCGGTGGGATAATCAAGATGGGAAGCATCGCGATGCATTACCCACTGTCCTTGGTACCAGGGTTCAAGGACACCGGACATTATCCGAAGCTCTGACTCGATCAAAGGATGAAGTGCGGTCTTATCGGGATTGGGGGTGCTCTGCATCTCATTTATGCTCTCCTGTATACTCGCAGGAATCCATGGCAACCACGGTTACGACCAAGCTCCAATCTTATCCGCATTCTTACCCGAGCATGGTACAATACCATGGACTACCTTCCTGGAGAAGGCATTCCCATGGCACAGGCCTTGCCTTACTTTTTTAACTCCCATTTTGCGCTGGCCGGTCACTCCTTTCACGGCACGCTAAGCGCAATGCTGTCCCCCGCAACGGGACGAGGGAGAGGCGTGTCCTGGACTTGCCGGCCCTCCAGCGCAGAATACATATCAGTACTGGCTGTGGTTGAACTCAATGCTTGAGATATCGTGCCGCCTGTGACCGGGACGTTTTGGCTTTGGGTAAGGCAAGAAGATGAGGATACGATGCCTCAGATTAGGTCCGGTCAGCCTGTCGCCAAGGATCGAAGGAACGTTCATGTGTGCAAGAGTGAGGCAAAAGGAAGGCACACGCCGCTTCATTGGAGGGCACGCGAGTCGTTGAACAGACGGGATCACGAGCCCAATACCGTGGAACCTTAGTAAGAAGAAACGGATCGCCCACTTTCGGCAGGCGCGTGGGAGTTCTACCTATCTTACTTGGTGTGAGTTTGAGTCGGCCATCTTAAGTGACACGACCGATGCCCTTGTTCCCACCGTTCTCTCCCTGAATTGACGGTGTCTGGCCAAGGACGCCGTAAACCCAATCGATTGCAACTGGCTCAGGTAGCAAGGCAAGAGAATAATGTCAACAGTATCTATTTCACGACAATATTGTACATCTCAAAACATCTCTAGACCCGTCCAGCTAATCCTCAGGCTCATTGTACAGGCCCAATGGCCGTGCCTGACGAACCAGCGACGGAGAGTATGCTCCAACGCAGAAAGATCAGGCCTCGACCTTGCCCTGATCCGTCGTCCCCCCCGCAGCAGCAGCAGCAGCAGCATTCTTCTCCGCCTGTTCCTTCGCCGCAGCCTCCGCCCTCTCCAAGAGCAACCGTTCCCTCTTTGCCTGGACCCGTCTCCTGTGCTCCCGGCGGCGTGCTGCCCTTGCCTCTCTCCGACTCTTGATGTGTTTGAAATAGACCCTGCGTTTCCTCTTCCGCAGCCGGAACTTGGCCTTTCTTGACTCGCCCGTCTCCTCGGTGCCGATCAGGGTGCCGGCGTCGCCGACAAGCCGGCCAATGTCCCAGTTGGTCTCGCGGTAGCTGTAGTTGCTCTGCAGGCGCAGAACGCGCGTTGCCATGCGCTCTTTGAGCTGTCGCTCTTTCAGGAGCCGTTTAGCCTCCTCCTTGGCCTCGCGCTTTGCCCGGGCTTGGAGCTTTTCCTGGATTAGGCGGAGGATGACGGAGTTGCCGTCGGTTAGCGCGACGGGCTGTTCAGATGGCGGGGCGGACTCATTGGTTTCCGGCTGAGCCTTCGCCGTGGTGTTGAGTTTGGGCTCGGGTTCCGGGATTGGATCATGTCGTGTGACCGCTAGAGGGATTCCACTGGGTGACATGGTCTCGCCGGTTGGCGCCTCATCCTTCCGAGGGACAGCGGCGAGGTTGAGCTTGCGTCGCCGAGGTGTGCCCGGCGGATAAGGCAGCTTATCGTCGCGGTTGAAGACAACACCAATGTACTGGCGGTCGGGGTGGCGGTTGGGGTCTCGGTAGTACTTGACATAGCCGGCGACAGCAGCGTGAATGGTGTGGTCGCGGCCCATGATGGTGTTGTCGCCCGGGTGCCATATTGTGCCACGCTGCTTGTAGATGATGTTCCCAGGAATAACATACTGGTCTGAGAGAGAAAAAGAATTAGCAAGCCAAACTCACTGGCGGTAGCAGCAGCAATATTCGCTCTGCCACAGCCAAAGCCAACACCGGCCGCCGCCTTGTCACAATCCTCTAAAAAACCATACCGCCAGTTTTCTTCGCGCCCAGTTTTTTGGGAATGGTCTTTTTATTCTTCAACTTGTAGGCGCCCTGCGACTTGACTGAGGCATAGCGTCTGCCTCGTACAGCTGCATTGGCGGCCTGGGAGTCGACTCGGATGTGGGAGAATCGTTCTTCGATGCTTGTCGTCGTCGTGGGCCGCAACACGGTGCCGAATGTTAGGCAAGAGTTGGCAGCAGCCCTTGGGGCTGGCCCATTCAGCCATACAAGGCGCATCTGGTATGATTTGCGAGTGTGACTCGCGGCAATTGACCACAGAGGATGGGCGGCACGCGAGACACGATCCACGGAGCTGGAAGTGTGGTCGGGAAAGAGCATGCCAGGGCGAAGTTTTAGCGCTTAGTCAGCCAACAAGTGCCCCTGTCGATAGGGTCCGATAAGATAAGAATTGGTGTAAGCTGGCCGCTACGCATTTCACGATGCCGCAAGTTGCATCTCGCCAACAAGTCCAGAGCCCCGATATTAAGGATACACATTCGCAACTGAAGCTGTTTGGCAGTGTGCAAGCCATTCGACTCACCAACCCGACGCTTTCCCCCAATAGACCGTCGACTACTTTGGCACAACCTCACAATGCGCCTGTTCGCCCTCGTGCTCTTGACCCTGGCAAGCTCCGTCGCCGCTCAGTTCGGTTTCTTCGATCAGATGTTTGGCGGAGGCGGCGGCCACGGCCAGCAACACCACCACCAGCCGCAAAACGTCCCAAGCGACTCGTCCATCTACCGAGCAAACTATGCGCGCTCGCATTGCGACAAATATCTCTGTCCAGATACTCTAGGTAATGCCCCTCCGTTGTGCTACGTTCCCCGTCATCCCCCGAGGTCCAGAGCAATCCAAGACTGATCGCAGCTGACCCGACAGCATGTGTCCACTTCCCACACCACTGTCCATGCCAATGGCCGGAACACGAGGATAAATTCGAGCTTGCCGAAGGCCAGCGGATATGTATCTCCAAGGGCGGGTTCAAAGCTGGCGAGGCGGCAAGGAAGGTCGAGTTGGCACGCAAGGGTCTGTTATAAGGCCGGCGGAACATCTGGTCTATGCCAGGTTGCCAATGTTGTCAATAAGATAAATTCATCAGCGCCAGGGAGAAAATAGAAATCGATGCCCGGACTCCATATCTGCCCCTTGCACCATGAGCAGCCCTTGCTAAAGGACGAAAAAATGCACAAATACAGCATGGAGTAGCACCCAAAGTTCAAGCCATCCTCGACAGACGACGCCCAGTGAAACACGCCAAATCCTCAGTTTCTCAGCATCAAAAATTGCTTGACGAATAGTAGCGGTGTTCTGAACTGGCATCTCCCATTATCCCAGTGCGAAAGTGCGAAGATATCCGAGTTGTCTAATGTCTTCAACCCGTCGTCGCCGTATGGGTCCTCTGTCCAGGCTAGAGAATAAAAACTGACTCTGCAGCTTTGATAGTCCCCTGAAATACAGCATTTCAAAGCATCCAGCACCCAAGCCTGCTCTCGCCAACGCCTGCGACGGTCTGTAAGCCACCTCCTCTAATACACCATGTTACAGGCTCTGAAATCCGCTTCATTCCGAGCCAACCCAACCACATCCAGCTAGCTACGACGAGCCGTTAGTCTGCCTCGGCAAAGGCGGGACTGGGGGGACGCCGCCGTCGTTCCTATCATTCCCCTGGCCTCCAATCTCCCCATCCTCATCCTCCTCATCCTCATCCTCCTCAAGCTGCTCCGGATGCCCCAGCAGCGCAGCCACATTCTTCATCTCATAATGCTTCTTACGCATCTCCTCAAACCGCCGATGCTTCTCCCGCTCCTCGGCGCTCATGCCCACCAAGTACTCGTCGGTATCCGTGTCGTGTCCGCTCCCGTTGCTGTCGACATGCACTGCGCGGGGGCGTTTGCTGCCCGTGCTAGTGTTGAACTCGTAGTCCGGCACCTCCTCCTCGGGCTCGCCCAGCGACAGGCGCGGGATCTCGTCGTCGCCCTGCGGCCGCTGCCGTTGTTGGCGGTTGGGGCGGGGGACGCCGTCGACCCGGTCCATGTCGATGTTATCCGGCTCGATGGGCTCGGGCATGTCTTCTGCGCCGTCCTCGTCTTCGGACGGGTCCTCGGCCGGGTCGTAGTGCTTTGCGTAGGGTGTCTTGGGCTCGTTGATCTTCATGGTGCTGCTGCGCTCCTGCTCGGTGAGGTACAGGTTGGCCTCGTCCCACTTGAGCCGCTGGCCTTGCTCCTCGGAATCGTCGCCCTGCTGGCTTCCCCGCCGGCTGGGAGTGAGGGAGCTTTGTCGGCGAGATCCCCCGGGCCGCGAGCCGGCGGCTGACGACGAGCGCCGGTGCCCGGCGTTGTATTGCGTGTTTATGATTGTCAGCTCCTTGGCTTCTTTCGGTGTCAGGTGGTCGGGCGACGCAACATGATGGACAGGATCATGGCTGTCGATGGGTGATATCGAAGGAGAGCCGCGGTACGAGTTTTTAAGAATGCCTGTGTTGTCGGTTAGGATGGTTAGCGGATGAACCTCCACATATTAGTTACAACTCAAAGTGTTGATGGTTTAACTTGCCCTTTGGGCGCGGGGCGTTCGGGCCCGGCGGGGTATGTGTCGGCGATGTCTCCGTAGCGCTCGCCATTTCTCGTGCCGCTATAGCCTGTTTGTTTGTTTGGTGGCAGCGGATTTCTCTGGCGATGTAGGGATGGTTTTCAGCAGTTTGTTGGACCACACAGCTGCGAGTTTGATTGAGAGGAAACTTATGTAGGAGGAGTGGTGGAGTGATTTACTGTTGTTGAAGTGTGGGGCTGGGGTTTTCGATTCTGAAAGCTTCAGTTGGGTCACTCGACAGGCCCACTGCCCCATCGGCAGCCAGCTGCTCAAAGGGACCCACCCCACTGGCAGCCATCCGAGCCATCTCAACACGAATTCCGGGGAAACAGTGTCTATTCCGTGCGCTACACAGTATAAATAAGATCTGGAGACTTCTGTCTGGATGCTCTCATTCTATACTATCTTCCAATGTAATTTCCTTCTTTCCATTCGAAAGACTGCAACGCCAATAGTGCATTCGAATTCAAAGTTATGTGCCCTCTTTCTCCTGCTCCGAGTGTTGTAATTTTCAGTAACCAGCTTCAGTGTATCAACCCGCCTGTTACAGTACACACAGATGCTCATACAGTCGGAATCAAGATCTCAATTTTGAGTGGAACACCTAGCAGCAGCCAATGACGTCACTGCACACATGCCCATCATCAAATGAAGAAGGGGACAACTCCATGATCGAAACCGCTGACAGATCATGGATTCAGGCTAGCTCTACGAATAGATGGCCGGCTATCCAGAAGCCAGCGGAGGGTTTGGATGAGACGGGAGTAAGTTGAAGGGTAGGCCTCTCTGCGTGGAGACTGGAGGTGCTGTTCCCCTTCTCGAAGCGGAACCCCTGAAACTGCAATGGTGCAGTGCGGGTCAACTTACTCTCAATCACCATCTGCCCGAATGGATTCAGCCCTCAAATCCTGCCACTATGGGCCGCTCGAGCTAGCTGTGCGTTCAGCTTTGGTGCTCTGATAATAGTTGTCCAGGACATCACCATCTATGTCCTCGTCGAACACGTCCACTTTTGTCGTGGCAAACTTGCGTGCGCTGACTCCGCGTTGGAAAAGCATGTCCAGCTCGGCAAACGAACGCCCTGACGGCTCGGGAACGCGGAAGTAGGTGTATACTATGCATAGGAAACAGATACCGCCCTGCAACGCGGTCGAGTTAGTTCAATTTTCCACACAACTCGAAGACGATGACGGACCCAGAAGAAGCCAGCAAAGTTACTCCAATCCCACGCCCCGGGGTTTAGCATATACGGAGTAAGAACGCTGCAAATAATGCCAACAATGATACTTTTTTGGAGGTTAGCATGATCCATTCACGCAGCATGACAGCATGCTCCTTGGGAGGACAAAGACTCACTAGAGGACTCTTCCAAGGGCCACCGTTTTTATCTGCAGCCTTCGAGTCGATATCTCGCTGACCAACGAATAGCAGACGGTCCCTACAGTTAGTTGATAGGTCAAGGCCCAGCCCAACATGATGCTGCCGGTAGCAATCGATCCCTCTCTTCGGTGCTCCTCGGGCACCAGGCCCAAGAAGCCCAGGACCATGAGCATGGCCCAAAGTCCGCACAGACCGTACAGATACAGGGACCGCCGGCCAATTCCACGGCTCATTAGGAACCAAGCCCCGAACACGCCAACCATGTTCATCCCATACTGACCCAGCGCGAAGCCGTAGGCGCTTTGTGGAGGGAGTCCCGCCTGTCTAAGGAAGTAGGTGGAGTAGTTTGAGAAGGAGTTGCCACTGAGGTTCTGGATCGCCCAGACCATACAAACGATCTTCAAACTCAGGTTAGTAAGTTGGTCTTTGAGTGGGCGTCCAGCCAGTTTGCCTCACCTCTGTCCTTCTAAGGTCGTGTCCCTTAAAACAGTCCCAGTAGCTGGCACCACTCGTCGTCTTCTCCTCCAGAGCCGTCGTGTGCACCATCATGTCCACCGTCTCGTCCGGATCAAAGTCTGTCTCTCGGTTGGTGCTGGTCAGGCGCAGCAAGGCAGCCTTTGCCTGCTTCAGTTTGCCTTTCCGAACCAGCCACCAAGGAGACTCGGGGGCAAAGAAGATGCCCACGGCGAGCGGAAGGGGCCACATCCATTGCAAGGCATATGGAATTCGGTAGGCCCATTCGTCCTTCCGGTCCAGCATCGACATGATGACACCGATTCCGATAAACTGTCCGAGGCCCCAGCAGAAATTTACGTAGGTTGTCAGGTAGCCGCGCATGGCAACGGGGCAGACCTCGGACGCATACGTGATGGTGAGCGTCTGGAAGACGCCCCATGGCTACACATCGAGAAAGGAGGTTAGCACCCATGTTCCCATGCAAGGCTGCAGTCTCGTTAGGAAGATGCGGGTTCCTACAATTCCGCAGAGAATTTCGGCAGCCAGCAGCGTCTGGACGTTCTGTGCCGTAAAGAAGAGAGCCGTCCAGGCGTTGATGAGCATCAGACACACAATGACGGTCCATCGATATCCGAAACGCTCCGATACCCACCCGTTGATCAGGAGGCCGATGAGCTCACCGACATTGGCGCCCTAGAACAAGCGCACATGCGTCAGTTTTTCTCGTAGCTCGTCTCCAAACTCATGGCAGTCACAGGATACACAGTACGTACTGGCCTACCAAAGGTAAGGCAGTCAAGACAGTACTAGTACTCGTAGTACCGGGCACTCACATTGCTCAGCCCGGCTTGCCAGGGAGCCGGCACCTCCCACTGTCCGTGTCTGCCCGGCAACGGCTCCCCGTATTTTCTGTTGAACTGGTCAAAGGCGTCTTTGGGCAATTCCAGTCAGTCTTCTTACGTCTGTTCAGGGTGTTTGGGATATTGCAATGGCCAAAGGGGGTAACATACAGAAGTTGTTGATCAAGCAGACATCGTATCCTTCCATGACAATGCACGTCGAGATCAGTATGCTCCACGCGATGGCCTTGGGGTACAGCCGGATGCCCTGAAGCAGTGTCATCTTCTGCTCCTTCTCAGTCGCCGTCTTGGCGCCCTGAATGATACGTTCCGTGGCCTCGATGCGCGCCACATTTACGTGGTCATATCCAGCCTGCTGGTCCTTCTCGCCCATTATTGGCGGCTGCTGCGTCGAGGGGATTGCGCCCTCAGCAACTCGCTCCGACGCCATCTTTTCGGCTTAAACCCCGCTTTGGATGAGTGCGCCACCGTTGTGATTGCTCGAGTAGTACAACCTGTGTAAGGTAGGTAGGTAAGGTAACGTTAGGAAGAGACCGATGTGCTCCCAATTACTGTAGTGAGGTACTGTACAGATGCCTACCAAGGACACATCCAGTCTCCGAGAAAAAAGAAAAAGTACACTGTACGAAAACATTGGACCAAAGGTACCAAACCTCTCATCTTATGTTGTGCCAATGGAGCGGTGCAAGATTCTCGAAGATTCACATTGATGGATCCAATCATGCGCTTCACAACTCCGGGATAGTGGGGCCGAGCCTTGGTTCCTGCCCCGTCCCGCTTAGCACTTTCCCTTGGGTCGTATTGTGACTGAAAATGAGATGGACGAGAGATCATCTAGATGGCAGGAGAAAGAAGGTGCGAAGGTTGACCACACGTACCTACCTTGATTTACCTTTACCGACTTATCCATGTGCAGGTTTCCCTCGGTGTCGACGCCGAATTATCATGACAATCTTAACAACTTACCTCCGTACACCATTCGGCATTCCGATACCGATGACCTCAGAGAGCACAAAAGCGAGGCCGAACCGCCGGGTGCGCGTGGGCCGCAACACCGCTTGTCAGGATAGAATCCCGCTCGATCACCAGTACAGCACCTACTGATGGTAAACTGGAACGGGATTTTGTCTCAAGCGCAGCCTGCCAATCGATTCCGATGTCTCGTCTTCGTTTCCCTTGCGACAAACCTGACCTGGAATCCACAATGCTCCATTACGGCGCCTCTTCGGATTCGCCAAGGCTCTTTCCCCAGATTCTCCACGTCCACAGGAACATGCATCAGGATGTGCATCACGTTACCTGATTTTTCCCCCCTCCAAACCCCGCCGCAGGACACGATGCAGACCGTCGGGCACGTTAAAACGATTACGGATTCCTGGGCCATTTCCAACCAACCGCCCGCTAGTACGTGTAAAAAGAAAGCCGGGCCTTGGGCCGGACCTAATCGGCAGCAAATATCCCCGACCAGCCACGGCGCCTCGCGCCAGGCGCCCTTGGACACAGGATTTCCGTGGAGCTCAAGGCAGCTTGCTCTCTTCTGCTGCATGTCAGCGGCCTGACCACTTTCTTCCTCGGGGCCCACACGACTTCAAACTAGCACTCGACTACACCGCCGAGAATCTTTGCCGTCTTTTTTCTCAGCGTGCAGTGTCAAGCGTCACGGTGCGGGCGTCGACGGACAGAGCCGGCCGCCAATGCTATCGTCCGGCACCAACACGTCCGGGTCGGGCTCACCTTCTCGGAACCTAGCAAAATTCGGCTGGTGAGTGCGTCTCGTCGACGTCGAAGCGCCTCCATTCTTTGTTTGAAGCGCTGTTGGGGTCGAAGCCTTAGCTGACTCCCAGGGGCCCAGCCTCAATTGCCGGGCCCACCATCTCAAATGTTAGTCCCCACCTCCTGCCGGAAGCCGCTGGACGCGGGGAAAAAAGACCGCTGATTCTCATCAATGAGTTGCGCGCTGCAGGCGACAGAGTGACACCAAAGTGTGGCCGGTGTCTTCACGCAAAGACCGAATGCCTTCCACCAGGCCTTAAGCTAAAACGTCTGTCACACCCTGTTCCACCCGCAACCTTGCAAACAAGGGCAAAGGCTTTCATCGGCTATGCTAACAGCTGCCATATATAGTAGCCAAGTTCAAGCATACCAAAAAGCAGAAGTGGGTCAAGATCCCAAAGAGATGTTGGTTCCCCCATCCATTCCGTTGGGTTCATATTCCCAGGGATCAATGCGGGAGTTCAGGGGTTAACGGGCAGAGGATAGTGCTTTTCACCGACGAGACCAAGAAGATCGCGCAGGATGCCTCAAGTCCAGATAGCGAGCCAGAGGAGGAAGCAGATTCGAGTTGGAGTTCACCCCTTGCCATCTCGGACGACACGCCGCAGGAAACTCCCCAGTTCCCCGCTAGCAACCCCCCGGACCGAGGCCGATGGGATCCCCCCCTCCTGGCCGGCCAAAGGTCGCCATCTGATCGGTTTATCATGTCTGCCCCGCCAAAGTGGCCCCTCTCTGATCCCGGAGAAGCCTATTTAGTCCGTCACTTCGTGCAGAAACTTGCCGTTTGGGTAAAGTTCCTCACAACTTTGCTTTCTGACTGACTGTCTTGTCTCGGGCTTACTAACTGTGTATGGCAGCTTGACTTATGCGACCCAAATCGTAAGTCGCAGGCCACAATCGAAGCTGGGTACAACTAACAGTCAAGCGTAGGCTCTTTCGAGTACGAAGTGCCCGAGCGGGCGAGGAGTTACCCGATTTTGCTGAACGCCATCCTCGCTCTCTCGGCACGGCACTTGGCAGAAACCGGCGCTCCAGAGTACGAGCAATGTGCACTCCACTATAATGAGGCCTGCCTCAAGGATCTCAGGAATAATCTCGGATGCGGCTGGAGCGAAGAAGTTTTTGCGGCAGCCATCATTCTCCAGGTCGTGGCGGAAATGGACTGCCCCGCCGACGGCGAGGTTGAACTCGAGCCTCCTCTAACTCTGAGTCCGACAGGCAGGCCTTCTGTAGGGCTGTCTGAAGAGTATAGGAGTATCAAGGACGGGCATCTTTGCGGCATACATAGCTTCGTCAAGCAGGGGAACTTAACGCCGGGGACGCTTGCTGCAGCGTCATTCTGGGTTGGGCTACGGCAGGAAATTTACCGTGCCGTTATGGTAGGACGCATGGTGAAGCTGAACCTCGAACACCCGCTTGTTGACAGGTCGCCGCTTGATGAGATGCCCGCCAAAGATTACTACGCTTGGGCAAATCGGGCCGTCGTGCATTGCGCCGATGTTCTCAATTTCTGTTATAGCCTCGAGTCCATGGAGGCAACAGAGTGGAACAAACACCAAAAACGACGATGGCTCGAGCTACACAGCTGGAACTGCGAGTGGGAGGAGAAGAAGCCAACTTCCTTTAACCCGTGTCACAAGGGCCGCGGTGCCGGGCCGTTTCAGGCGATATGGTATCTTCGAAGCTGCCAAGGTGGGTGACATCCTTCCATGTACAGCTGATCGTTAATCGGAGCTGAAAACCATGGGTACGTGGCCACAGTCATCGGTATCCAGCATCATCTCCTAGCAAAGCTCTTCCTCCTTGACCGCGGTCTCGAGAAAGGTGCCCCGATACCAGACAATGGGTATCCTGTCGACGTTAGCCCTCCTCTTCCTGTTCCTCAAGCGGCTGTATGGATTACTAAACTGCAATGCCCAGGAACGTATCCGAGACATTGTTCGCCAGATTTGTGGCATCGGTCTGGGAAACCAGTGGACGGCTCCGAGCATGTTCACGGCTTGCATGGCTATTGCAGCTTGTAAGTCGCCAATGACATGTTGGACGGTGGGCCAGCGTCGTAGGGCTAACACAAGCAGTTGGTGAAAAGTACTTTAGCGCCCTGAGCCATCACTCAGAACTCAGGGCGATGTTAAAAATCCTTTGTGATACCCAAAGGGACCACGGACGGTCAACCAAGGAGGTGCAGACCAAGCTCGGGAATATTGTCGGCTGGTCGGATGAAGGGAGGTTGCAAAACCTGAAGGCTGAGCCCAACATACCCTACAAGTGTGAAGCATGAGTTCTTGCCAGTCTTGATGCCCGACCTGCTCGCGAGTTTTGGGTCCTTTGGGCACGCAACGTGGCCAACCCGGGTACATGGAAATTCACCGACGAATCTCTGTGAGTTCAAATCTGGATGGCGGCCTCACCCGGAGAACTTTGGAGGGCGAACCCCAAGACGCCTGTGAAATGGATGACTACTACTTCGTACACAGAGTGTCACGTGTGTACAGTACACATCATTTTTCACCAGGCAAATGGCGGCTTGGTGGCGCTGATCACAAGGCTCCTGTGGCACCCGAAATCCGAGACCAGAGCTCGAGTGGCTGCTGTGCCTATTCGGGCCAGAGTGCCGGGACTGCTGCTCCGGGAGAAAACCCTCAGCATGGTGGATTGAGAATGGAAATTGACGTTGTGCGGTGCATCCTCACAGAAACCCATTGAGCGCATTGGGTCATTCGCCCCGCGCCCTGCACCAAAGCTACGTTACAGGCATGAACTCACAACGGAGAGCAGTTGCAGATATGCTATGGCTTACAGTACAAGCTCGGGCCAGTAGTACCAAAATGCGCTGGACGAGAGGACGTTTCTTGTGCAGGTTCGTGTCGCATTTGAGCTTCTCAGCAGCCAGCCACCTTGGGCATAACTACCCTTTCCCCAGAGATCTGCAGTCACCTACATGAGCATGCCGCTGCACCGCCGATTGCAGAGTGCTTTGTCATACAGAACACAACATGGAACCAGAATGATTGATCGCTTAACGTTACTGCGTATTGCGTTACTCTGACCGCGCATCTAGGACCGACCGACACTTGGAAGAAATGAGATCAAAATGGTGTTGAGGGTGAAAAATATGGCGATGTTACTCGTGGCCCACATCCGGACTTCGCAGCGACTTGCCTCTTTCAATCCAAAGAGGAAATTCTCATGCCCCATCTCCACCAACATGGGTTAAAGCGGCTCTGGGCCCCTTAGCGGTGATCCACGGGCGGGTCCCTTGGACCCGAGATTCAGCATCTGGGCCCAAAGCAGAAACAGTTTCCGCAGCATGCGGGGCCCGATTCAACACAAGAGATGGACTTGCATATGGATATCGAGTCCCTGAACGCTGGGTGCCCGTCCTCGCCAGTGGGCCACGTGGGGATCGGTCACAGGGAACTTGCAGCGCCATCTTGATTCCTGAATGCGCGCATCCTGATTCTCGATATCCCCTTGCGGGGGGATCTTATCTCGATGCCTGATGATGCACAGATCTGCGTGTCTTTGGGTTGGCGGTCTGTCTGTTCTTCTCCTTCCTTTCCCCTTCGGGCCACGTTCGCTCACGTTCGCCTCACCACTAGCCTCAGGGCCAGCGGGGTGTGCTCCATCGTCTCATCTTTCGACAAGGGTCTTCCAAGGTCAGGATCCGCCGCAGTTTCCGCCTCAAAAACCGTACTGTATAGTTGCGGTCTGGCGGTGGTGTTCTACCCAACACGCTGCGGAGCCGTTAGCCCCCTACCGTTCCTAGTGACGGAAAACATGTCACACCCACTCCCGGACTGGGTGAGGATTGGCGGGACTGGCCAGGGTGGCCGGACACCGGTATAAGTTGTGCCTGTCGGGCTACGTTGTGTCCGGATCCCTATCTCTCTTGCTTTTGCTTGCTTGCCAGGGGTCTTTTCTTCTTCTGCCACCGCCGTTGACAACAGACTGTCCGTGCTGCATACCACAACAGCCCGACGCCACACAATTCTACTCGGGAAACCTAAAATCAGCAGTGTCAGGATCGTGACGAGCGGCTTTGGTACACCCCAGGAAAGCCGTGGGCTGTTCTCCTTTCCTCGATTCGGACACACGCTCTCCTCAATGGCAGCCGCTGCCGTGGACAGCCCCCCGATCCATCGGGATGGCGCATCTCTAGAGGCGATCTCGGACGCCATTGACACTGTCAACATCCTCAAAGACGGGCCGGCATTCGATGCCGAGTCTCAATTCGATGCCGCAAAGGACAAGTCGGCCTTCCGGCAATACGAAGACGCCTGTGAAAGGGTCAAGAGTTTCTACGCAGAACAGCATGCCAAACAAACCGTGGCACACAACCTAGCTGCGCGCGAGCGGTTCCACTCACCGTCCCGCTCAAGACCCGAGATGGGCATCTGGGAGGCCATCGAGAAGCTCAACTCGCTGATCGACGACAGCGACCCGGACACAGAGCTGAGCCAGATCCAGCACCTGTTACAAAGCGCCGAGGCCATCCGTCGCGATGGCAAGCCGCGCTGGATGCAGCTTACGGGGCTGATCCACGACTTGGGCAAGTTGATGCTGTTCTTTGACGACTGCTGCGAAGGGCAGTGGGATGTTGTGGGCGACACATTCCCCGTCGGCTGCCGCTTTGACGACCGCTGCGTCTACCGCGAGACGTTTGCGGCGAACCCGGATTCGCGCCACCCCGTTTACAGCACAAAGTACGGCATGTACTCGCGCGGCTGTGGCATGGACAAGCTCCTCATGAGCTGGGGTCATGATGAGTACCTGTATCTGGTGCTCAAGGACCAGAGTACCCTGCCCCTCGAGGCGCTCGCCATGATCCGCTACCACTCGTTTTACCCGTGGCATAAGGAGGGTGCGTACACGGAGTTCATGGCGGAGGGCGATGAGGTGCTCTTGAACGCGGTGAGAGCGTTCAATCCATATGATCTGTACAGCAAGTCGGATGATGTGCCTGATGTGGCGAAGCTAAAGGTGAGGGTCTCTTGGGCTGCTCCAGATCTACTTGACTTGAAGTGACTGACCTAATCCTCACTAGCCATACTATCTCGAGCTCATCGATGAGTTCTTCCCGCAAAAGAAAATTCGGTGGTGAGGCAGGATAGCATGAGCAGGCAGCTCTTTTGGTCATGAGCTTTTTGTGGCGGTATCTTCATCAGTTCGTGTTCAAATCTGAATAGACTTGCAATTCACTCCTCTCAACATGCCTTCCATGACACCCTGAGCAGCACGGCATTATGGTACCTCGGGCTGAGTTCGTCTTAGTCCGCCCTCTCGCTCTCATTCAACGACCTATACACAACCCTTGCATCCTTCCCCTTGTACCTCTCATCAGCTATAGCCTCCGCAAATGCGCTTCTCAGTGTCGGCCCGTTACTACCGTCCTCGCTCACACCAAGCTCAGACAATAACGACAGTCGAGCACGGCGAACAACGCCCATCACCAGCCGACGCACTCCCACATCCAATCCGCTCAAACTTTCCATCGCCCCGTTTTCTTAGCAGTAAGACAACTCGAGCATCCAAAAACAGCACATGACAAGGGAACATCTTCTCGTTATCAAAATAACCCCCGCCTGAGATATTATACCTCGAATCCGTAATCCTCCACGGAACCTGAAACTTGGGATGATTGGCATCCCCCTGCCTGGTCCGCGAAACACCCTCAACAACCTCAAAAAGCGGTCCATATGTGCCCCAGCACCGGCAAAGTCAGCAGAGTACCTCACTACACGACCAACTTGATATGAAACCCACCTTAACTTCGACAAAGCCAGCTCCAACCATGCCAAATTCATCCCTTCCAGCAAGCGGCGTCCGACATTCGACAAGCTGAGCAACAAGTTTGTTGACATCCAACCTTTAAAAGTCAACCGGTCCATCAACAGCCGCCCAGCTCCACGACGGAGCCCTCCAGGCCCTTGGGTGACAAGCAAAACACCGCGTAGGTGGTGACTTGGCGGCAATGGCAACGTCATGTGTGGGATCCCGACAGAAATGAACCGGCTCGTAAACGTGCATACGCCAGGCTAATCCGCAGAGCAAATGCCTACGCCATAGACCGGCGTGGTAGCAATCCTTGGTGAGACATGCCATGCGACGTGCCAGACCGGATAAAGCGGGGAGTTTGTCTTTTTCGTTGGTTAGTTTGCGGGCCGTGTATTTCTCTACCAGGCAGAGCCAGATCTCGGGGGCCCAGGCTGTGGTAGTGCAGTAGGCGATTCGGGGGTTTACTTGGAACCAGGGGGGTTGTTTTTCAGGAGAGCAGGAGGATGCTGTGGCATAAGTGGCTATTAACCGCCACGAGGGAAACATGCGTGCAAAGACGGCGCCGTCTTCGGCTAGCATGCAGTTTGAGCATTCCCGGTACATTTGCGCCTTTGTTAAGTGCAGGGTTCGTGCTGCGAGGAGGCGTTCCTGAAGGGTCCAGCCGCGGGTGGAGAGGTTCTCGGTGGCGATTGGGTCGAAGGCGCGGCCCATTTCGTTGGTTCTGTAGAGGAGGGTATTGCGGCGTTGGGGGTTACTCGTGTCGAACGAGGAGGACATCCACTCTTGCGAGAAGAACAGGTGGCCGTTGGGCGGGAGGTTGAGGATGGCAAAGTTACCCATGCCGACAGCGTTGAGCAGGTTCTAGTCGGGTGGTGTAGTATTGTCTAGCGGCGCGGCGTTGGCGTCCGAGATACGGCCTAGAGAACGATTGTCGCTGCTCACAAAGGCGACTTGCATGCGTTCTTGGATGGTGGTGTAGCACCCTGACGAGTCGTCGGTGCTGCTGTCGGCGGCGATGACCAGGTTTGCGTTGGCATACACGTCGCCCATTCTCGAGGCTTCGCGTTCCCAGTCTTGGGCGTCGTCTTGGATGATGCAAAGGGAGTCAATCCAGAGATAGGAAATGCCGAGGAGGTGCGTCATTTCCACGGTTTGCTGGAAGGTTGCGGGTAGGTTCGCGATGGGGATGCCGCGCATGTGGGCGTCGACGTTGTCTCGCTTGGTTGTGATGCGATGCGATGTGCCCCAGCAGTGGCTGAGGGCCACGTATGGTCTGGCGGAAACTGACGCCCCCAGAACGAGTCTAACTTGACCGTTGTTGATATTGGCGACGTCAAGGACGCGAGTTGGCAGAGGCGAGTTTGCGGGGGGAGCACAGTTGTGCTTGACATTGCAGCTGCTCATCCACTCTTGACAAAGCGCCTTGACAGTGGCCGAGGACGTGGCAGCAGTTCTCAACCTGCCGGGTATTAGACGTCGGAGAGGAGAATCTAGGAAATTCATAGTTAGGCACACACTCTCTCCTCAGTCTTGAACGGGGAAAAGGGGGGCCATACTATGTCTAACCCGGATCCTGATTTGCGTCCCACGAAACACCACCGTCCCACCACTAGTATTCCCAATAGCCTGTTCAATCTCACCAGTCGTGCCAATCCTTACCCACAAGCCTACGAGCTGAAGCGACAGGTCGGCATCATAAGACCTCCACCAATTGCCAAACAGCCACGGTCGATGCCGATCGGCCTCCTCGCCCGGAAACAGCTCAAGCGGGTCAATGTACATGGGGCCTCTATAATGGGCACCATCATCGGCCCTCGCGTTGCCTCCACCCATATAGTTACCGTACTGGGACTGTGCCATGCACTCCTTTCCCGAGGGCAGCGTGAAGCGCGTGTAGCTGACAATACCCCCCGGCAACATGGCACGGTTGCCATGGCGTTCATGTTTCACCGCGGCACACGTGTCGCCTATGGCTAGGAGAATCATCCAGCATAGCCCACAGCCTTGTGAAGACGATGCCACCAGCTCGCGGAGGGACCCGTGGTGGGGAATTGCCGTCTCCTCCTCACTCGGGAGGGACTCGAACGGGATGGCTAGGCAAACAGAGCAGATCTCAGGCTTTGCGCCGATCATTTTGAGGAGCAGTCCGAAGCAGCACAAGACAGAAAAATATTGCTGTCATATGGAATTTGAAGACCTGAATCTTATATACTTGGGTATCTTAGGGGGATACCTACCCAACTAAGGTATGGACGATATGATCCTGTTAAATGCCTCGCTAGATCGCCACCTCACTGGCAATGCGGAGCAAAACGACAGTCATCACACTTCACATAGAAAGGGTGCCGACAACCTCAGCCGCAGAGGCACAGCAGTGTCCCCCGAAGCCACAATCACATGCACCTGCCCAATACTATGTTGGTAGCTAGCGTTACAAGACAGGTAAATCGAAAGGCAGAACTTACTAGTACATACCCAATGGTAGTACCATAGGTGTGCCCTGAGGGTTAATATTGAAGATTGACCAGCTCCGGAAAACCGTGTCCAATTCCTTGGATCAGCCCGCCTATTCGACATCCCGAGCAAGATTGACCTCGACGGTTCGATCCCTTTTCCTTCCAGATCCTTGACCAGCTGGATCGTCTCAGGGCTCCATGTCCATACCGTTGGCATGGATACAACACACTGAGCCACTGCTGTCAAGTCATGCTCCAGTTCCCTTCGCACAATGCGGCAACCATGACAGGTATCATTCCATCACCGGCTAGGTACAGCCGTTTCCCAATGTCGACACGTGCCAAAAGGTTGTTGTTCCCTGGGAGACGGCAGCCTGGCGCGTCAAGGACGTAAAGGCTGCCGTCTTGGAAGATATCCATGGTTGAAGGAAGGTCTTCGAGGGGTTTCCACGGGAAGAAAAGCTCGATCGAGGCGGACGTTGTAGTTTAAGTGACTACAGTGGCTGCTTTAGTTTTGGCCGGACCCTCTGGGTTAGGGAGCTAGATGGTTCGAGACGAGTCCAACAGTTCCGGCTCGAAGAATGAGTGGTTGCCGCACAACGACGGGTGTTTTCCAGCAGAGTAAGGGGGGTTCTTTGACCGTACGTTCTATCTCATAACATTGTAGTTCGGCACTAGCAGTACTGTGACATGTACATACCATTATACGAATATTAGGTATCTAGCTAGGAAACATCATGTTACCTATTAGGTACCATAATGTTGTCATTACAGTTTAATATGCTAGTGCCGGACTTCAATGTCAAAAGCCAGACCGTATGGTCAGACCCCCCCTCTTACTCTGCTTGGTAGGTAGGTTGGTAGGTAAGATGTCTCGAGAAAGACGAAGATGATATGTTAGGAGCAGATCATAAAAAAGTAGCCTGCCCTTGTCAACCCACTGAACCCCTACCGAATTGGACCCGATCCATCAGAGTGTCCAGCCATGTCATCCTCAACACAAGACGGGCCGCTTCTGAGGACCGTTGGCTTCATTAGGGTGGGCTTGGCCGCTTGGGGCTATGGGGACGCCCTTGGTGATCAACCTTTGCCAAGAAACTACACATCTTCTGCAGTGGTTCGTGATGGATCATGGATATACATCTATGTATGTACATGATCAGGGGCTGTCCCCTTAGATCAGCTCTGCGCCTGCCAGCCGGACCTTGTTTTGGGGGCTGGCAGCGCTTAGGAAACGTTGCGACAACTGCAATGCACACTTTCTGTACTGCACTGCCCTGACAATGAGTCTAATGGGTATTGACATGGCCAGGATGGTATTATATCGATGCTGTCCGAGCGCATTCATCATAGGACTGTGTACCTCGATCCAGCGTTTGGCATCAAGGCAGCCCTGACTCCCTATGCGGCTCCCAAGCCCTGATCGACTGCTCAACCATTGACACAGGGACGAACCTGCACGTCAAGCAGGAGTTGGCGGCCATCTCGCCAACTATATATCATTTTACGATGCACTTGTGAGCGGTCACGGTGGCGTCCAGTCCTGGGCGCCGAGAACGCCAGTCTGGCATTCTTCCTGGGCTGCGCGCCGTTGGATCCCAACATGCCCCGGCTAACGGCTCTGCTGCAAACCATGGGCGGGAAAGTGATCGCCTGCGGGGAACCCTCGCTTGGTCTGGCAGCCAAGCTGGCCAACAACTACTGCACTGTACTAACCTCTTGGGCATCATTGATCACAATACTAGTAGCGCAGAAGCCATGGACATGGGGATGCGGGCGTGCTGACAGTCGGTCCTGCCGCCGGCACCGCGCAGAACGCCAACCCGTGCCCGGCGTACATATGTCCGCGGCCCCATCGTCGAACGGGTACAGAGGCGGGTCCACGGTTCAGGGTCCAGCTGATGAGGAAGGACATTGGCCTGGCTGTGGACATGGCGAGAAGCGTGGGGGCTAGGAATTCCCTTGGTAGTAGCGGCCTGGAATCTATGCCCTACCGAGCAGAGGCCGAGGCCTGTAGAGATCTAGACTCGAGGGTCGTGGATCGGTACTTGGTGGCATCGAGGGAGCACTGGTCGACAGATTTCAAGTTAATTTTGATCTTTTTTTTTCTACTAGTCGAGCTAGTGCACTGTAGTATCTGCGCTTACAGAATAGTGGGAAGTTCTCGTGGAGCGCTCGGGGAGGTCACGGGTGCCGAGCCTAGCAGGACATCGGAGGCGGAGAGTACTCCGATGATCGTCGGTTTCGCCGTGGGATGAGCGGGATTTTTCAGTACAGTATTTGACTACAGATACCTACGTGTACTTACACATTCTACAGTAAGTGTGTTGAAAGTATGTAAGACGTATGTATATTGCGGGTAGCAGAGTTCTATTACTAAGGCAGTCGGGTGATACACCTTGTCAGACAACCCCCGGTCTCTTCTCTTAGAGTATGAAGCTGATCCGAGGCTGGATGATAGAAAGAGGGCTGTGTCAACCTGGAAAGTTTTTGACAGTGAAAGCTGGAACCACAGTCAAACTCTAGGTATGTACAACACGGTACAATACGGTGTAACAGCCTACCCGTTTGGTGCAGGGTGCGAGTTACAGGGGTTGGGGATGACGGTTGCATGCCTGCATTGCCCTGCACCATAGCTCGGCCCCGCCCCTCTTTGACCCCTCGAGGGGACCTGATGACCTCATCGACAAACAAACTTCGTAGCAAACCCGTTCGACTTGTCTCTGAGCTGCACCAGCCCAACCTGTTACACAGTTGTGAGTACTTAGTATTGCTGTCCTGCCTGAGGCCGCCACGCGGAGCTTTTGAATTTTCTCCGGCGTCTCGATTCAAGCGTTCCCGCCTCTAATGGAGTCATTCAGGGGGGCGGAGGCGACAAATAGGAGGGAACTTTAACTAGTGGCGGGAGGACCCAGGAGGACTAGCAACCACACCTATTAGGCATCGGCTGGAAGCCATGAACCACAGTTGACATCAAACTGGAATGGACTGGGCCTCTTGCAACAATTACCTACCTTTTATACATGATACCCCTCATCTACCTGCAGCCAACAAACTTGTGTTATCACCACTCCCCTTGAGTCCAGTCCTTCACTGGCCCATCACACCCCGAGAGGTAAATTGCCAGTCCAGCCGCCCCCCCAATCGCCAGCAGGTGTCCACAAGGCTGTCTCAGCCTGGTGCTTGTCTGGTTGTCTACCCTAGGTAACCACTTTGGACCACCTCCTTCGACTTCAGTACATGTATATACTGGGGCACGCTGCCCATCACCGCCATTCTCAGCTGTATCTCGCCCACCAACTCATTGGCCGCGTGTCCGCTACCGTACTTGCTGGTCACTCCGTGTTTCGGCTTTCCTCTTGCCCGCATCCGCAGACCAAGAATATCTGCCCTCTTCCGCCCCTCTGTCCGGATCCCGTTATTGCTAGTCCGTCTCTTGGCCCCGTGGACCCTTTGTTCCGCAGCGTCGCGCTTCGCACTTCAACCTCCCTTCCCCCCTTATATCAACCCCAGCCCCTGACTGCAGGTACTATGGCGCCCAAAACCCGATCACCTCCGAAACCCAATTCCCAAGGCGAAACGGACTCAAACCCTACACCCACGCCAGGATCTCCGGCACAGCCTCAAGCCCAGCTCCGACGGTCCAGCCGCCGAGTGACGAAGCCAATGGATCAGCAGCGCGAGCAGCAGCAGGAGGGTCAGCGGGAGGGTCGACCGGGGCACGGGAAGATGTTGGGCGTCAAGGTCGACGCCGACGAGGCTGAGAATGAAGACGTGGTGCAGGGGCGACACGAAACGGTCAAGGAGGGGGTTCAACTCGCCATCGAGGGGTTGGCGAGAATGGAGCGCCGGCTGATGACGGCGACAAAGAGACAGAAGCGAAAGGTGGAGGAGTCGCAGTTCTCGTCCTCATTGCCCGAAAAGACCTCCGGCGACATGGCACGCATAGAGTCTGCCAGGGAAGTGAGCATGAAGATGCCCGAGCCGAAAGCGAAAGCGCAAGCGAATACCCAGCAGCCCACCCCGCCAGAGAAGGACTCGTTCTTTGAGAAAGACATCACCGATGGACAAGGTTTAGACCCCGAGAGAAAACGAATAGATGCGCCCGAAGAAGCCTTCGACCTACCAGAGCGGGGCGCTGCACGACCTCCTCCCGTCAACAGCCCATACCTCCCGCTGCCCTGGAAAGGCCGCCTAGGTTATGTTAGTACCTAATTCCCATCTTTCGCCCCGAGAAAGGTTTCCTAACAACCACTGCTAGGCTTGCCTTAACACGTACCTGCGCTCAGCCAAGACGCCAGTCTTTGGTTCGCGCACCTGTCGTATGGCTTCCATAGTTGACCATCGCTATCCCCTCAGAGACCCTGACCAGCCCGAGCATGCCGTGAAGAATAGGCCGGACAAGTCCAAGGATCCAGAAATGGAGCTGGGCGAAAAGTTTCTGCAGAACCTTGGCCTGGCTAATGCCAGAGACATCATCAAGATGCTGCGGTGGAACGACAAGTACGGCATCAAGTTTATGCGCCTCAGTTCCGAGATGTTTCCCTTTGCTAGCCATCCGGAGCACGGTTACAAGCTAGCTCCCTTTGCTTCCGAGGTTCTCGCCGAGGTTGGCAAAGTAGCCGCTGAGCTGGGTCATCGATTGACCACACATCCTGGCCAGGTATGTTCTTGCCCCTTGTTCCCGAGCGACTCCTCCCCTGGCAAGGTTCTTACAAAGGTTATGCAGTTCACTCAACTTGGCTCACCCCGTCAGGAGGTTGTTGACGCGGCGATCCGGGACCTGGAATACCACGACGAGATGCTGTCTCTCCTTCGACTGCCCGAACAGCAGAACCGCGACGCCGTCATGATCCTGCATATGGGAGGCGTCTACGGCGACAAGGCCGCCACCCTCGACAGGTTCCGCAAAAACTACGCCAGGCTCACGCCCTCCATCAAAGCCCGTCTGGTGCTCGAGAATGACGACGTAGCCTGGAGCGTGCACGACCTGCTCCCCATTTGCGAGGAGCTGAACATCCCCCTGGTGCTCGACTACCACCATCACAACATCATCTTCGACAGCACCCAGTGCCGCGAAGGCACCTACGACATCAACCAGCCCGAGATCATGGAGCGCATCGCCGCGACATGGCGGCGCAAGGGCATCAAGCAAAAGATGCACTACAGCGAGCCCTGCCCCGGCGCCGTAACACCTCGAGACCGGCGAAAGCACAGCCCGCGCGTCATGACGCTCCCTCCGTGTCCGCCAGACATGGACCTGATGATCGAGGCCAAGGACAAAGAACAGGCAGTGTTCGAGCTGATGCGCACCTTCAAACTGCCCGGCTTTGAAAAGATTAACGACATGATCCCTTACGAGCGCGAGGACGAGCCGCGCCCCGCGCCGCAGATTCCGAAAAAGAAGCAGAAGCCGGCGGTGAACCTGAAGCGGAAGCGGGCCCCGGATGAGGACCCGATCGACCTGAACGATGTTGGCTCTGGTGCTGGTGATCAGATCGAAGTGAACACGGCAAGGGAGGTCCCGGAAGAGGAAATCTCGATGGGCGGGCCCGACAACAGAGTCTATTGGCCCCCTGGCATGAACGATTGGCTGAAGCCACGCAGGAGGGGAGCCACTGGCAGGGCTGACAAGGCGGATGGGATACTAGAAGAGGATCATGAGGGAGTTTAGTAGTATTAGCGCGTACTGTGTAGTACGTTCGTGGAGTTGTTCTGGGGTTTGGGAATCAACTCTGCTGTTTTGACGCGGTTCGCTTGGTCGATGGCATTATCGCACAGATTTTTCTCGGGTTGAGGAGTTGACTGCGTTGGCGCCGTCGACGGCACCTGTAGACTGCAGGTGGCCGAGTCTAGTGGTGAAAACGTGGTTTGCTCCTTCCCCCATCTCAAACGGTTTTGTTGCGAAGAAGTAACGGCCGCTATCATGATGTAGCTCTACCTTATCTAGGATGTGGGCGCGCTGATGACTGAATTCATCTTGAGTTAGGTATACCAAGCAATGCTAGAGGTTGGAAGATAGTATAAGGTGAAAAGTTCTCCTGAACTCGGGATTTTTGACATGTTCGTTTGAATAACATTAAAGCCGAGGCAGGTGGTGCCACTCTTACAAGCAAACCAAGCGCAGATAAGGCAACATCCTCGCGCAGTAGCACATTGATAAATAAAACAAATGAGATTGATCTTCAAGTCAAGTCACTTTGGCGGAGTGGTTAACGCGCTGCCCTGCTAATTCACAGTTAGCTGATTAGGCAGTTCCTTCGGGAGCGTAGGTTCGAATCCTACAGGTGACGATTTTTGCATGATTTTTTCCTCTCTTAGTAGTTATCGCATACTACACTTGCGAAGGTAAAGTACAACCCGGCACTGCAGCTGGGGATACAAGAGCTTTGTAAAGAGCGCCCTGATGGCATTTGGGAGATGCTGGATGGCCGATCCCTAGCCCCTACTGGCCGCTCAGGAAAGTATTCGGCTGCTACTAGTACCATGGTGGCGCGACAGCTACATTCCCTTTCCGCATCCGGGGCTTGCATACCAGAGAGAGATAGAAGGAGAGATTGGCTTTTCCATCCGGCCTATATAAGGTATATGGCGCGGTTCTCCTATGTAATGCTAGTAGAGGGTCTAGCACGCCTAAGGGAGTATCGGAGTACATACAAGTATAAGAACCTAAGGACAGTCCTAGAGATTAGACAACACGCCAGTAGACCCTTGCTAGCTGTAGCACGATATTATGAAATCTCTTTCAATGTAACTAAATGCGTTCCTGCACAAGCCGAGTCAGACTTCCCAGGCCGCCCTTGCATATGCAGTTCTCAGATGAAACTAGCTCAGTTAATATCATCAGTCCGAGGCGTGCATGGATGTAACTATATTCGGGGCCTAGGTAGTCTGGAGATCTATACTACATAGGCATGCATATGGACGCATTTGGTTGTACGGAGTATACCTGGTGAAAAGAGATCTCACTATCCTGCGCCGCAGTAGTCTCTGCTCCTACCTTACACCGCACAACACATAACGGCACTTCTGTGTACGATACTAGTGCTCTAACTGAAACCTCAACATGTTGCCCTATGGTTGAATATCTAATACCTTCCAAGGCTCTTGAATCCGACCGCACAAGCAAGTCCAACACGAATCCGACCTTATAGGGGTAGTCACTAGTAAGCATGTAGAGACTACGACTGTTTATTGGGCGTCATTAGCGACCTACCTTAGCAAACCCATTACTAGACTACATACCTAGGTACCTTAGGTAACTACAACGGCCGCTATGATAACTGTCACCTGAGACGGGTTGCATAAGACGGCAATTCCAGATATGCATTGCATTTGAAGAAGCAAGATGATGATCGCTGAGGGGTGTGACCGGCTATATCAAATATCCTACCCTAGCAGCAATCCAGCTGCAGCTCAATAAGGATACCGGACTCATTCAGCCACGGAATCACCAGGACTCCTTGGGAAGAGCCCTTAAATCCGAATGCAGCAGCAATTTAGCTTTCAGAACTTGTGTTACTTCAAGATCCAAAGTTCCAATGTAAGTGTGCATAAGCTTTGCTAACATCCCTCGAAAAGGAGGCTGTTATTCAGTACGACCCAAAATATGCCTAAAGGCTTCACAAACCTTCATCCGAGTTCCAAGAAGGTAGAGCGGACGGCTAATGGTCCGTTTACTTCTTCTGTCGTAGTCACTATTACTACTAGTGGCACAGAATGTCCGCTTCAAACTTCGACCTGGAACGGCAGGTCGATACTCTCATGGTATTATTTCCAAGAACTTGTGGCAGAATATTACTAGTTGCATTTTCGTCTCAGTGCCTGAGATGTCTCTGCTCGTCCTGATTCTTGCCAGTGCGGGCTTGCTTCAAGCAGCCAATTCGCATTCTGTTCCCCGTGTCAATACGGCGGCCGTCATTGACTTTGTCATTCCCAAGACCAAACTCAATTTTGCACAAAACAACGTTTCTGCGAAGTGGGCGCCCGGTTACCCCAAGGCCTGGGGTTCTGAAAGTTTCAATTACCAATTCAACGAGCCATCACCCGACGATGTCTTTGGAAGCGTGGTCACCGAGGACGAGAAATACCTTGCGCTGTTCAACGGATCGCACGTGAAATTCATCGACCTGGACACCAACGCCACAGCCTCAACCTTTTCTCTTCGGGTCCCAGATGGCAATGTGGCACAGACTCTCACCCTTCGACCGGCCTCGAAAGGCGGATATGACGTCTTCACAACTGGCGCAAGGTATCGATACGACTACGCAGCCTTCACTGTACGGCAATATATAGGACCAGACCTCCAACCTGTCGGCCCTCCGATAACCTACGAGGGTGGTATTGGCGCCATCAGCAAGCAAGGCAAGCTGGCCTCACCCTACGGGTACATATACGACTTGGAGACTACTAGTGACGCTCCAGTTGCCACACTGGACGGCCAGCCTGATATCACAGACCTCAGCTTCGCCCCAGACGGTGTGCACTTGGCAACGGTCAGCTGGCACGAACAAACGGCGGACCTATGGAATGCTACTTCTGGCGAGAAAATCTTCACGTTCCCCGCGACCAAAGCACAAAACTGGGCTACCCGCTTCTCACCCGACGGGAAATACATCGCCATTGTGGTAGGCAGCGGCAACATGACTGTGCAAATCTACACCCTCAGCAACCTCACAGCTGCCCCCCTTGAAATCAAGGGCTTCAACGACTGGCCCCGTCAGCTGGACTGGAGTCCCACCAGCCAGCAGATGATTATCGGCGACAATGGTCGATTGCGAATCTTCAACATACCTTCCGCCGAGGTCGTTCAAACATGGCAGGTCGACGTCCGTGAATACGTCTATAACCCTGTAGACACCAAGTGGTTTGACAATGGCAGTAAGCTTACTTGGGTGTGGCGCGATGGACGGTACTTGTACGACTTCGACAAGAATGTTGAGTGGCTCTGGACTGTTCGCAACACTGATCATTCCTGGGGTAGCTCTCGCTTCTCGTTGCTAAAGAAGAGAGATTATGCCGTCACTCACGATGGTGACTCCACGGTGCGCTTTTGGAAGATCTAGGAGTCAAATTTTGCTGGAATTCCGGAAGCGTGCATGTCAGATGGAAACTGAAGACGATTCGAGGGCAGCATGTATGGTACTTAGTAAAGCGAACGAGGTCAGCTTGAAAGCACTGATGTCAAATACACTAGTAGTATTGAAGCCAGCCTTCCACTAGCAAGAGCTAGAGAGCATATCACTTTCAACTACAACAATACTGACGAGCCCCTGGACTGATTCGGTCTCTCCATCACTTGGACCTTTGGTGTTGTGCGTACCTAAATGACGGCATATACTAGTACGTCCCAGGATTATCAGTGGAATGCGCAACATTAATATGGCTAAATACACTCCGTGTCTATGGTGTTTGTAATCCCCATTGCCGTATCCGTGCCCCGGTGCCACGGAGCGACATGCAGACATATATGCACTCCGAGATTAACAGAAAGTCCGAGCAACCAGATCCGAGGCAGCGCAATTTGATAGAAACGCCGTGACGGTGTCACACAATTGCATGTTGACACATTGAGACCATTAAGCACAAGCCGTGGGAGAAGTGTTCTTGCTCGACCATTACAGGACCCCAACTCATGCGGATAGAGGTAGCAACGGGTATATACCTACTGGTCTCAGCGCACGCACCAGGAAAAGAAGTGAGCGATTGTGTCACGGTCAAAGAACCCCGTCTGAACATTGAGGCTTTGTGCTCTGATCTGTCCACCATGAAGATCTCCCTTCAACAGCTCACACTTCTGGGCCTCTCGGGTCTGCACCAGGCCAACGGCCACTGTATGCCGCTTTCTCCACCACCATCTTCCCCACTACATTTGACTAACGGTACAAAATCTAGATGGCTACCCCTATACCGTCGTGGACGGGGTAGTCTCCAAGCGCTGGGAGTACATCCGGTGCGTCCCCTCTTAGGCGCTCCCCTCCAGTCCAAATATCCCTAAAGACACCACATAGCCCAGTCACCGGCATCTTTCAGCCCAACTACGACTACTCCGGGCCAAGCGCCATGTGCGGAAACAACGCCACCCTCCCGCTGTGGCCGATCAAGACGCTCAAGATCGCAGCGGGTAGCACAATCGGATTCGCTGCCAAGGGGCAGAGCATGAACCGGCGTGACGAGAGTGAGGATTTCACCGATGTAAGTCTGACCAACTGCCCGGGTGTTGTTGAACGGACGCTGATGGGATGGGCACGCAGTTCGACCCGAGCTTTTACATGTACCACAACGGTCCCGCAACTGCGTGGTTGTCCAAGGCACCGGGCGACGACTTGAATGAGTACAAGGGCGATGGAGACTGGTGAGTATCATCCATCCACGCCAAGTCTGAGACCGGTGTGGCAAAGCCGACGCCATATTTCGTAGGTTCAAAATCGACGTCAAGGGAGCATCGGACGGAATCCATTGGGACTACAGGTCTGAGGAACGGATCAACATCGTATGCTCCATCGTATTCAAGGATATACAGATGCGGCATACTGACAAGAGATGCAAGATGAACTTCACCATCCCCGCGGCGACACCACCAGGCAAGTACCTGTTGCGCGCTGAGCACCTCAACATGGAGAATGGAGGCTCCTACAGGACAACAGAAATGTACCAGAACTGCGCACATGTTGAAATCACCGGCTCAGGCACAGGTAGGTGTCACCTTCTAGAAGAACAGTCTTTGATTTGCAAGACTAAGTACCTCCTACCATTCATGGCAGGCACCCCCGGTCCTGTTACCCATTTCCCAGGCGCTTTTAATGCGAAGGACCCTGGTGAGTTCTGTGACAAAAGAAATTATGCTATACACAAATGCTTGCTAACTACAAGAAGGCATCTGGCTCCCAAATGCCTTGTGGAGGCCCATCCAGCCTATGGATGAGCTTAAGAACTGGCAAGGTGCAGGCCCCAAGGTGTGGCGAGGCTAAGGGTGCTTTCATTGTAGAGAGGTGTAATAGAAATTGAT